CGCGGGAAATAAAGTTACCACCAAAAGATCAGATCTGGACACCGACACGGTCAACCATATCTAATATTCTTATTTGAGGCTGTAAAATAAAACAAAAAGCTGTAGCTAATTTAAGACGGTAATCAATTGAAATGAAATGAAATGAAATGGGTTTAACTTCCTACTGTTCTACTTTGAACTGAACTAATGAAGATGGTCATACGCCATACAGTGTGCTACGAGGGAAATTGTTTGCCCGGACAGCAGCACTACAGCCTACTCTTATATCGAATTCCAACTGTCAGGGGATCTTTTAGCTTGTGGACACTCTAGAGTTCACAATTTTCATCTGATTTTGATGAAACTTGAAATGTATGTTTATAACCCAAAGATCTTGGTTCCTATTGATATGCGTGCATATTGGACCGTAACTTGCTGAATTATGGTCCCTCGAGAGGTCACAATTATTATCAGATTTTAAAAAAAAAACGTTTGAATATATCCCCGTTACACCATAATGTTGGTTGAGTTCGAATTTCGTGAAAATCGGACCAAAACTGACGGACAAAATGGCCGCCCATCATCCACAAATAGTGTAAACATATGGTATATCAAGGTGTGGACCCGCTGGAGGTCGCAATTTTGATGAAACTTGAAATACATGTTTATAACCCAAAGATCCTGCTTCCTTTAGGAGCGTAACTTCTTGAATTAAGGCCTTTAATTGTACAAAAAATTGCATTTTTAGCTTGTGGTCTTTCTAGAGGTCACAATTTTTATCCAATTTAATAAACCGTGTGAATATATCACCGTTGCACCTTGATGATGGTTGAGTTCGAATTTCGTGAAAACCGGACCAAAACTGCCGGACAAAATGGACACCCCTCATACGCAAATAGTGTAAAAAGGTTGTGGACCCTCTAGAGGCCACAATTTTTATCTGATTTTTGATGGAACTTTAAATCTTGGTTCCTTTCGATAATCGCGCATATCAAAACGTAACTTTCTGGATTATGGACGCTGAGTGTTTGAAAAATTGCATTTTTTGCTTGTGGACCCATTAGAAGTACCCAGTTGGTATTCAATTTTCAAACCGTTTAAAGATACATTATGTAAGATTTAGATAAAGAGCTAGCCATTCTTGCTATAATTATAATAGTTCGAAAATAGATAATGTAAAATTATGAATAATTTGAAAATTTCATTCAAATTACTCTATTTCGAGCGAAGATATTAGCCTTTGAAGGTTTGACAAGACGTGTGCAATAAGTTCAACCATCGTACTGGTTGTTCGAAGCTAAGTCTCACCCCTCCATTTTTAGCCTGAACTGTTCTAATCTATTTAATATCGGAGAAATCCGATGCCATCGAGAGTTGATTATGACCTGGATAAGTTAATTAATTCAATGTCTAATTAATAATTTAGAAAATATTTCAGGCCTAAAGAAAGAACCTGCAATAGGCAGATTTAGCTCTTGCATAATGTATGTTTTAAAAATATATCACCGTTAACACATCAATGAAGTTTGAGTTCGAATTTTGTAAAAATCTGACCGAAACTGCCGGATAAAATGGCTGCTCCTTGTACATAAATAGTGTAAAAGTATGTAATACCAAGGTTGTGGACCCTCTAGAAGTCACATAATTGTTATCCGATTTTGATGAAACTTATAAAATATATGGTTATGTCTCAAAAATTTTGGTTATTTTTGCTATTTGCGCATATCAGACTGTACCTTCCTGGATTACGGCCCCTGATTGTACGAACTATCGTGCTTTTTAGTTTGTGGATTCTCTAGAGGTCACAATTTTTTATCCGATTTTAAAACCGTTCAAATATATCACTATTCCACCATAAATTGAAATGGCCGCTCTTTGTACGCAAAGTATGTAATATAAAGGGTATGAACCCTCAAGGGGTCACAATTTTTATCAGTCCCTTTCGATATTTACGCATTTCAGCAGTCATTGTTTTTTGAGGCGCGCGAGCGCTTGTCGCGCACCCGAATGTCGACCGAGGGGAGGTTTTTCACCCTCGCCTTAAAATTGAAAATCGCTCTCCATATCTGTAAATCATGGACATGTATTTGGGTTTTTTTTCAAAAGAGTGTGAAAGACTCACATTCCGAGCGCCACCATGCTGTCATTGTGAAGATTTATTTGGTGTATTCGATTAGTATAATGTGATCGCACAAGGTAATAAAATTCCGATGAATATGTTGCTAAAAATAGATGGCGCCTGTGCACCATTGGTTAATTTAACTGAAATGAAAAGTAGGACTCTCGCGAGACGTGAGAAATTACGAGAGATGGCACGTGAAAATTTCTAATGAGAATAATTCTGGAAGAAATAGATTATATTTTGATGGAATTTTCAGTCGTTTATGATTATATTTTGAATAGGGGTTATGTTTTTAAACAAAATTTATACAAGCTATATATATTTAGAAATGTCGACATGTATTTCTATTGGAATACCGTATGTACTGTAGTTATGGACGCCAGTAGAAGTTTGACTTGACCGTACGACTACGAGTGCTATTATTTAGCAGACGATGTTTATTATCATTTATATGTAACCAAGAATGACCCTCTTACACGCAGTTATTGATCTTCAGAACCATTTCCCATACAAACAACTAATCCCTCTCCTTAATATCAGATCATTCTCCTTAATTTCTAAATCACTCTTCTTATCAAAACCGGGAGAGCTTTTTTAGGGGAGCGATTTTTTCAATTTGCTCATTAAGGGGAGCTTTTTTCGGCTCTCCTCTAAAATACAAAAAATAACCACTGATTTCAGACCATAACTTTATGGATTATGGCCCCTGATTTTACGAAAAATCACCTTTTTTTTTTAGCTTGTTCTCTCTCCATCTCTTGCAAAATGTAGGCGTATCTTGCATGGCAACCAATCTTTTGGATTATGGCCCCTGATTTTACGAAAAATCACATTTTTTTTTTAGCTTGTTCTCTCTCCATCTCTTGCAAAATGTAGGCGTATCTTGCATGGCAACCAATCTTTTGATTGTCTAGGTCTAATTTATAATATGGGCAATTCCAACGTTACTCACGTAACATTTAAAGAACCCCATCCATATTGAGATTAAGACTACAAACAACAATCTACATTGATATGTTAAATATTGTGTATGGGCATCCATCAATGATGGAAGGAAATAATAAGATAGAATGTGAACAAAAATGAAATAATTTTTTGGGGTGACATCTGAAAAACATAGTGTTACTCACGTTACATGAAATGGACACCAAAATTTTGATGTTTTGTTTGCACATAAATATTACCTTCAAGTCTAATCTCTTATTTATATTAAGTATTTATTGCAATAGGTATGGATATTATTAAGTTATTTCTTTGCAATAAAGTATGAATATATGAAAATGATCTGATTTTTTAATGAAGCGTGTGGAAAATGTTGTTACCCACGTTACGTTACTCACGTTACATTCATATTGTAAAATCAAAACTAAAGAATACTTATAAATAAAACTTAATAAGTGATGACATGTTTCAAGATAAGTTCAAATAAATCAAACCACAGATAATACTATTTATTACTATTAGTAGTACTTAAGTCACTTATTCAACGAACTGTTGGTAGGTTTACTTAAACAGTGCAAAGTTATCTAAACTTTTCGAAATATAAGCTTACAAAAATTTTAATTTCAATTTATTAAAGTATATGTTCAAGTTCATTTAGAATAATAATTCGGGAAGTTACGATCCGATATAGTGTGTAACAGTGATATATTCAAACTGTTTTTTATATAGCCAAGGATAAAAATTCTTAACTGTAGAGGGACCAAGCTAAAAACTTGATTTTTCGTACAATCAAGGGCTATAATTCAGGAAGTTACAATCCGATATGTGCAATTATCGAAAGGAGCCAAGATCTTTGAGCTATAAATATGCATTTCAAATTTCATCAAAATCAGATGAAAATTGTGACCTCTAGAGTCTCCACAAGCTAAAAACGTGATTTTTCGTACAAGCAGAGGTCATAATTCGGGAAGTTACGATCCGATATGCGTGAATATCAAAAGGAACCAAGATCTTTGGATTATAAACATGCATTTCAAGTTTCATCAAAATCAGATGAAAATTGTGAGCTCTAGAGTGCCCACAAGCTAAAAATGTGATTTTTCGTACAATCAGTGGTCATAATTCGGGAAGTTACAATCCGATATGCACGAATATCAAAAGGAACCAAGATCTTTAGGTTATAAAAATGCAGTTCAAGTTTCATCAAATCAGATGAAAATTGTTACCATAATCCATTAAGTTATGGTCCGATACATGCCAATACCGAAAGGAACTGAGATCTTTGGGAGATGACCTATATCTCAAGTTTCGTTAAAATTGGATAAAAAATTTGACCTGTAAAGTGTCCAGGGACCATGGTATAATACGTCCACATGAAAATGTGGGCGTATAAAAATAATTCTAGCTGAAATATATAGAGGTAAAGTGTGTTAATCACATCACATATTGCGTTCCTCACGTTACATAAATGGTTCTGTTACTCACGTTACAAATTTGTAGGTGCCATTATATGGAGAATAAATGACATTTTATATTTAATCATTTTATTTTAAGTACATGGTCAATAGTAGATATTCTATAGAAAATATGGCCGACGTAACCATAAAAAAAATTCAACCATCATTGTTTTTTCATTTTTTGTGTTACTCACGTTACGAGTGCCATGTACTTTGTATTATATACTATAAAAATTTGAATATCAACATTTCTTGTCATTATTTTCAATAAGGAGAAGCTTTATAGTTTCTGATTTCAGAAAAAAATTATTTAAATTAGTAATTAGGAGCTTTTAAATCAAAAACATTATATAGCTACAAATCAGTTAATGATATTACTATATATGTCAAGGTAAATAATAATGGTGCTATATATAAAGTTCACTAGAATGTTTACAATTTCTTTACAATTCCAAACCCTAAAGAATATATAGACCAGACAAACATAAAAAAATGGTTCTAATTGCTGTTTCATTTTTTACTAACCATGTCCACATTTGCATGGAATTGCCCATATGCTATTGCTTATTGTTGCTTTTAATATTTTATGTCAAATGTAATTTCAATAATTTTGACAGGAATTATTGGATGATGCCGACTCGTGTCGAAGAAGAATGACAGCTGCATCAGCTTTAATTGGTGGTTTATCTGGTGAAAAGATTCGATGGACATCACAAAGCAAAGAGTTTAAAGCTCAAATAGAAAAGTATTTAAATTTATCACTTTTTATACGCCCACATTGAAATGTGGTCGTATATGTCGTCGCCCCCGTCCGTCTGTCGGTCCGGCGTCCATTATTGCTTGTGGACACTCTAGAGGCTAAAGTTGATATCCGATTTAAATTTATCACTTTTTATACGCCCACATTGAAATGTGGTCGTATATGTCGTCGCCCCCGTCCGTCTGTCGGTCCGGCGTCCATTGTTGCTTGTGGACACTCTAGAGGCTAAAATTGATATCCGATTGGCTTTAAATTTATATACAGTGTTTAAGGCCATGAGATGAAGAAGCCTATTGACTTTCAGCGATTTCCGATAATTACTGCCAGAGTTATGGCCCTTGATCACTTTGAAAAATCTTGTGGACGCTCTAGAGGCTAAAGTTAATATCTGATTGACTTTAAATTTATACACAGTGTTTAAGGTCATGAGACAAAGAGGCCTATTGATTTTCAGCGATTTCTGATAATTACTGCCAAAGCTACGGCCCTTGATCACTTCTAAAAATCTTGTGCACGCTCTAGAGGCTAAAGTTAATATCAGATTGACTTTAAATTTATACACAATGTTCAAGGTCATGAGACGAAGAAGCCTATCGATTTTCAGCGATTTCCGATAATTACTGCTAGAGTTATGGCCCTTGATCACTTCAAAAAATCTTGTGGACGCTCTAGAAGCCAAAGTTAATATCTGATTGACTTTAAATTTATACACAGTTTTTAATGTCACAAGACGAAGAAGTCTATTGATTTTCAGCGATTTCCGATAATTACTGCCTGAGTTATTGGTATGTATTGGATTATGGCTCTTGATTGTATGAAAAATCATGATTTGAGCTTGTGCACACCATAAGGACGGTTGAGTTCAAATTTTGTAAAAATCGGACCGCTTCCCAAACGCAAATAGTGTAAAAGTATGTAATACCAAAATTGTGGACCCTCTAGAGGTTACTATTTTTATCCGATTTTTATAAAGCTTAAAATATATGTTTATTATATCCTAAAGATCTGTTCAACATCCAAGGCCTGGATAAGCTGCTGTTTGGGTGTATTTCCTCGTTTGCATGGCTATCTTAATTTATCTTTAAATCCTTACAGGTTGGTTGGGGATGTGTTATTGTGTACTGGTTTTCTGTCCTATTCTGGTCCTTTTAATCAAGCGTTCCGCACCAAATTACAAGACAACTGGCAGAAAGAAATGCATCAGAGAAAAATACCATTCACCAAGAATCTGAATTTAACATCAATGTTGGTTGATAATGCTACTGTAAGTTTCTTTCAGACCTGTAATTAGTTTGTCAATAATAATTTTAAAAAAAAGGTTTAGACACATTCATTCTTTGTGTCATTGGCATCCTGCAATCTATTTGGCATGTACTGTAGAAAAAAAGTTTTTATGGCTAACAGTAACAGTATCATCATTAGAAACATATCTGGTTTCTGTGTTTATAGATTGGAGAGTGGAATATCCAAGGATTACCTAATGATGATTTATCAGTGCAGAATGGTATTATAACAACTAAAGCTACACGATATCCACTACTCATTGATCCACAGGGACAGGGAAAAAATTGGGTCAAAAATAGAGAAAAGAATAATGAACTGCAGGTAATTGTTTGATTCTTTCTTTATACGACTATTTCAACATACCTTAATTTTTATGACTGAATCATTTGACTAAGTAATTATAAGGATGAACTCATCAGATGGTTGGGTGTGTTAAATAGGGACAAGCTAATACATATTTCCACATTTACGAAATTGTTCATGTAATGAATCATTGGTAAACATATATAATTAGATATTTTAACTCTTTTTCAGCTTTCAAATCTGTTCTATCATTCTTTATGGGTAATTCAAAAAACATTTGCTCATTGTGGACATTTCAGCTGTTGCCTACCAACTTAAAAAATTTTTATACTCCCAAATTTTATGTCCAAACAGTGGAAAACATTTAAATGTTTAAACATTTATGCCAATGATGATGGTTCCATTACAATTTATACTACACTTACTTATATTGGCAGTAGGACGTTAAACCCCATTTCATTTCATTTCATTTACTTATATTGGAACAATATTGTTGCTGTATTAATCTCTTTATGTTGAAATCGTTTTGTAGATTTGTATAAAATACGATAATTGTTTTTTTTAGATAACATCATTGAACCACAAATATTTTCGAACTCATCTAGAAGACAGTTTATCTCTTGGACGACCATTGCTAATTGAAGATGTAGAAGAGGATTTAGATCCAGCTTTAGATAACGTACTTGAGAAAAACTTCATCAAATCAGGCTCCACATACAAGGTATGATTACCAGTATCTGTTAAGTTCCTTTTGATTCATTTGTATGATTCATTGCAACCCATTTGTAATAGCAAAGCGTTTGGTAATAGTTATCAGATTTGCTATTACAATTCTCGTAAAGACACTGTTACAAGTTTGGTAATAGGGACGGGTTTTGTAATATTGCAGTTTGAGAAATACCACTTAATGTGTTTGGTAATAGTGAAAGGTTTTGTAATATTATCTGGAATAGAAGGCTGCAGAATACTAAAAACAATAGGGTTCATCCTCTCATGACCCCAATGCTTTGCCCCAAATTAAAAAATATGTGTTAAAAACTGTAGCCTCTATCACGTTCACAAGGTTTTTTGGATTAGGGGAGTAACTTTGGAACGAGCACTGATTATCGATAGGGATCGTCCTCTCATCACCCCAATGATTCACACCATGTTTGAAAAAAGTCAGTCAAAAACTCTACACTCTATTGTGTTCACAAACCAGGCCCGAGTTTACAAAGCATTCTCAGAATTAAGTTAAGAATTTACTGAACTTTCAATCCCTGTTCATGAGAAATATCTTTGATCCAGAACTTAAGTCTGAGACTTCTGTGAACTCAGGGCCAACTGCTGACGACGGACAGACAGGGGTGATGGTATAATACGCCCACGACGTATAAAAATAAAAGTTTATGCTGAAGGTAACGTGTTTGGTAATATTATAAAATAAACTGCTGACGACGGACAGACAGGGGTGATGGTATAATACGCCCACGGTGTATAAAAATAAAAGTTTATGCTGAAGGTAACATGTTTGGTAATATTATAAAATAAAAATTGTTATTACCAAACGCATTTAGTGGTATTTCTCAAACTGTAATAGTTTATTTTGCTTACAGTATATACTCTACTATTACTATTGACAAGTATAGCGACAAATTTTGTAATATTAGGCAACACAAATAAAATAACTTGTTTCTCGGGCACCGCCCGCACGCAAAATTGGTTGCGCGTGCAGTCTATTTATTAGTCTTGATGAAAAAAAATAAATATGTAACGCCCGCCCGCACATCGACAAGCAAGTCGTAAAAAAAATATCCCGCATGTACCTACATCCGCCATACATGTATATCTATTCAAATGTATTAAAACTGATTCAGATGAACATGCTGTCTTTTTTATCCGAACAATGGCGAAGTTTGGCAGATTTGCCTTTTTTATTGATATCGAAAGAACCTCCATTTTGTATCACGTGATATTAATTACCTCCCCTGATAAACTAGAATTTGATTCGTGTTAAAAGTCATTGGCGACAATATTTCAATCATTCGATCGTAATCGGCTCATTATTGCCGGCTTCAGTCGGTCCTTGTTTGGAAAATCCTATTGATAAAATAATGAACCATAGAACAGGTTAATTAATTATAGCTAAGAATACGATACGATGACGATAGTCGTCATAATGCATACCTTAGAATCTGGGTCATTATTAGCACATTTACGGTAGTTTCGATAATCCGGAAAATAATAATTGGATTACCGATTTGATGGTTTTACTGACCAGTTGTTAGTTAGATTTAAATAGTCATTCAATATAAACACCGGATAGAACACCGAATATCCTGAGAAACACACCGAATATCCCAAGAAACAGTATTTCCGGCAATCTCCAATACCGATGACACGGTGTGACATGCATTGGTTGGAATTCGGTAAATAATTATAAATAAACCGGCGATACTAGATTTAGTTTTAAATACTGTTTACCATGATTATTATTTTTGATACACCTGGTGAAAGAGGCTTAGTTTTTAAAAATATTGTTGTCTTTATGGAGGGCTATTACATAGTCGTATGGAATTTTATTTTAAACCAATTTCAATTATGTGAATTAAATATGGAAAATTATTTTCCTTTCAGTCAGTGTTCAGTCTCAGTGTTTTAGTAGACTTGATTTTGGGTTTATGTTTTAAGTATGTACAATAAAGTTGAATATAACGGAAAGCAAAAACGTAAACAAGTAATGACTTTCTCATTTAAAAAAAAAAAAAAGAAAGACCGCCCTCCCGCCCCAACAATTTTCAGCAATAGCCAAATTTTATTTTGCACCATCAATGAGTAAAAAAAAAAAAGAAACCGCCCTCCCTCCCTACAGTTTCAGCTGTCAGTTGCCCGAGAAACAAGACATTTATTTTGTGTGGCCTTATGAAAACATGTTTGGATTAGTGATCGTTTTGATGGAAAATACAACGACCATACTACAGCTATGATGATGATGAGATTTCTTCACGTTTTAGCCAATTCCTTCATTCGTTAAAACAATAAGGAAATATATTGCCAAAATTACTTTTTACACAATGCATTTATACTACTAACTAGAAGTACATGTAGTAATACCTTAGGGAAATGGGATACCAAGTATATTCACTTAGGATTATGAAGATGATGAGAACGACATGGGATTCATCTTCGAAACTTTGAAAATTCTAGTGATTAATATCCATAAAACCAAGTGATTTATTGAATATAAACGTGTTTGGTAATATTACAAAGCCCATCGCTATTACCAAATGCGTTGAGTGGTATTTCTGGAATTGTAATAGTTCTTTTTGGTTATAACATACTCTGCTATTAATAAGTGACACACATTTGGATTAGTGATAGTTTGGATGGAAAATACCACAATGACGATCACGATGACGATCATGTTGATAATGATGATGTTGTTGGTTTTGATGATTAATTTATTATAAAATATGAATTATATTATTACAAAATTAAAAGTTTATGCTATGTTTGGTAATATTTGTCGCTATTACCAAACTCGTTAAGAGGTAAGCTTATTTCTTGAATATAAAAGAGGCGGATCCAAGGGGGGGCGCAAGGCGCCCCCCCCCCCCCTAATTTTCAACAGTGCCCTTTTTTACTGCTGAAAGTGCCTTTTCTCAGACCCAAATATGTCCGTTCCCAACCCGTTGCAGGGATCCCAAATGACTCAAACCATCGACTCAAACACGCCAGTTTGGTCTAATTAGTGCTTCCACTTCCAAACGAATTCTTGTTGTTTAGCTGATGTTACCCTAATCCTATAGGGTGACTATAGACAGACATCAATGATAGCATCTTGTGGAATCGGCGGCGTATATAGGGGTGATGATTTTCCGTGATCGCGGAAATCTCGGAATTGTCCACTCAAAACGGAATTTGAAATCTCACACGGAAAAAGACGGAAAAGCCGATATTTGCTGATACTAAACACAAACTCAAACTCATCTTTTTATTCTTAAAAATCGGAAATATTGACTGATATCGCATGGTTTTGTTACTGTCTATTTTAGTATTTAGCTACTTTCATTTCATCATTTAGGAATCATAATTTTACTCGAAACGAAAACCCGTTTTTCATGTATCCCTGTATACAATTACTCTGTAGTTGAACTTGAATTAAACATTGTAATGTATATATATGTCTTAAAAAAAACTTCTGTCACTTCATAAAAGTAAAAATCGTTTCATTTACTTCTTATTTTACTGCCGGGCTCGTGACTCGTGTTTATCCGCATTAACCATGTGACATCACAAATATGCCGTAGCCTTGTGAATCCAGCCCTTATTCTCGAAGAAACGGTAGTAACTACGAAGATGTCTGGATAAATCGCGACAACAACTAGCAGCTGAGAAAAATGGCTTCGTCTGCTAAAAAGATGAAACAAGCTCACAAGATGTAATTTTCTGTTATTTAATTCGGGAAACAGGTTTAAAGAATAACTAGTCATTGAACATTACAAGTCATTCACAATTCAACATTTGTTATCATTGGTTTAAAATGATCCGTTTTGTAATAAAAGGCATTTTAAGATGTTTTATTCATTTTATCTCCAAAAAACGGAATATGGTCAGCTCTGAAACGGAAAATAACGGAATTAAAAATACTTAAAACGGAATTTGCTATTTTCTGAAAAGGAAAATCATCACCCCTACGTATACACTCATGCCCATCACTGACGTGCATGAGTGCAACTTGATGTAGCATTGTTTCATGTGTGGACAGTACTAGTGAAGTGGCTAGGGAATAGATTAGTTTTTTTTCCCCATCATAATGCCTCGCTCGCCTTGACAATTTTCGAGTCGCATGTTCAACTGGCTTTTTTGCTCGATTTTAAGGCTCTTTTTCAACCATTTCCGGATGTTTACTTATGGCTACAGATGCAGGGAAGTGACGGATAATTTCCAGCGTGCCCCGTCTCCACAGTCAGTGCCCTCATTTTGCGGCGCCCCCCCCCCCCTTTTCAAAATTCCTAGATCCGCCCCTGTGTAATAGTTGTTTTTGTTAATAGTATATTCTGCTATTACTAGTATTATAGTAAATATAGCAAGCAATAGGTTTGAAATATTATGAAAATACATTTGGATTAGTGAATGTTTTGATGGAAACTACAACGATGATGCTGATAATGGCGATGACGACAATGATGATGTAATACACAAAAAACACATACTTATGGAAAAACAGCTACTTATTTATTTGGGCGACGTTTCGAAGAGTATTCTCTCAACGTTATCAAGCTAATACAGTAATACAAGAATAATGAGATCAATATATACAGAAAACTGTAACAACAATTCATGAAACCATACAGGACAACAAACAAGATCAAAGGGGTTTATTCTACAAAAACTAATTAAGTGTGAAGAGTAGCCATTGAGTATAGTTAAGCAATTAGGTAGCTATGATGAAAGATACAATACTACCGGCAGAATGGGATAGTACCTACAATACAATTATGATATACCATGGTTTGTTTAGATAATGGTAATTAACTTTATATGTCTGTGTGATTAAATGTACAATTAGACTAGAGTAACCCATGTGTGTAATAATTCTAAGAAATAGAGTGGATATAACTGATAAATTGATAATAATATTAGAAAAATGAAAAATAATAAAACTCATAAAAATTCACAAAGGTTTCTTATCCACTGTACTGTAGAATGAGTGGGGGTGATGGAAAACACATAATTTAGGTATATTTAATAAGTTCATCATAAGCACTAGGCAGGAATATCCCTGTGTCGCGGTTGAGGTCTGGACTGTTTCTTTTAATGTGTATGGCCTCAATAATTTTGCGGGTTTTTTCTATCGGTAGATTGGCCGCCAGGGTTCTATACGTTTTAATTCTGTGTCCTGGGTTGGATTGTGTGTGTTGGGCCACAGCTGAATTGGTAGTAGAGGATTTAGATTTATGCTGACTGATTCTCTTGTCTAAAGGCTGTCTAGTTTCTCCAATGTATTTTTTGTCACACGTGCAGGTTATTTCATAAACACATTCTTTTGGGTTCAGTTGTTTGGTTGGGGGAAGTTTGATGATGTAGTGTTACAAAATTTGAAATTTATGCTGAAGAAAAGGCCCACTCACAAATTTAGTCTGTTATTACCAGATTCATTATACCAAATTGAATGGCAACGAGATTTGTCATATTACAAAACTCGTCGCTATTACCAAACGCGTGACAGTGTCTTTACGAGAATTGTCATATTACAAAACTCGTCGCTATTGCCAAACGTGTAACAGTGTCTTTACGAGAATTGTCATATTACAAAACTCGTCGCTATTACCAAACGTGTAACAGTGTCTTTACTAGAATTGTCATATTACAAAACTCGTCGCAATTACCAAATGCATAACAGTGTCTTTACGAGAATTGTCATATTACAAAATTCATCACGATTACCAAACGCGTAACAACGTCTTTACGACGAGTCATGGTGGCTAAATGGGTAAGACGCTGGCTCGCTAGCCTGGAGGTCGGGTGTTTGATCCCTGCATTGGCCAAGAAAGTTTATCCTAGTCATTGATGCAGGACGGAGGGCCTGACAAGGACAGCTGTCTAGTCGTTCGGATGGGATGAAAAACCGAGGTCCTGTGTACACATTAGCGTGCATGTAAAAGATCCCTTGACAGTTGGAATTCGATATAAGAGTAGGCCATAGTGCAGCTGTCCGGTCAAAATTTCCCTCATAGCACACTGTATGGCGTATGTCCGTTTTCATTAGCCCAGTTCGTAGCAGAACAATAGTACGTTAAACCCCATTTCATTTTATTTCATTTTCGTCTTTACGAGAATTGTAATAGCGAATTTGGTAACTATTACCAAATATGTCACTATTACCAAACAGATTGCAACAACGCCTTAACTTGTTCATCCCAGTGAAGGGCGAGGCTTTGATTCAGCTGAAACTTTATAACAGAAATATGGTAGTCAGAACATCATCATACATTCTATGACCTTTGAGTGAAATTAAATATATGGCAGTTGTACCATTGGGTGACAAAAGGGCTAAAATTTATTTTGCTGGTTAGCCATGATAATCCAATTATAACTACCAACAAGAAATAAACTATTAATGATTAAGCAATTGAAGAAGGAAAGAACAAATATATAGTGTCTGTATGTTGTTTAAATGTGACTTCAATACTATGTATGTTTTGCAGGTAAAAGTAGGAGATAAAGAATGTGATGTTATGTCCGGATTTTATCTGTATATAACCACTAAACTACCAAATCCAGCATATACTCCTGAGGTATGAAAGTATTCAAGACATTTTTCAAGAAAAGATCATCTGTAATATTTTTTTCTTTGAATATTAATGATCTGTAAGAATTATATTATGAAGAAGCAGGGCCGGATTAAGCCTGCATGGGTCCTCTTGCTAAAAATGTCACTGCATGAACAGTGAGAAGGGGAGTCATTCTGGTCATTGTCCGTCAAACTCATATAGATATAAATACAATTTGTGTGTCAAGAATAGATAGATTTATTTGGCTCAAGGAATGCAACTTGATAAATGACATATGTAGTGATCTGTAGGGCTTGTCAGCCCCCCCCCCCCCCCTTTAATCCGGCCCTGTGAAGAAGTAATTAGTTTTTGATCCAAAATGATACTTGTATGAACAGTTGGTCAATTATATCTATCCATTTTCTTAAAATGATACGATAGTAATAATAGTATCAAACAATTGTAAAAATAAATGAATGGTGAAGATTTCTTTTATAATATTCATAGATTAGTGCCAGAACGTCTATTATAGATTTTACTGTAACAATGAAAGGATTAGAAGACCAGTTGTTAGGTCGTGTTATAATGACTGAAAAAAATGTAAGTATTCAACTTGATCAAATTGATCTTTAAAATATATGATTCCTGTACTAGGACCAACCATAATTTTGTCTTGTAGAATATTCAGACTATATTATCTACTGCTAAGAATAGTTCTTTCTATAGAAATATATACTAGCAGTAGTAAACATGCTGGATAAATAATTTTGTGTTATTTGTGTAGACTTTTTGTATGTTATTTTAGAATATTTGCTTGTAAATTATAGGAATTGGAAGCAGAACGTGCGAAATTGCTGATAGATGTTACAGCTAATAAACGTAAAATGCAAGAGTTAGAAGATAATTTGCTCTATAAATTAACCAGTACAAAGGTGATGTCAACTTGTTTTATCCACAGTTACAGAAATACTTATACAAATATTGTACAATATATACCTAATAATAGGGTTTTGATTTAACATTTCAGCTGGTATTGAATTTAATTTTTCAGATTATAAATTATAGGGATCAAGGCAGAAACAATCGTAAAATTAAGCAATATGACAACCCTTTTCGGGTTGATAAATTCTAGACTTAAATTAATTCAGAGTCAGTTAAATAGAGATATAATTATATAAGAAGCTGTTAAATATTTTGTTAATATTCCAGGGATCATTGGTAGATGATGAATCTTTGATTCAAGTTTTATCTACGACAAAAATCACAGCTGCTGAAGTCAGTGAAAAACTTACTGTGGCAGCTGAAACAGAAATTAAGATAAATGAAGCTAGAGAAGAATTTAGACCAGGTTTGTCTAGCAGTTTATCAAAAATTATTCATAATTGTGCCATTTAATAAATTTGGGGTTACAGGGAGGGACATCAGCCACACCTTTCCTTTGGTTTGTTTTAAGCATTGTAAACACCATATTGGTGTTTCTAGTTTAGTATGCCTTGATTTTTGTCACAAGAAAGACACATAATTTTATACTAGCAAAGTGAACTGGAGTCTTTTTTTGTAACATAAAATAAATAGTACCTCTAACAACCATAAAATTGAAGTTTTTGTGAATTAGTTCCCTCCAAAATGTATACCGATACTTAGTTTTATGATTTTATAGAAATTTGTAATGATTACTTGTAATGTATTTTTAGTGGCAAACCGAGGCAGTATTCTGTATTTCCTGATGTGTGATATGAGCATGGTAAATAGAATGTATCAAACATCTCTAAATCAATTTCTTGGCATATTTGATATCTCTATGGCGAGGTTAGTGGTTAAATATTTTTGTTTTTATACTCCCACATTTTCATGTGGACGTATATTGTCGTCGCCCCTGTCCGTCCGTCCACAATTGTTTGTGGACAGTCTACGGGTCACAATTTTTATCCGATTTCCATGAAACTTAAAGTATAGGTTTATCACCCTAACTTCATGTAACTGTAACTTCATGGATTATGGCTCTGATTGTACGAAAAATCACGTTTTTAACTTGTAAACACTGTAAAGGTCACAATTTTTATCCGATTTGGTTTAAACTTAAAATGTATGCTTATAACCCAAAGATCTTGGTTCCTTTCGATATTCGCGCATATCGGAACGTAACTTCCTGAATTATGGCCCTGAGTGTACGAAAAATCTCGTTTTTAGCTTGTGGACCCTATAGAGGTCATAATTTTTATCCGATTTGAAAAACCGTATTATTATATCACCGTTACACCCTAAGGATGACTGAGTTCGAATTTCGTGAAAATCGGCCTAAAACTGACAGACAAAATGTCCGCCCTTTGGTCTCAAATAGCGTAAAAATATGGTATATCAAGGTTGTGGACCCTATAGAGGTCACAATTTTTATCCGATTTTGTTGAAACGTAAAATGTAAAATAAAAAACCCGAAGATCTCGATTCCTTTTGATATTTGCGCATATCGAATTGTAATTTCCTGAATTATGGCCCTTGATTGTAGGAAAAATCACTTTCTTTTTAGCTTGTTCTCTATCCATCTCTCGAAAATGTGGGCATATCCTGCCTGGCAGCCACTGGTTCCTTATTATTAATGTATTAACTGTTTTGATTTGGTAAAGTGAAACATTATGCTAAAATAATGTAAGTCAACACAAATTCATGCATTGTTATATGTACTTACAAGTTTCAATAAATTTCAGATCTGATAAAAGTCCAGTAGCAAATAAACGTATTGCTAATATTATAGAATATTTAACATTTGAAACTTTCCGATACACATGCCGAGGATTGTATGAAGACCATAAATTCCTGTTTACACTACTTATGGCATTAAAAATTGATATACAACAAGGCAAAGTGAAGAATGAAGAATTTCAGATCTTTATCAAAGGTTAAACTTTTTATGTATTGATTCCTAATTTGACAAATATTTTCTGTAATATCAGTGTGAAGACTTCTGATAAATCCTAACCTTAAAATTTAAGTCTATTTTGTAATCCCTTTAATTCCAGGAATTATTTACAAATTCATGATAATAAGTATTTAGAATGAACCAGTAACTTCAGCAGATTAATTACAACGAGGGCAGTGATTTAATTGTCAAAAATTGGTTATCCTTTATTATGGGTTAATGTGCATTTAACGTGTTATTTGTTTGTAGGAGGGGCTGCCCTAGATTTAAATTCTGTAACACCCAAACCATGTAAATGGATATCTGATATAACCTGGTTGAATTTAGTTCAACTTAGTTCTTTATCACAGTTCTCAGAAATACTGAATCAGGTGAACTTTTCTTTATTAATTATATTATATTGAATGGCATATTCAGACCAAGAACTTTATATTTTTGTAAACAAAGGATTATTTTGATACAAAATTATAATCAGATGAAATTATGTCTATAGAAGTTATAAATTGATGCTATTAATATATCAAGATCTCACTTTATTTAATGCCATTTAGATTTTAGATGTGTCACATATCAAACCCTTTAGAGACATCTTATGTATGAGAAATTCTTTGAAATATCCACATTTTAATATCTATATGTGTACAATTATGGATAGGTACCACGCAATGAGAAGGGTTGGAGAGCCTGGTTTGATTCAGATGCACCAGAAGAAGAACAGATACCTGATGGCTACAGTTCCTCTCTAGATACTTTTAGAAAACTTCTTTTAATCAGGTGATTTATTTTTATATGCCCACATTTTCATGGAAGTATATTGTTGCCGCTCATATTCGTCCGTCCGTTCACAATTTCTTTTTGAGACACTAAACAGGTCACAATTTTATCTGATTTTGACGAAACTTGAAATACAGGTTTACCTCTAAAAGATCTTGGTTCCTTTCAATATTGGCATGTATTGGACCATAACTTCATGGATTATGCCCCCTGATTCTACAAAAATTCATGTTTTTAGCTTATGGACACAAGAGGTCACAATTTTTATCTGATTTTGATGAAACTTGAAATGTAAGTTTATAACCCAAAGATCTCGGTTCCTTTCAATATTCGTGCATATCGGACCGTAACTTCCTGAATTATGTCCCTTGATAGTACGAAAAATCGTACACCCTAAGGACGGCTGAGTTCGAATTTCATGTAAATCGGCCCAAAATTGACAGACAAAATGGCTGCAGTTCGTTCTCAAATAGCGTAAAAAAAATATGGTATATCAAGGTTGTGGACCCTATAGAGGTCACAATTTTTATCCGATTTTGTTGAAACTTGAAATGTAAGTTTATAACACAAAGATCTTGGATCCTTTCGATATTTGCGCATATCGAATTGTAATTTCCTGAATTATGGCCCTTGATTGTAGGAAAAATCACTTTCTTTTTAGCTTGTTCGCTATCCATCTCTCCAAAATGTGGGCGTATCCTGCCTGGCAGCCGCTGGTTCAATCTTTTGATACTTTATGTTTGTATGTTTTGTTGCCTGGAAACCTATGTTTTCAATTTTTGTGTTGATATTTTTAGATCATGGTCACCAGATCGTACAATAGCCCAAGCCAGGACATATGTGGCTAAATCCTTAGGTGATAACTATGCTGATGCTGTTATTCTAAATCTAGAAGCTACATGGGGTGAAAGTATACCGAAAGTACCGTTAATCTGTTTACTGTCAATGGGTTCAGATCCTACTAACCAAATAGAATCACTCTGTAAAAAACTCCAACTAGGTAAATTCAGACGGACATATATAATTGTTTAATGAAATCGCTGGATTATTTTAGGCTAGGAGAGTGGCGCATTTACACATACTGTAAGTTGGTTTCAGATCACAGTCACTTAAGCCAGATTACTAGAGCTTTAGCATCTAAACTACATATTAATGATATCTACAATTTTAAAATTTAGATTAGATGAGATAAAAGAGCAATGAGAATTGTACAAATATATTTGAAAATATAAACCATTTATAAACTTTCTTATTAATTTATTCTGTTATATTTCAGAATTCCGTGCTATATCTATGGGTCAGGGTCAAGAAGTTCATGCCAGAAAACTTATCAGTCAGTTTATTCAGACGGTAATTATATATTGTTTCATATAGTATGCCTACATGGATCATACTGATGAGCATTGTAGTATATGGAAAGTGTGGGTGAAGAAGTAGAAAATTATCTTTAAAACTTCAATCTATGCAGAATTTGAAAGCTCAAACGTATTGGGTTTCCACATTATTTCTACTTGTAAATAGAACTTCTAGTGTAGTTTTATGGTATGAATTAACTAGAAACTGGTTGATTGTCTGGTACATCTGCTGTTTTTTGGAGATTATGTATATTCAAAGTTTTGTATTGTCTAAATTTATAATCTTAAGAATTTAGTAAAAAATTGTCTGCAACATGTGTTATTTTTCAGGGTGGATGGGCTATGTTGCAGAATTGCCATTTGGGTTTAAATTTTATGGATGAGTTATTAGAGACTCTGTTAGATGCCACTGCAATGCATGATGACTTTAGAGTATGGATTACAACAGAACCTAGTCCTGGTTTTCCTATCAGTTTATTACAGGTAATCTACACCCTTGTCATTTGTTAAGACTTTTTTATTGATTCACAATTTTTTGTGAACACTCCAAAGCAGAAGTTTCAAACTTTTTGAAACTTGTTGTGAATGTTTATTTAGCAATAAGATAGAAGCCTGTATTTGGGGCTACACATGGATGAGTTGTTTTACTAGACACCAGTCACCACAACCTGGTCCATTCTCAACAGGCTGGAGTGAATATTTATAATGGAATTACTGTCAACCACACCAAGGTGATGTGAGCTTATAATTTATTATTTGTCAGCAAAATTAAAACACTTTTGTATATTTTTTCAGAGCTCTATAAAATTCACAAATGAACCTCCTCAAGGTATAAAAGCTGGGTTAAAGAGAACGTATGCTGGTATAACACAAGATTTCTTAGACGTATCTAGTTTGACTCAGTGGAAACCATTATTATTTGCTGTTTCTTTCTTACATACTGTAGTTCAGGTACATATTTAATATATTTAATAATTTACTTTTGTTTACCATATCCTCCTAAATTTTAATCCAGGTCTCAATATGTTTTAGAAAGATTCATCTATATTGTATAATTTAGCAGCATAACATTACAATTATTGCCATTGTGTTGCTGGTTGAAAACTAATGATCTTTTTTTTCACTATAGGAAAGACGAAAGTTTGGTCCATTGGGTTGGAATATTCCATATGAATTTAACAGCTCAGATTGGACTGCCAGTGTACAATTTGTACAGAATCACTTGGATGACTTGGATATTAAAAAGGTAAAAAGACAAAATGATTGAATGTAATTGCTATGGTTTATATGTTTATTGTTCAACAAGGAGATGTTAATAAATATTAAGTAGTTTAATGTAATAATGAATTTAGAGCTAGAGCACCTAACCTTTATTATGTATAAACTGTTCAGTGGCACAATTACATTTTGTAAATTTATATACAGCAACAAATAAACCTGTCCACTTAATAGCCTTCATTTAGTTTTAGCGTGTGAAATTAAAAAAAACTGACAAAATTTGCAGAATGTAAGTGGTTTTGACCAATCAACACTTCAGTCAAACAGTCCTTTACGTTTAAGGTGCGCGTTCGCTCTTGCGCCTCCCACACACCTCGACTTAACTTTGTTGGAGTCATTGAATACTCCCGCAAATTAGCTAAATCACTCTCCCAAATATTGAGATTCATAAACTACCATACTTGCAGTTTTTGTTTATTTTTAAAACAGCATTTGTTTAAGTATAGTGACCTCCTCCATGCAATGAGGGTTTCCATGGTAAAACTAGGGCTTTTATAATTATTCGCCAAACATATTGAATGCTAATGTAAGGCTTGTTTTAATTGGATAGGAGTCTAAAATCTGCCAATAAAATACGATATTACTTGACAGTCAAATATGTCGCCAGATGTTGATTCTAGAATATCAGCGGGACACGTCTAATAATAACATTACGTTGTTTAAATGTTTTCATGTCCTGCTTGTCCCATTGGCATTGCGTTGATTATCGCTATCCATACATCTGGAGATGGTCAGACCTGTCATGTCTGCGACATTTTTAAATTGGAATTACTGGAGGACAAATAATCGGCGGTGGGGGACAAAAAAGGGTTTGCAAAATTGAGCTGGTCTTCCGTGCAATTTGTGCGTTAATCATGCTGACAAAGTGATCAAACTGATGAAAATTTGAGGAACATATAATATGAGACAAAACTAAACCATAATACATTGTAGAATTACTCTTGCCATATAAATAAGAAGAGTTGTTTTTATGAGAGCTTTTTTCTCAATTGGTGGGAGTTTTTATACGCCCACATTTTCATGTGGACGTATTATGCCGTCGCCCCTGTCCGTCCGTCCGTCCACAATTGTTTGTGGACTCTGTACAGGTCACAATTCTTATCCGATTTTGACGAAACTTGAAATATAGGTTTATCCCCAAAAGATCTCGGCTGCTTTCGATATTGGCATGTATCGGATCGAAACTTCATGGATTATGGCCCCTGATTGTACGAAAAATCATGTTTTTAGCTTGTGGACCCTAAAGAGGTCACAATTTCTATCCGATTTTTTTGAAACTTGAAATATAAGTTTATAACCAAAAGATCTCGATTCCTTTCGATATTCGCACATATCGGACAGTAACTTCCAGAATTATGGCCCCTGATTGTACGAAAAATTGCGTTTTTAGCTTGTGGACCCTATAGAGGTCATAATTTTTATCCGATTTAAAAAAACGTATTATTATATCACTGTTACACCCTAAGGATGGCTGAGTTCGAATTTCGTGAAAATCGGCCCAAAATTGACAGACAAAATGGCCGCCGTTTGTTCTCAAATAGCGTAAAAATATGGTATATCAAGTTTGTGGACCCTATAGGTCACAATTTTTATCCGATTTTGTTGAAACTTGAAATGTAAGTTTATAACCCAAAGATCTCGGTTGCTTTCGATAATTGCGCATATCTGACCGTAAATTCCTGAATTATGGCCCCTGATTGTACGAAAAATCGCGTTTTTAGCTTGTGGACCCTATAGAGGTCATAATTTTTATCTGATTTAAAAAAACGTATTATTATATCTCCGTTACACCCTAAGGACGGCTAAGTTCGAATTTCGTGAAAATCAGCCCAAAACTGACAGATAAAATGGCCGCCCTTCGTTCTCAAATAGCGTAAAAATAGGGTACATCAAAGTTGTGGACCCTATAGAAGTCACAATTTTTATCCGATTTTGTTGAAACTTGAAATGTGAGTTTATAACACAAAGATCTCGGTTCCTTTCGATATTTGCGCATATCCAATTGTAATTTCCTGAATTATGGCCCTTGATTGTGGGCGTATCTTGCCTGGCAGCAGCTGGTTTTACAGCTCCCACACCATTTCGTAAACGTAAAGGACTGGTCAAATTTCTTGTGAGGAAGTTATCAAAATTGAATTTAAAACCCACACACACAGCAAATAGTAACAAATAATGTATCATTGTGTCCAAAATATTGTAAGCAATAGGCATGAATCACTGTTGGAAGTTAAGATGTAGTTTTCTTTGAATTCGTGTATGGGAAACAGAATTGTAGCGTCCAGTAGCAATATTGTTTCTACATGTTACCTGGCACATATATTAGCTATGATTATGCTTGAATAAGTAAAGAACACAAACTAGGTATGATTCAGATTTTTATGAAAGTAACTTCTGCAATGATTTATGATTTAATTAATCAGACATTTATTAATGCTTACTTTGTAGGGTATATCTTGGACAACAGTAAGGTACATGTTAAGTGAAGTACAGTATGGTGGGCGAGTTACAGATGACTATGATAAAAGATTGTTGAACACATTCACCCGGGTATGTACATCAAATAATAAGCTTATACAGATGAATTTTACTTAATATGGTTTTCTTTACTTAGGTACAAATAGTACAACAGTGTCAATAGTGTCATATAGAAAACTTTCATTGATATAGTGAAATATAAAAATTGTATTTTGAAGGTTTATTTTTAAAGATGTAATGGTGTTTTTTTTATTATTTAGGTATGGTTTGGAGATTTCATGTTTTCAGATAATTTCCAGTTCTACATTGGTTATAAAATTCCTAAATGTCGAAGTGTTGATGAATTCATGGGATATATTGAAAATATGCAATTAGTTGATTCACCAGAAGCATTTGGTTTACATCCTAATGCTGATATCACGTAAGATGAAACTCATTCATTTGTAATGTTATTTTAAAAAGCTGCCTAACAAAACAAAATTTTTCTCATCACTCCATTTTTCTCTTTCTTAAAAATATGAAGGATAAAAAGTTATGGCCAGATACAAAACAAAGTGATTGAGAAAGAACTCTTTTTTATCTTGGGGAACCCAGTTATTTTTAATTACCAGTTATCAGACAATAATGACTTGTTTGTTAATAGAATTTAACCTGATACATTAAATGATTCTATATTACACTGGACACAATTTTATGGCATAGTGGTATTGCTGTCTATCGCTAATTATTGACACTTTGACTAAGATTCTGTAGCCTTTAGAAAGCTAATAGGGACACTACAATAGAATCGTAGTTGAAACATTGTCCAGAAATAAACAGTAATTGTATTCTGCATAGCTTTATATGTGTTTTTAGCTTTTGATAAGAGAGCTAAATCAAATTTGGTGGCAACTACATGTAACTGAAACCCCTTCCATTCACTTGATTTGATATTTGTTTATTTGGTGCAATGTCTATTTTCTGTCTGTTTATTTGGTGCAATGTCTATTTTCTGTCTTGTCCGCAGGTTTATCTTGTAGATTTTTGTTTTGCGTGTAGTGCGATCCTCCTGCACTTACTATTTGATGTACATGTACAGTTGTACATGTAGTATACTGTTTGTATGAATGTATTGAGTTGTCTATGTAATATGTATTATTGAATGTATATATATGACTATGTCTAAGTGTATATGTATGCATGCTGTCGTTCTATGTAATTGTGTCATGTTTTATTCTGAGTGAGTTACAAAATGCCTCAAACAATATATTCTATACTTGAATTGATTGTATTATTTAGGTATCAGACTAATCTAGCTAATTCAGTATTAGAGACTATTATGAGTATACAACCTAAAGATGCAGGTAGTGGAGGAGGTGAATCAAGAGAAACTATTGTTTATAGAATGGCTAGTGATATGTTAGATAAGCTACCATCAGATTATAAAGCACATGAGGTGAGCCATATATTTGTCAGTAGTACCTGTCAATAAATTTCTTTGCAGATATAAGTTTTACTACTAAAAGCAGAGAATATTTGGCATTATTTATTCATAAACAAATCATGTCCAATTACTGCATCTGGATTACTGCATTTAGTAAAAACCTACAGTGTAGCAACAATTTCACAAATAGGGCATTTGAAAACTCAGTTGGTTCAATTAGTAATTGGTGTTTGTTTATAGTAAATGAAACTATTGAGAGATAATAAACAAGGGGTACTATTCGATGGATTGCAAGTAACAGAGTTTAAATTGGTAACATTTATAAATTAATATGCATATTTAACAATTGTTCTGGCTTGCATAAACTCATAGCTTTAAGTGTAGGCCTACTGGTACTGTAATAAAGACTTGGAACTTATTATAATTATTATAATGGTTGTTTTTCTATGAAAAGATTGAAAGTAAATTCTTATTGAAACAGTACTGGTATTTGCAAATTTTATCCTGCAGGTTAAAGATCGCTTGAAAAAGATGGGCATGTTACAACCATTGAATATTTTCCTGAGACAGGAGATTGACAGAATGCAGAGAGTTATAACAGAAGTTAGAATAACTCTCACTGATTTACAATTAGCTATTGATGGTACTATTATTATGAGTGAGGTGAGGTTTTTATATCTCCTCTACTGATAAACAAACATTGATTAATCCAGTCAATTATGTTGAAAATGATATTAAGAAATCAAGCGAGCATTTTATTTCAATACACTTACCTCTAACATACGTGAAGTTTACTTAGTAGAGAGATGGCCCCAATTCAGCAGCAAGATAATTAGCAATATATGTGAAGCAAAAAGAATGATCAGACATTTATTTCTATAAAGCTATACGTACAGTTGCATAATTTCATATACTCTAGATATGATTTTACAGTGATTTGTCAAAAGGTATAACTTACAAGAATGTAAAAGATACCCTGGGGATTAAAAAAAAAAATTATAACCGTGTACAGTCAGTGCTGTAATGTTAATCTTTACTAATTTATTTTAGACCTATAAAAATGTAAACTGTGTTTGCAACCATTTGTATGTATATACTATTCATGTAATGTATTTCATTACATCGATACCTTGACTAAGTTTGATAATGAACATTTTCTGCTCAGGGTAAGCAAAGCGATAAGCAATTTGATTGGTTGAGGCTTTGGAATACAATAACTCTCTTTCTAATTGAGCAACAATGTTCACACTTGGTGTAGGTGTTTATTAGGTGAATGGCTTGATGGAGTTCGAAGATGAAAATTTTCTGCTTAGGGTAAGCAGAGATAAGCAATTTGATTGGTTGATGCTTTGGGAAACGATAACTTTAGTTCTAATTAAGTGAGAGTTTTGAAACTTGGTGTATTGTTTCATCGAATCAATACCTTGATTAAGTTCGATAATGAACATTTTCTGATGAGATTAAGCAGAGTGATAAGCAATTTGATTGGTCGAGACTTTGAAACACAATAACTCTCCTTCTAATTGAGGTAGTAGCACATGTAGGTCAATAGAAGGAATGACTTGACAGAATTAAGATTGGATGTTTTATCCACATGTAGCTCAAGGCCAAGTGAACAAAATTGTGATGTCTACTGTTGAGTATAACATGCATACCTTCTAGAATTAATAAACAAATTAGTAAAAAAAAAAAGAATGTGCTGTATACTCTGGGAAATATGATAATTTCTAGTTTTTACAAAAATTCATTATGCTGCTTAAGGCTTAATCTACATTTGAAATATTTAACAATTTCAGAGGAATGAAATGGGGTTTAACATCCTACTGTTTTGCTCCTGCTGAAGAAGGAACCAATTTGAAAGACCAAAGTATGTAGATCTACTATAATTATGTGTAATGTTATTATTTCAGAATTTAAGAGATGCCCTTGACAACATGTTTGATGCTCGAGTACCTAATCTGTGGCGTAAAATATCTTGGCAGTCATCTACAGTAGGTTTTTGGTTTACAGAATTATTAGAAAGAAATGAACAGTTTAATACCTGGATTTTTATAGGTAGACCTGATGTCTTCTGGATGACTGGTCTCTTTAATCCTCAAGGTAAGGTCATCATCTTATATTTCTAGAATAATATTTATTAATATGTTATATTTCAAAGTTGTTTGATTTCCAGAAACTGAGGATAAATTTTTAAAATTTTGTGCTAATGTACATTTTATTGAAAATATCTTAGATGTAACAACAAAAATATTGATTTTTACTTAACTGATAAATCAAGAATACTATAAATAAAAGGTACATAATTTTATTTAGGTTTCCTAACGGCTATGAGACAAGAAGTTACAAGAGCCCATAAAGGTTGGGCTTTGGATTCAGTTACCCTACATAATGATGTTATGAAAACTTTTAAAGAGGATATTACTAGTCCGCCAGTTGTAAGTATTTAAATTAAGATATTGTAGATGAGGCATTTCATTGTATTAGTTACATACAAGTACAGTTCTAAATTAAAAATTTCTCATGAACAAAGAATTTATAAGAAATCCCCAAACATGTATACATACAACACTTTTGATGTAAGTAGATTCATATGTCCATGTATAGTCTAGTGTGCAAATAAAAATCATGTGTTTTCCCTCAGTAGTTGTTCCCCCCTCACACCCAGAGAACAACGTGCACAATTGAATTTGAGAAATGAACGAATTTGTATTATTGAGACATCAAACCCCATTCATATAAAGTGCTCTTGTAATCAGATAAAAGTGTTATTTATAATATCAACATGACTATAATTAAATTAATGAAGAATGGTTAAATGCCTTTCCATTATAACATAATGAACTGATTTATTATTTGTTTTTCAGGAAGGGGTTTATATTCATGGTTTATTTCTTGATGGTGCAGGATGGGATAGAAGAAACTGCCGGCTGTGTGAACCTCCAGCTAAAGTTCTCTTTACAGCCCTACCAGTTGTTCATATGTTTGCTATAAATTCTACAGCAGGTAAAGATCCACGTCTTTACCAGTGCCCTGTTTATAAAAAACCTCACAGAACAGACCTGACCTACATCTCTCTTATCGTAATGAAAACCAACCAAAACCCTGATCATTGGATACTCAGGGGTGTAGCTGCCTTATGTGATATCAAATAAACACTTTGATCAAAGAATCTACACTAGTCTTTTACATTTTAATTTATTTTTGATTCAAATGTGCCAAATACAATGTATTTAATCAACATATATATTTTTAAAAAAAAATAATTATATATACTTGAAGACTTAAAATGTCTATATCCATAATTTATGATAAATTTAATAAAATTGTTAAAATATGTGAATTTCTTTTTTTTCTCTCTCTAAATTTAAATAACTATGGTACTGAGTTGATGAATGTTTCACCACATGTACACTTGGTTCCTAGGACCCATTTGTCACAAATTAAACTCCAGATTAGAGAACTGATCAACCATGTTGTGTACACTACAAAAATGTTGCTTTATCTTTAATATTCCATGTTGTGGTATCAATAGTTATTGTCTACATAGCTGACACATAAACAACTTATATTGTGTGCACTACCACTTCACATTTCTAACAGCTCCTGTTTAAAGGGAATACAAAGCCAGAGAAAAATGAACAATGACTGGAGACTAAAGGGAGATAATTTTATTAGAATTGTACTCTGTAAACACGGCCTTTAAAAAGCAAATTTCTGTGAATAGGAAGATTACTTGTATCCATGAGCTGATTCTTCAAATGGTTAAGTTACTTAGTCATCTGGTAGTGCTATAAAATAATGCAATGATCTTAAATGTTGATTGTAGAACACAGACTTCACATTATCCAAAATGGTTAATATGCTTGCATGAGTCACTTGAAGCTGTGATATGAACTTGAAGACATCAAGGTGGCGACACTACTTTTCATCATTCATTGTACGATTGACCTATTTCTCAGATGATAGATTCATGTTCTTGGTGTTTTATATCTAATTTTGCTTTCTGGTTAATGGACCTGCATGATGTATTTCGTTGAAATGCACTGCTGGGTAGTGTCTGTATTTGAAGTCGTTTCAAGGTCTTGTGCAAGACATTGCATAATATACTATTCAGAAACAGTACAAAACTGCGGAAATGCACTACTGTTTTTATTAGAGGTAACCAGTGTATTATGATAACAGGCCAATTGCCTACACATGAACATAAACAGTTCATATGGGCGGCTTATCCGACAGGCCCCATCATTTCACTCCCCATTATTTCACTCGCAATGATATATACCTCAAAAGTGAAAATGGACGTTTTTGATTTTTGTCTGGCATGCTCCTAATCAACGTCCAATCACAATTTGGGGCAATCTGACCCACTCCTCTTGCAGCGCCACGGACAATTCTTGCAGTGTTGTCCGTTGACGAACACGTCTCCCAATCAAACGTAACAGCATGCGGCAGTTTTCGTCAACCCTTCTTTGAAGTGTCCAATTTGACAATGAACCCCTCCCACGTGTATGGCGCTATTGCGTGTCGCATGTGTAGCTCAGTGGTTCTGTTGGGGGATAAGTTCTTCATCTGTGAACATACTCTCAAAGCATGTCAAGTGTCCATGACCATTTATCATATTGCAAAATGCATAGGTATTTGCATTTCAATATCCCCTACTTTTTTTTTGAAGAGTACATCTAGTTATAGCACTTGTGCTAATGCACTAGTGCAATATCAATATATTACTTAATGTCTCGCACTCAACCATTGAACCAACCAAATTTGGCCAAAATATAAACTGGTTAGTGCTTCTGCTCCCCACACAATGTGAAAATAGGCATGATTTGTCAGAAATTGTGATTTAGATAAGGACTTTTTAAAGCAACTATCATAGAAAATTTTAGAGACTTCACTTAGTACGGTAATTTTCAGCAGAGATACAAGTTAGATTTCATATTCAATAGATAAAGTATTATCTGAGGTCGAACTTGACCATCTAATGCCGCATGCTGAGAAACAACGATTGTTTACCATATCTTTAAATAATACTAGCTTCTCACACAGATGATTTCACAAGGAAGTAAAATACACAACAGTTTGTCTTCAATCAGTTTATTCACATTTAATTTGATTCTAATATAAACATTTCAATTGTTACCATTATAAACTGAATTCATTATAGCACTACAGTTCAATTTGCACTATAAACCTGAAGATGAAAACCTTACAAACAGTATGCTGCAAAAGGTCTTGCTCATAATCATGTAACATTGTTTAAGGCTGTAACCCAAAATTCTTCTTCAACAATGCTTAGATTACTAGAATCTTGTCAAAATTATTCCATTTACCTATATGAAGGTTACAAATGCAATTTCAAAATAGAATTTATATTAAAGGCTCAATACCACTCTTGTTGTAACTGAATAATATGTCCCAATCTTTTTCGGTCAACAAATTGCACTATTTTACAATATTCTAATTAATTGATGATACAAATTTCATCTTAACACACCTAATTTAAAAAAATTGGAAAAATTCAACTAAATGATTTGAAAAGCCTGATGTAAAGCTTTTCAAATGTGACTTGGATTTAAAAATATTTTCGAACCCTCTGGACAAGTAAAATAGGATTTAATGGATAATTTACACAACAGGTAAGACACTAACACATCTAGTACTTAGAATAAGGCTATTTTTTTTATTTCTGGAGCTGTCAAGCCAGCAAGAGTGTTAATGTCCCTTTAAACTATATCTTTAACCCTTCCTGAGCTAATCCCGACAATCGTCGGGATAATTTTATAGTCTGTCAGAGCGGCACCCGACGATAGTCGGGAAGTTTATTTAACTTGGTTTACTCCCCTGTAAAAGCATGGTTTTAACCTTAGATGGTGTATAACACGAGTTTTTATTACAAGTTTTTATTACGAGGGGGTTTCCTCTATTGACGGAACAGCCATCAATAGTCAGAACAGCCGAGGAATGGCGTCCTTCACAACAAAAAGACTGCGACTGAATTTAGCCGTGAGTCCCGATGTCGATGACGTCACGCCTATATTGGATTCGGGTAGTGACTATACTATTAGTGGGGATTCTTCTTGTGATGAAAATTCAGATGTTTGTCACAAAGTAAAGACACAAAAAAGGGAGACTTCTCCGGAAGAAATTATTCGTCTGCTTTTATACAGTCGCGCACGTAGATCGCTACCAATATAGACGTATACGATATGGTCAAATTGGTTACCATGGCAACCCTAATGTGAATATTTCGGTATATATTATTGTTATTTTCCAAATATTTAATTTATTTTTATTTTATTGTTAATAAAAACTTGTTAATGATGATTTTTATATGTGTGTTGCCTACCGCAAAATTGTCAATACTGCTCGTTTACATTTTATTATTTTTAGAAAAAAACATTATTATCACAATTTAGTGACTTTTCCCCAAAAACCTATACTATTCTTACAAAAGAGATATCTATCATGTTAATAATCCATATAGCTTTATTCCTGACCATCTTGAATTTTTTAATGACAAGAAAATATCCAATATTTCATTTATGACAATAATATGGCAGCCATTTTGAAACACACTGGTAACCATAGTAACCATAAAATCTAAACTAAACATATGCAAAAATCCCAAGTCATATATAATGGATATACATTTGCAATTTTACAGTTGTAGTCGCATTCATATTCAAGGTATGCATGGTTTTTCACAACAGGGTCTAAAGCTTGATTTTTACTCAATATTTGCATAGCCCTCTATGGGTATGAAGTGGTTAGCTCAGGAAGGGTTAAAATGTACCACAAGTTATCTCATTTATTTCAATATTATATACACAGTTCTATAAAACATTCATCAACTCATCACCTACAGGTTAATCTCATAATGGAAAATGATGTATAAATTGCACAAACTATTTTGCAATGGGATGGCAGTGATTTTTCTGCCCACTCTTCATGAAATACCAAGTTCAATAATAGCCACACCTGACAAAGAGAACCAGGCTAAAAATGAAGATTGTTCTTCTCAGCAGGTCTCAAGTGAAAGGGGACAGTAAGACTTATTAGTAATATTTCAACAAATTATTTGGATGAAATCAATTTCAAGCATTGATATCAAAAATAGCCCTTTCTCTAAACTTAGACAATTTATCGACCCAACACAATGGAACATTAATAATCAATTTTTGAAAAATTTCATTTAACTTAAAATGACATTTCCACTGTATATTATTGAGTATGCTTTTAACAAGGTTAAGGTTTATTTAAAGCTAGATATCTTCTTATCCACCATTGCTATACAAGGTTTCATTTCAACTCTTTCTACACTCACTTCTAACAACCTGGAAAATAAAATAACATTGATTAAATGATGCGGCAGATAGCAGATAGTTTACCTTGGACGAGATGTCATTTTGTGGATTTGTTTGTTTGTCCAGGGCATATCTCCAAACACTCCTGCACACACCCAGGGCTGTCGGTAATTTTTCACAGTTGATCAAAAAGTCCAATTTTGTCAAATTTGATTAGCAAATTTAAAAATTGATTAGCAGTTTTTCAGTTTCAACGTAAAACACCTAAATAACAAGATATTACTTTAATTCATAACAAATATGATTTGTGAATGTGATGTAGACATTTAGTTAGGTCTGAAGCCAATTCTTGACAGTGACTTCCGAAGCCCCACTCATTTTAATTGTTATTATTTTGTAACGTTAGAAATCTTCGTTAGAAAACAATTTCGTCTGCTTTTGATGTGTATTATTATTTTTATTCAATCGGGCGCACCTCGATTAACTAGACACACGCGATATAAACAATAATATTTTACGGGAATTTATACTTTGATTTATCATTTTACAATACGTTAGCATGTATTTATTTTTTATATTTTTTTACAATACCTGGGGGATACACTGGATTTATTTCTTTCAAAATGAATATGATAAAATTACTTGATGTCTCGCGACGTGAGTGGTACTACTTGATTCCCTATTTCCGGTTTAATAGTCCCTATTCATAGAGTTATGTCCCTGTTTATATATTATTGTGTCTGGGTAGTTCGAGAAGAAAATGTCATGCAGAGAATTCAGTTTTGTTTATAAAATTTTATTCAACATTTTATACACGTTGAAAGTATTGAGTAAGCCTTCTAGTCTTCAAAATGTGGATTATTCTTGTGTCAATATCCAAAATGACAGGCATATTAATGATTCGCAACTGCGAATCAAAAACGTTAAGATTTGCATTTTTGGTTAGCAACGGACAAAATATGTATCGCAAATTGCTCTGCGATACTGATTGTCGGCAGCCCTGCGCACACCCTATAAACAACCATGAGTGGTATGTCCAACCTATGATCTAGTGGCACACCTGGCATTAAGATTGCTATGACAAACACTGTTGCCAAATAGCCACCCATAACATTTATTTTTTATAGCTTTCGGTATAGCACCTAGAGGCATTGTCCAATTCGAACAAAACTTTTACTTAAGCATAGATCTCACATAGTACGCCATCCAGGTCAATACATTTTTAAACAGCCTATCTTGCACAAAATGTGTCTTCTACAGTTTTGATCTTTTGACATGGTTTTCACTGGAGGGGTTTAGGAAGCCATTTTTAACACCTTTATTTCAAATCGGTGGGTGTCAAGCCACAAAAGATTAACAAGCAATCACCAATCAATTCATCAATCAATTCACCAATCAATTATCGGTGAGATTAAAACTCGCTCGCGTAGGTCTTTGTTGATTACTTTGATAATTTTATAATCTCTTATAAGACAGTTGTGACAAATACTCAAGAATACCCATGAATTATTCACAGTCAGAAAAATATTCCTAGCACCTGTTGGGAACATTTGTTGCGTATGCCGATTTAACCTGAATACGTAAGTTTGTTCACCCCATGGATCTATCCGAACCGTGTGACCACGACCTGGACATAGAACGACAGATTATCAATGAATATGTGATGCCAAAGACAAGTGTGCGATCAACTGAAAACAATGAAGAAGATAAATTAACGACAGATTTGACCTATTCAAAATGCCTACGCATGTTAAATGAAATAAAAATTAATGGAATAAAATTTTGAATGTACAGAAAGGTTTATCATATTTAAAAGGAATAACGTTTGGGGATTCGAAGCTACATTACAATAATACATCCGGTTTTCGAAGTTACAATAATACTTCCGGTTTTGAGAAAACTGAGTATTCCGACACTCTGCGTAATCCAACATATTGTAACAATCCCGTACGATGTCTGATTTGACAGAGTCCACTGTACTTTAAATGTCAGCATTTACAAGGTTTATATTCTTTCAGCTAGTTTCATTGAAATTTTCAGCCAGACTACTACAATCTGTTTTTATCAATTCATTAAACAAATTACTTAATACTTGCCATTCTTTAAATTCTTCCACTTCCTGCTTTTGTAAAGAACAGGCTTTTATAGCTTGTTTAGTCAATGCTGCTAATGAACGATAGCAACTATCTTTAGTTTTACAATGACTAGCATCATCCCAATCAGGTAAATTACCAACTTCTTCCCAGGCTTTCTCTATATAATCTAGAGCTGTATTCCATGAGTTAGCCTCTGCTAGTTGTTTACCTTGTCCAACACAAGCCGTCTGAAACCCAATTAAACTTTTGTTAGAAAAAAATTATTCAACATAGGCCAAATTCTCGGGTTGAAATTTTGTCATCTTCGTTCCCGCTAAAATGGTCTATAAAATCAGACAATTAATAATCTTGCTGATGAGAACTCACGTGACGCGGCGAACAGCTTTGAATTCTGTCCAGTGACCCCACGCACTACTGTATGAATTTTATTACCAATAAATAATTCCGATTTCAAAGAAGAATATCATAGCAGAACTATTATTTTATTATTTTTTTGTTGAACATCACAACAAACGATTATCACCATATTAACTTAACACTGATAAAATTTCTTCTAGACTGGCTTTGTAGGAACGAAAATATTTTTGCAACGAGAATTTGTGCATATAAAACGCGACCTAACATCCAAATAACCTACTTTTCAGCATCATTCAAGACGGGCATCTACCATGCAGTGATTGAATATTTGACCATACATGTGCATTTCCACACATGTGGACCACAGTGGATGTTTACATGTATGTTTTCAACAAGCAACTGAACATTTTTCGGGTGAATGGTAGAAAAGTTTGAAATCTTTTTCCACATGATAAATTTGACAAGTTTATGCCCAATGTTTACCAAAACCAACAAGTGAAACTCCAGTGCTGATCTTATGTCAGTGTACTACTGAGAATGATGTGTGCAACATCTAAAATGTGACGGTAATGTAGAGTCTCCTACACGAAAAGTGAATGATAAATTACATATTCACACAAGTTACACTCTGCTAATCAAAGTATGGACTGCTCACCTTGAAGCTCATGACATGTGTTTTTACTCTTCTGTAACAAAAAGCATCACGCCCAGAACCAAATCTGGAGTTAGGTAAGGATTTATAAATATTTCTCTGTAAATATTCTAGATTTTTAATAAGTGGTGTAACATCAGGTCTAGGTAGTGAATTTAACACTTCCTGTAAAATAAAGTACATATATAAAATGGTAATAATTTAATCAACGATGATTGCTTAAACTCATCCACACCTTTCTTAAATTTAAAATATAATAGATAACAAAAATTCTTACTCATGTAAAGTAAAAGATAGGTTGCCAGGCACTGAATCATACGCCCACAGCAGCTAAATCGTCCGGGCAGTCAACAAGAGTTGTCGCATATTTTTACTTTTTTCGGTAATGAAATATTTATAATACACTAAAATCTGATTAAGAGCAACAACTCACGAAGTAATTATCAGAAAACTATTAGAATTTGTTTGGTTTTTATAAAGTTCTGCCCCATGCTAACGTTGGCCTCTAGAGCGTCCACAGGATTTTTCAAAGTGATCAAGGGTCCATAACTCTGGTAGTAATTATCGGAAATCGCTGAAAATCAATGGGCTTCTTCGTCTCAAGACCTTAAACACTGTGTATAAATTTAAAGTCAATCAGATGTTAACTTTAGCCTTTAGACCGTCCACAAGCAATTGTGGACGCCGGACGGACGTGACGACAATAAACGACCACATTTCAATGTGGGCGTATAAAAATTGTATCATGCTGCTGAAATTTCAGAAGTAGGAACTACTTTTTAGAAGATCCCCCCTTAGCACTGGCCAAAAGATGAGGAGTCATTCTTTGAAATAAATTCAGGAATCTTTCTTTGTTTTTAGTTGCTAAAGAAATACAAACATGTAATTACAATGTATTCATTCCACTTGTTTATTGCTTGTAAACTTACTTGTTTTAGTTGATTGTCACCTCCAACTATTTTCAGAACAACATCAATTATTTGTTGCTGACTTAAAGCTTTTAATTTATCAGTCAACTCACAAACTTGATTTTTCTTTATATCTTTTTTCTTCTTGGCTGGTGAACCATAGGACTGAAATCAAATGTAAGTATTAAAATAATAAAAAGCTACAATTCAACAAATGGATATCAACAGATTGCCAGCTTATGTAAATTTAAGAACTATGAGCTATTTCATCATTACCAGCAATATAGATGTTACATTTTTTGTTAATTACATCCAAAAGTGAAACAGGAGCTTGTCAGATACCCTAATACGGCCTAAAGCAAAAGTGCATCATTGCAGTAACACTTTAATTGTGCAGTGAGTCTAAGCTTTAAATGATATGCACTTGTAAAAACAAGGCAACACTTCCCTCTCTTACCAATGATGGAATAATGTGATAACTTGCACACCTTTCTATACTTTGCTAATGCTAGGTTCCCATTACAGTGCAATGTGTTACAATAGGATTGTTCCTATTGAGTCCAAGATCTAATACATGCAGATATGTCAGGACATGTTTCGATATGATCAACACGATTGCTAGGACTGACCTCAATCATCACGATTACTCTTCGATTAAAACCACAAATTCAATCGTAGCTCGAATCGTGACAGCGGTAACCTCGCTAAGGAAAAAAAAGGCAAAAGTTAGGCTGATGTCCCCAGCCGAAATCCCAAAATAAATAGATGACAAAAATTAATTAATAGCACATTTATTTTTTTCAAAAGTATCGAGCAATCAAACTATACACTAAGTTTCATCACTCTCTATCAAATAGAATCAAGATTATCTTGTCCCAAAGCATCGACCAATGAAATTGATTAGCTCTGCTTAGCTTCAGCTCAAAATGTTAATCATTGAACTCAGTCAAGACATTCACCTAATGAACATCTACATCAGGTTTAAACATTCTACCTCAATTAAAAGCAGATTTGTTATGTCTTATGTTCCAAAGTCTTGACCAATCAAATTGCTTATCGCTAAGCAGAAAATTCTCACTATCGAACTTAGCCAAGGTAATGATATAATGAATCTATATTCGGAGTTTCATCGATCTCACTTCATTATAACCAAAGTTATCGTGCCCCAAAGCATCAGCCAATTAGATTGCTTTTCTCTGCTTACCGTAAGCATACAATGTTCATTATTGAACTCCATCAAGGCATTCACCTAATGAAAGCCTACACCAAGTTTGAACATTCTACATCAATCAGAATGAGAGTTATTGTGTTCCAACTTCTCAACCAATCAAATTTTTTATCGCTCTGCTTACCCTGAGCAGAAAATGCTCATTATCGAACTTAGTCAAGGTATTGATGTAATGAAACTATAGACACAAAGTTTCATCACTTTCACTTAATTAGAACTAAAGTTATAGTGTCCCAAAGCATCAACCAATCCAATTGCTTATCTCTGCTTACCCTAAGCAGAAAATGCTCATCTTGAACTCCATCAAGGCATTGACCTAATAAACACCTACACCAAGTTTGAACATTCTAGCTCAATTAGAAGGAGAGTTATTGTGTTCCAACGTCTCGGCCAATCAAATTGCTTATCGCTCTGCTCACCCGGAGCAGAAAATGCTCATTATCGAACTTAATCAAGGTACTGATGTAATGAAACTATACACCAAGTTTTATCCCTCTCACTTAATAAGCACCAAAGTTATCGTGTCCCAAAGCATCAACCAATCAAATTGCTTACCCTAAGCAGAACATGCTTATCTTTGAACTCCATCAAGGCATTGACCTAATAAATACCTACACCAAGTTTGAACATTCTAGCTCAATTAGAAAGAGAGTTATTGTGTCCCTAAAAGTGTGACGGACAGACAGATGGACGAACCCATTTTAATAGTCCCCTGCTTTCTTCAAAGGCGGGGGGACAAAAACAGATACATGTACATTTGGTGATGGTGATATTAATATTAATAATTGTAGTTTTTAACAATTACTATTAAAAAATCTGTATCTTCTGAGGTATCTTCTTGATATAAAACCAGCCTCTTCCGGACTCCACGAAGTGCTGAATTGGTTCTTCCTGGTGTGTCTGTGTCTTTTTCAACAGCTGGTGAACTGACTGAATCATCTGAAATAAAAAGTTTTTATAAGAATCCTGAGCAAAACAATGGAGGGAGGTTGAAATGGACTCTGTCTGTACTTTCCAGAGTACATTTCATATGAAACTCTGTACACACATCAACCTATTAGAATTTCTAGGATTGTCTCAAGGCAGTGTCTACAAATGTACCAGAAGGATAATTCTGAAGGGTGGCATTCACAAAAGTGAATGAGCAAACCAAAAAACAGTTTAAACATGTGGAAATGTATTAATACCCAATTGTGTTAAATCTGTGGTTACAGATTTGCGAGGCGATTTTCTTGGACTTGTCCTGGTTGCTGTGGTTGATTTTGATTTTCTCCCTCTCTGTCGTATAATTGACTCATCAGGTGTAACTGTTGGAGTTATAGGTCGCCATTGGTTCGGAAGGTCACCTGTAAAATGCAAGAAGTTAATATCAAGACCTCATTAACTCACCTCAATTTCATCCCTATTAGTTACACAGTAGCGATAAAGCCAATATTCACTGTGGATCAGTTTGCATAATCATAGTCACATGATAGTGCTCAAGAGTCAAAAGGTGCATTTTAATTATTTGGTCCTAGTAAGGCTATTTTAGTTTTGTGAGACACTATACACATTAAAAAAACAAAATGAGTTTACACAGGGAAATTCAATGCCGTTAATCCTAGCTAGAAACAAAAACATTGATCAATGTGACTGTTTTTAATATTTAGCAAAGTTCTCTAGAAGAGGTTAGGTGGATCAACAAACCCAATAATAAATGACTTGTGAATGTCACTATTGAATGTGACGTCGTACGTACTCCTTTATCAATTCACAGACATTTTAAATTAATTAGCTATAGGCCAGTTCATTTTTATCTAGAATTAGTAAATTACAGTAGCAATAACAACCTGTGTCGATTAGATATTCTCTTAGCGGTTGACGCGCACGTCTTGGTGATCTCGTCGCCATTTTTCTTATTCTCCTGCTGGCCTTTGCCTTCTTGGGGCTTTTTCCAGGCTTTTGATCCTATATTAGACGTTATTTTTTTTACCATAAACCATACAGAACGACTGTAATTTTTTAATAAAATAGGTGCGCTACTTATCCAGGTGTGATTTACACCTTATCAAAACATAAACTGTTATTTACACGAGAACATTATTAAAGCCCCGGGAAATAATTTCCTTCGTGGTTCGCGGTTTAACGGCATATCGTGTTTTGATTGGATGGCGAAGCGTGGGAATGAGGCCCGCCACCTAGCGTGCCAACAACAGTGACAGTTATCTTTATTATTATAACCCTGACCGAAAGAGCATTCACACCGTACACGGAGTATTATTTTTGTAAAGTGCATCTTGATAGCATATATTGTGCTAAAATATAGTCTCCATGTCACCATGTGCCCCAAAGACGAGACACATACAATAAACAAAAACACTGCATAAATTAGAAATCTTCTCAACCAGACCCATAAGCATATCGTTATATTTATACATTACTAAAAAAATACATAAATAAATAGTTATCTTTTTTATTTAACAAATGTTCACATGGCTAAAAATGTTATATTTATTTTTATTATACTTTATTAGGCCTGTGAAACCATGGTGTAAAATAATAAAATATGAATCACTCCACACTAGTTTGCGTGTTCTGGCTCCGGAAATGGTACCGGTATAATTTTATTTCGATAATTCGCTTGCGCGTAGGTTTGTTTTTTTTTTTTTTGCAGTGGCGGGAAAACGCAGGACCCGAAGAAAACCCACCAGATTATACGGACGAGTCTACCTGATGTCATATACAAGCTTGGGATCGAATGCCCACGCCTTTTGAAGATCCCACCCATTCCACCCGGTCGATTGCACCCAAAGGCTATTCTCTAACCAACCCTGCATGTTGCAATGTGTCCATTAGCCTACTAAGTCGAAAGTATAGCTTTTCTGACATGATTAATGATTACTTTTATCAAAGGAAATGTGGTTTGATGTCCTACTGTAGCCTATATATTATTATACTGCATCGACTGCATGGGCTAATAATAAAGACGGGATCACCTTTATCATCGAAGTCTTAGACGTGCGTATATATGTTTCAAATTATATGAGACATTGACAAATTACACCTGATTATCATCTAAAACAATATTTAAAAATGAGCAAGTAATTAAATAAAAAAAAGGTAGCCAACGCAATTTAATTCATTGTTTTAAATAGTGTTATAAAAATCTTATCTTATCTTATCTTATCTTATCTAAGGATGATCATTGCACATTTCAGGTTGATCACTGCACGCTAATTTTATACACTTATCAGACTCTGAAGAGAGAAGTGGCAAGTATTCATAGATATTTTGCATACCTAACCATATTTTTTATGTTGAACGAAGCTGTGGCCTCGGGGACCTCTTTCCCCAAAAAATAAATCATAAAAAAGCTGGGCTACAATGGAACATCTTTCAATATATTGTTATTGATTTTATATCTACTCTTTTATTGTGCAGTGAATAAGTATTATAATTAAATAGGGATTAGCCTATATTTTATAATCTTTCAAAATTAGAACAGATTGTATCATATACATCAAAACAACCTTCAGTTAATAATAGAGACCTATGGAAATAGATCGATATGTTTACAATAACAAAGAAACGCATCGCTGCCAAGGGTAATACAAAATAAAGCTCCATTTTTACAATAAAAAGCTACGGGAATTTCCCTAAATGTTGAGGAATTATTCTATTGTAACGTACGATACACGATAAAAATTTTTTTTTGACCCAGCCAACCGTACCAGTGGGCCTCCAAATTTATACAAACAAGGGTTATACGCTGGTATACGCTGCGCGACTAATTAAAGTAGCTAAGTCTCATACTCAATATCATCCAAAACTTTCGACAATGAAAACACGAATTATCTGTCAATTTTAATCGACATTGGTGTTGTGATCTTACCGGGAAAAGATGGGCTTCTGATATCCAATATTTAAGACAAAATAAACATTTTACGATTGGTACACGAATCGTGTTTAATGCGTTTCAGCGCAATTTGTAACAAGCGACTCGGAAGAACGAGGTAAGACATATTCCACAAGTCATGTCAAACGGTGAGCCCATATTCTTATCTGGAGAGCATACGCAATAAATACTATCGTTGTAAACTGGAATAACCAGACGCTAGAGATTGCCATTCGATTGAGACTTCTGGCGTATTTCGCCGAACATAACTGCTTTGAAATTAGAGTAAAAACGGAAACGATTGAATGTAAATCAGTTTTATTACATTCGTATTACATTAGTATATACGTTGCGACCCATTTGTGTCAATTTGTAGGTCCCAAATATTAGCGATTTAGCTCCTTTAACTTCAGTCAGTGGGCCCACTAATTTACTCTATTGCCCACCCTGCTTAAAGCACAGACACATTGGTTTTTTTAAACGAAAAAGGATTAGAACACCTTTTATACTCTAAAAAAAACCCCACTAATTTCAATACTATTTCAGTTTTTGTAGTTCACGAAGTCCAATGATAGCCAAAGGAAGTTTACCTAAATGTTTGAGAGAGAAAGAGAGAGAGAGAAATGTGTATTAACGTCCACTTGACACAAACTAGGGCATTTCGGGACTAACATATGGTTTAATTTTAGTTCAATAATTCGCTTGGGCGTAGGGGTCTTTAGCAGCGGGAGGACCCGGAAAAAACCCACGAGGTTGGACAGGCGAGCCTAGCCTACTCCTTGTCACGTACAACCGGGAATTCGAAACCACGTCAGTTGACTCAATCACAGGCTTTATGATACAGCGCGCACGAGCTAACCATTCAGCCATCCAAACCCCCAATGTTTGAGAGAGAGAGAGAGTTTAAAGCCCACTCGACACAAACTATAGGTAATATCGGAACTAACATATGGTTCAATTTTATTTCAACAAATCACTTGCGCGTTGGGGTCTTTTATCTGTGAGAGTATACCACTGGATTCAATGACAGACCTTTGATCTAGCGCACACGCGTTAAACCATTCGACCACGAAACCCCCAAATATATTAGAAGTAAGCGATAAAAATTTAAAGCGCAGATATTGTTTATCCAAAAATTCTGAAAAAAATAACCGCTAATGTCCAGTTTAATATACATGTATGTACATTATATATTTCTTTTCCAGATTTTTCAATCTATTTTATTGCATCCCCCCACCCCACCACCCAAATATATACACATGGGTGGTTTAAAAGTCATAATTGTTTTTATATTATTTTGAAAAACTTTATATAATTAAATATTCCAATCTATTCAAAACTTTTACTTAAATCCGTATAGCCCGGTTAAATACTATCAAGAGTCCTCTGCTATATCATAATACGTGCAGTGGAAGAACTTTGTGATATTGAACTTTTAAAGAATCCGACACCCGCATTTAATTTAATACCTTGCCATATGTGTAATTCTCACAATAACACTTTATATTTTATGTATACCATGGGTGTGATTTTTGTGTAAAAGATGAGCACAAAATTTGTATACTCATGTTTTATAGATGACGTGTTTATACGTCAAACACTTTGTTGGCAATTCCTCTATAACAGTTTCATTGAATTTGAATTATATAAAGTATTTAGGCCAGGGAACTTGATGTGAACAAGCGTATGACTATATATACAATTTACTTCCTTCTACAAACGTACGTTAGATATCACATCTTCGTTAGCCTATATAAATAAGACTATTCATTCTAAGTTGATCATAATCTTTATTAAAGACTCGCTCCCCGATTATAATTATCTAAGAAAGTATATAGGTTTGATTGAACCGAAGAAGCCCCATTACCCAATTAATATAGGAATTTAGTGACAGACATGAACGATTAGTATATTGGCTGAAGAAGATGAATGAGTGTTTATATTCTGATTATAACAAGGATATATATTTGCCGTTTGTATATTTGAAAATGACACACCCTTTGTCGGTGTTATTGTCGAGGATCTTTTCCGTTTTATCTCACGCTTTAATTCTATAAGTGACTTCAATATGGTTTATCTTGAATCGAATTTCCGCCTAAAGTTAATCCATAGCTTCATTTGTGAATTTGAGGATTGACTATCGTATTATACTACTACTATCATTATGCAACTATGAACAAGTGGTAATGTTTTTTTATTATTATTATTATTAGTTTAGTCAACCTCACTAATCATCTCTAGGACGGCTTCAGTGGAGCAACCACCTATAGCGTTTGTATCTGTCATATTTCGTCGAGATACTTTTATCACTGATAACTTATAGCTGTATATTATATACAAATAAGATAAATTTCTATACGCCCACATTTTTATTTTGACGTATACTGTCGTCACCCCTGTCCGCCCGTCCACAATTTGTCTGTGGACATTCTTCAAGTCACATTTTTTATCCGAGTTTGACGCAATTTGAAATAATAGGTTTATCTCCCAAAGATCTCGGTTCCTTTCGATATTGGCATTTATCGGGCGGTAACTTCATGGATTATGGCCCCAGAGTGTAAAAAACATCACGTTTTTAGCTTGTGGATACTCGAGAGCTCACAATTTTTATCCGATTTTGATGAAACTTGAAATGTATATTGATAACCCCAAAATCCCGATTCCTTTCGATATTCGCGCATGTCAGGCGGTAACTTCCTGAATTATGGTCCCTGATTGTACGAAAAGTGTAGCTTGTGGTCGGTCTCTCTAGAGGTCACAATGTTTATCCGAGAAAATGGCCGCTCCTTGAACGCAAATTTTTAAAATTATGTAATACCAAGGTTGTGGGCCCCTCTAGATGTCACAATTTTTATCCGATTTTGATGAAACTTATGTTTAAATCGCGGTTCCTTTCGATATTCGCGCATATCAGCAGACCATATTTTTCTGAATTATGGCCCCTAATTGTACGAACAATCGTGAATCGTGTTTGTTTATTTTTTTTTTGCTTGTTCTCCATCCATTTCATGCAAAATGTGGGCGTATCTTGCATGGCTTCCGCTGGTTCTGAGATTTTTTTTCTAACCCGTTTACTGAGATGGTTCCTTTATGGGTAAAGTTGGTGTACAGCCTTATAGGCAATTTGTATATTTTGGGTTTTTCATCATAAATCCAAATAATACAAATCTTCAAATATCACGTATATACTGCGAGGCCAGTTGTATGGAAGCATTTTGAACAAGAAAATAAACGCAATTAGTTTCCTTTATCATCAAGAAACAATCACTTTAAACTCTTTGACAATCACTTAAAATGTATAGATAGGACCAATAAATGGATGTGTCCCAAACTTTGCACCTGATATAATTTGAGCATGCCCGATTAAACTGTATTTTCAATTTCAGTCAAATCAAACCGATAGAAAATATTTTAGGGAGAATTCCTCTTTAATACCGTGACAAAGCTACAAGTTTTACAGCTTAATGACGGTTTGATTCAACGTATTAAGCAGATATTGACTTTAATACTTCCTTAACCATGAAATAATCTTTCAAATTTGACATTACGTTTTTGGTTATCATGCTAATGTAAATTATATATGAGCAATTGCACATTTAAATACATTATCTTTGAGGTCAAATTCCTAAACATGAAGAAATCAGGCTGATTTCTAGTTGGTCTTAAGAGTGTATAACACGGATTTCCTTTTCTGTCATCACGATATCTAACATCCGATGTTTGTAATTGTTATATTCATTTCTACTAGGAAGATGGATTCGTCAGCATATGGACACATATGGGGTAAGTAAAATAAAATAAATAAATAAAAATATAATTCGGAGGGAAGGAGTGTCATTTATAACAAATTTACTTCTTGACAGTACGAGGCCAGACACAGGAGGGGCGGGTAACTAATAGCAACCACCCCTTCCACCGCTACTACAAAAAATCAAGTTTCCAGTTTTATCTCGATTTACATTTACTTTGTCATTAACAAGGAAATATTGACCCGTTTCTGTTTCTGATGAGATTTTCGTGGATATATAGCTCATAGAGAGGGGAAGTCCAAACTAGATTTCGTGTCTCATTTTTTTTATATTACTGTAATCATTTTGCAGATCATGGTTTTCAGTATAATTGTTTTTATGCATGCATTATTTATTTTCAGAGTTATCACCCTTGTCATAAAACCCAATCGTCCTACAGGTCGAAGTTTTGGGGATTTTATTTTTTTAAATTAGTCACAAGAGTAAATGTATCGAAATCAAGAGTCAATCATTTACTATCGCTCTAACAGTTTTATTTCATGGTTGACTAGAATGAAACCTATCAAAGTTCAGATCTATGCATCAATTTCCTGCAAACGTCAGAGTTTTTGAAAAAAATTATTTCAAACTTGGCTGGATTCTTGAGGAAATATTTTAGAAACTTCGAAAAATATAAAATGCTCAGACGAAATGATTTCATTTTAGGAGAAAAGACAACCAGTCCACCTCCCCGACAGGAACAACAAGGTATGTGCATGTTGTATAATCATTACCACCGTGCCCAACCCCACGATTGAGGTGTGTACCGAAACACTAGACGAACAAGGTGCTCGCGGACTGTCCATTTTGTCTACCGACGAAGTAAGATTGCTAGAATTTCAGTCAACACGGATTTGACCACTTTGTCTACGAATAAATGTAGTTATACTTTCACAATCATGTCAACTCATTGTTTCTTTGTGCATAAGGAGAAATCCTGTCGAATTTCAGAATATCTGGACCGTAATTTATAAAATTATCTACCCAATGATCTCTCTAACGTTTAAGTTTTGTGAACTCGATGGGGAAGGCAATGCAAATCATCGGGTTCGCTTCCCTTATACCTATTTATTTTGAAAAACAATGGAGTCATGAAATTCAATATTTCCAGTATGATGAGTATCATGATCGTCAAGTTCATTTTAGGAAGCTTGGAAAGCTCAGTCTATGTTTAAGATATATATAATTTATTTATTTCCAGGGAGCGTTGACAATAATATTGTATATGTTTGTGATATGCACGTGTAATGAAGCGCTATATAAATTGTAGCAGCATCGTAGTAATACAAAATATACAGATTGACTTAAAAGACATATAATATACTTTCTGAAGCTAACCATACTATTATAACAGATAAATTCCATCTATCATGTCAGTATAACAAAAGAAATATGACAAGTCTGACAGATAAACAGAAAATACCTTGACATATGACTACTACAAATCCTAGGTTAACATACTATGCATATAAGTATCGTATTAGTTTTGACAGTTCATTCTATTAAGGATGTAAACAAAACAGCTGATTGGGGTCACGTGACTTACTACTTAACGGCGAGCGGGTTTTATGCACAAATAACCACGCCAGCTTCACGAATGAATTGCATACAAATTACACTGTGACAAATGACATAATTAGAATAATTGGTGCCACTGATGGCTTACACAGTAAAATATAACAAAAGATGTATAATGATACCGTTTTTTTGTGCCCTCTAGCTTCTTTTGACAACACACGGAAAAACTTCTTCTTTGCTAAGAAAACATGGCGCCCCTCCCTGTGCAAAACACAATGGACAACCCAGACCAACCACCAGTGGAATAAGACCACCAATGAAAATTACATCATTATAATTATATGCTAAATTAGGCAAATCAAACCATTAATATACTCATCCTCGGTATCAAGTATACAAAATAACATTAACAATCACAAGGCTAACAGCAGTGAGATCTTGGAAACGTTTTACATAAAAACATACTATAATATTATTTGGGCACTCACATATTGTGTAACTTCGTGAAAACAATTAAAACAATTTTCTAAACATAATGAGACAAATCTTAATACAATATCTTACTGAAATATTATAGTAAACACAGCAATCCTAAGGTAAAGAATTACAACTTAATCTGGTATTATATTACTAATTAACTCTGTAATTCCAGTAAGCTTATGTTAGATAATTGGCATATGCCTACTCATAATAATAAGAAACCTAGTTTCCAAATGAAACTTAACTGTTACTGCTCTGATTCCATAATAAGACAAAGTTTGGAAATGGGCCTTATCAGTTCAGAATGCTTGGTTTTGACTTTAACTACCCTAACATTTCCCTTAGAATCAGGCATAATCTTAATGATGCGTCCTAGCAACCACAATCCCCTAGGTTGAGAATCATCAACTATCAAAACAAGATCTGACACTTTAAAGTTTTTTTTTGCTATTTGTCCATTTTTTACGTTCTTGTAACGTGGGTAAGTATTCTTTTGTCCATCTATCCCAAAAGGTGTCAGCAATAAACTGAACTTGTTTCCACCTATGTCTGGCATAAGAGTCTTTCAAATCAAAAATACCTGGGGGAAAATTAAAATTAGATTGTAAATATAACAAATGGTTGGGTGTTAGTGTGTCCAAGTCATTCGGATCACTAGATAAGCTGGAAAGTGGCCTACTATTCACAATCCTTTCAACTTCACAAAACACAGTTTGAAGAGCTTCATCATCTAAACTACTCTTGGTACAAGTGTCCTTTAAAATGGAATATAGAACTTTCCTAACTGACCGTATCTGTCGCTCCCAGACTCCACCAAAGTGGGATCCTGTTGGTGGATTAAATTTCCATTGGATATTATCTTGGAGCATATAATCATGGATCTGTTGTTTGTTCCATTTATCTATCTCCTCGCGAAGTTCTCTCTCACACCCTACTAAATTAGTACCATTATCTGACCTAATGAATTTAACATTACCCCTACGTGATGCAAACCGTCTTAAAGCATTGATACATGTAGTGGTCTCTAAAGAATGAGCAACCTCTAAGTGAATAGCCCTAATACCCATACAAGTAAATAAGACACCGTAACGCTTCACAATGCTAGGACCTCGCTTTATCTCAAATGGTCCGAAGTAATCGACTCCTGTTCTAGAAAATGGCGGATCATCTGGTATCAATCTTTCATTTGGGATATCGCCCATCTTCTGACATCCGGGTTTAGATTGGTATAGACGACAAACTATGCACTTTGAGATAACTCTTCGTATCAGGGTATTTGCTTGTACTATCCAGTATTTCTGACGTAACTGAGCTAGAGTTGAGTTTCGACCAAGATGTCCGACTGTCTTGTGTGCATCTTGTATAATAAGAGTAGATATTTGAGACTGTCTTGGTATAACAGGGGGGTGCTTAACCTCATCACTTAAACTTGAACGACTGAGGCGGCCACCTACTTTTATAAGATCATCTTCTAACATTGGGTCTAATCTGTGAATAGGACTGGCAGCTTTAATCATTTCTGGTACATTTTTGTTGCGATTAGCTTTCAATATTTGGAGTTCTTCATTTAAGTATTTCTTCTGTTCATTCTTGATGATTAAATATTCTGACTTCTGTAGAACTTCTAAATTCAATTGACCAAATGTGTTGAAGTTATCCTTTGTTTTAATTCTATCCATTTCCCTCTTAATCCTTTCTTCTAAACATTGACCATTGTTTTCTGTTTGTTGTAATTTATCACGAATCTCTTTTCTTTTAGAAGACAAGTACTTGAGAAAAGACGTGAACTGTACAATCCATCCAACTACTTTACACAGTTTTTTCCAAGTGGAGAAGTGAGTTAAGTAAACATCAATTGGAGATGGTTTAACAATGGTTGCATGAACTGCAGGTCTGACTTCTGGGTCATTTCCAGCGAGTTGATTATTACTTCTGGTAATAGGCCATTCCGTTTCTCCTTTCTTTAGAAAATCTGGTCCTATAAACCAATTACTATTAACCAATTTTTCAACTGTTGTACCAAGAGACACCATATCACTAACATTTAGCTTACCGTCTATGTGTCGCCATTGTTTTGGTTCTGTATTGGCATGAATTATGGTGATGCGGTTGGCCACAAAAGTGTAAAACCGTGTAGACTCATTATTAATGTAGTTAATTACTGAAATACTGTCTGTCCAAAATATGACTTCATCAATTGGCATTTCCATTTCACTGTTAATAATATTACTCAATCTTACAGACATCATGGCTGCTGTTAATTCCATGCGAGGGATTGTCACTTTCTTTAATGGTGCCACTCGCGACTTGCTCATCAAAAGACAGACATAAACCTTGTTATTACTGTTGACTAAACGTAAATACGAGGCCGTTCCGTATCCCTTCTCACTGACATTACTGAAATTATGGATTTGACAGGAGGTTATATCATCGAAATGAGCTGGTTTTATACATCTATTAACTCTAATGGTCTCTAACAACGGAAGATCTGTTAACCAATTTTGCCATCTTCGGGTTAATGATTGGTCTGCTTCAGTATCCCAATCGAGACCGCTTTTACAAAGTTCTTGCAGTATTATCTTAGCTGGTAATAAGACTGGTGACACCAATCCTAATGGATCATATAAACTACTAACAACAGACAGTATATTACGTCGGGTATTACAATCTATTTTCCGTAACTGTACATGAAAACCAAAGCTGTCACTGTCAACACACCAGGTAACCCCTAATGCTCTTTCAGTCGGCAGTTCATCGTAATCCAAATTTAATTGTTGAACGTCTTTTGCTCTCTCTGTGACAGGCAATGAATTTAGTAACTCTCTACTATTGCTGATCCACTTCCGAAGGTTGAAGCCGCCTTTACTCAAAAGTTGTCGTAACTCATGACATAGGTTGATAGCTTCTGACTCCGTTTTAACACTCTTTAAACAGTTGTCTACATAAAAGTCTTTAAGAACTGTATTTACAGCTTCTTCAGAAAATTTATCTTGATTGTCATATGCTGATCTCTTCAGAGCATAATTAGAGCAACTTGGTGACGATACCGCTCCAAAAATATGTACTGTCATCTTATAAATTTCTGGATCTGTGTCGAGATCAGCATCTGGCCACCAATAAAATCTTAAATAATCATGTTGTTGTTCTGGTAATTTAACTTCATAGAACATGTTGTCTATGTCGGATATAAAGCATACTGGTTCCTGGCGAAATCTTAAAAGGACTCCTACGAGACTATTTGTTAAATCTGGCCCTGGTAAAAGAAGATCATTTAAAGAGACTCCCCTAAACTTGTTGGAACAATCAAATACCACTCGTAGCTTATCAGGTTTTCGAGGGTGGTAAATTCCATGATGCAAAAGGAAATATTCTCTATTCTGGGTGTCAACTAATAAATCTTCTTCTTTAATCTTCTCTGCAAAGCCTTTATCAATGATGCTGTTCATGAAAGTTTTGTAATCTGTATAATATTTCTCATTTTTAGTCATCTTGGCCTTAACACCCTTTAGCCTTTGTAGAGCTTGATATCTGTTGTTTGGTATAACAGGCAAAGGCGTTCTAAATGGTAATGGTATAATATAATGATTATTTTGGTACTGAATTGACTCTTCAATAATCTGCATAAACTTTTTGTCATCTTTAGAATATTCTCTCTTTTCGTCAGCGACCCTTTCTGGAAAATCTAAGTTATAGGAATTTCGAACAGCTTGATCAATTTGGTTTAACTTCTCTATTTCTTCTATTGCAGCAATTTCTACTTTGTTGATTCTTGGTAAATCTTGACTTGTGTAACTAGTATGACTTGTTTGGCCTTTGATATGACGTCTGACATTCCATAACACCCATCCTAGTCTTGTCCTAGTAGCATGGGGACTTCCATCCGGACCTGATATAACTTCTAATGGTGAAAAGGCATTCGGAACATTAATACCAATTAACAACCCTATTTCAGCGTTGATTTCAGGCAACTCGATGCCTTGTAGATGAGGAAATCTACTAATATCTCTGTTGGTAGGTATATGACGGGTCGAGACAGGGATTTCATCTTTACTGTAAACCATGGGTAAATCGAACATAAAGTTTCCATGCACATCTCCTAATTCCAAACATCTAATGGTTTCTGTCTCAATTGTCTGAAGACTGCCCAACATGTTTAACGTTAGCTTTGACCTTTTCCCTTTAAGACCAAGTTTTCTTAATACGTATACTGTGCAAAAGGTAATGCTACTGCCAGAGTCAAGAAAGGCATGTGTGATAACAAAATGTTCTGTGTTTTTAACTTTAATTCTGACAGGAATCACAGAAAATATAAATTCTTCTGCTTCTTTGTCTCCGACCCCCATATGAGATTCTGGACGTTCTGATTCTTTAAGGACAGCAGAATTATTACTTGGGTGATTCAATGAACTAGAATTTGATGAAGGATTACGAACTTGTCTGTCTGGGTTATGCAACAAAGTTGGGTGACTCCCTTTACAAACGCTGCATTGTAATACACTGGTACAAACTCGAACATGATGTCCTTGTTTTAGGCAACCAAAACATGCAGACAGATTCCTTAATAGAACTTGTTTGTCTTCTAAGGATTTCTCTACAAACTGACGACAGTGTTCTATGGTGTGTATTGATGAATTGCAATATAAACATGGCTTAAGCTGAAATCTAGAGTTCACAGGAGGTTGACTATCACCTTGAGTTTGACTTGAATTATTCTGATAATTGTGTTGTCGAGTTTGACGATGGGTTTGACTTGAGTAACTGGTTTGTTGGGGAGCTGGGCTTTGGTAACTAGTCTGACGAGTGGCTTGACCTGGATAACTATTTTGACTAACTTGGTTACAACAAGTGTTACCATTTCTTCCAATATGAGCAGTTGCTGTTAAAGGAGTTCTGTTTCTGATTCCAGATAATTTATTATTGATGAAGTGGTTTGAAGTCTGATGCATAGCTTCTTTTCCAAAAACAGGATCCGATGCCTTTCTAGCTTCACGTCTGACAAACTGGACTAAATCTTTGAACTTAACAGTTTGGTGTTTATCTTTCTTGTCTAAAGCCATTGTACGGAATTTCTCGTGCAGATGAAAAGGTAATTTCTGTACAAGTCTTTTCAAGTTTTCTGAGTACTCTAAAATATTAAGGGCATCAATACTTTCTACTGCAGCCTCACATTCGAACAGGAAGATAGAATATTCATCTAAAATTTAATGTTATCGGCTTTAATAGTTGGCCACTCCAAAGCTTTTTTTATGTAGGTATTAGCTATGACTTCTGAATTCCCATATCTGTCCTGTAATTCCTTTAAAGCCGCCGGGTATCCAACATGAGCATCAATGTGTGAATAGCCAGTGACGATCTTGTGAGCCTCACCCGTTGTGTACTGTTCTAAATATGTCATTATTTCATCATCATCTGATGCATTGTTTATTATCTTCATTTTGAATTGACGCATAAATTTCTTGTAGTCTAAGCAGTTACCATCAAATTTCTTTATTTCACTTTCAGGCTTCTTTAATTCACGAACGATTCTGGCCATAACATCATTAACCCCCTTTAACTCTTCTTCAATTCTACTGCTCCTCTTACTGGATCTAACGGAATCTGCACTTATCTGTGATACACTATCTTCTGGTCTCACCTCTATTTCATCATCACTAATCTCTATGTTTGACATAATTTGCTTCTGGGTTTTCGTCTGAATTCTCTTCGTTTTTTCTGCAGACTTCCTTTTACTATTAGATAAAGGCACTTGTGAGATGTCATCTTTTGTTCTTACTTCTGTATCATCACTGATCTTTCTATTAGGTGGAATTTCTTCCTGTGTTTGATTCCTCTTTTCTGTAAGTTTTCTCATACCTCTTGTTTCTATAACAGCACTAACTACTGTCCTGGCTCCAGCAGAAGGCTTTAATGGAGCATGAGTCAGATTTTCTACAGACTTTGACTTATAAGTTGTGGGCATATTGTGACCATGTGACTACTAGTATGACTACTAAAACTATTTAGAGGCTGCTTTACAAATATTATTACTATATATAAATGAAATAGTTATGACACTACATGAAGGATGAATTATAAAACCACATAGCAAAGTAAGCTTATAACTATTAGGGAATAATGATGAAAGGTGAGAGAGAACTATATCGTGCCGTCTCTATCCACAGTTTATAATATAACTTCACTTAAGTGGTTTGACATCTAGGCTGTGACTTTATAACTGGAAACATGTAACAAGAAATTACATCACCTTGGATCTGTAGACTATTAATTTCAACGTTGTATCACTTTGAACACAAAACCGTCAATACCATATGTAGCAGCATCGTAGTAATACAAAATATACAGATTGACTGAAAAGACATATAATATACAATATACTTTCTGAAGCTAACCATACTATTATAACAGAGTGCCACAGATAAATTCCATCTATCATGTCAGTATAACAAAAGAATTATGACAAGTCTGACAGATAAACAGAAAATACCTTGACATATGACTACTACAAATCCTAGGTTAACATACTATGCATATAAGTATCGTATTAGTTTTGACAGTTCATTCTATTAAGGATGTTAACAAAACAGCTGATTGGGGTCACGTGACTTACTACTTAACGGCGAGCGGGTTTTATGCACAAATAACCACGCCAGCATCACGAACGAACTGCATGCAAATTACACTGTGACAAATGACATAATTAGAATAATTGGTGCCACTGATGGCTTACACAGTAAAATATCACAAAAGATGTATAATGATACCGGTTTTTTGTGCCCTCTAGCTGCTTTTGACAACACACGGAAAAACTTCTTCTTTGCTAAGAAAACATGGCGCCCCTCCCTGTGCAAAACACAATGGACAACCCAGACCAACCACCAGTGGAATAAGACCACCAATGAAAATTACATCATTATAATTATATGCTAAATTAGGCAAATCAAACCATTAATATACTCATCCTCGGTATCAAGTATACAAAATAACATCAACAATCACAAGGCTTACAGCAGTGAGATCTTGGAAACTTAAATTTTTACATAAAAACATACTATAATATTATTTGGGCACTCACATAAATCGAACAATAATAATATATGATGTACCTAAGCCCATTTCCAAACCCATTAATTCAAACAAGGGTAGGTTAAACATACAATAATGTGAATCGATATTTTGTTGGATTATTGCACCCGAGCAATGAGCTTCAAGAGATCGTAATTTTTATTTTAATTTAACAACCGTTCAAATATAATTAAAACATGTTAAGGGCCAAAACAGTTTGGATGTGGTGCACATCGCACCGTGCGATGTGGAGTTATGCCCCCTGCCTTCTAGAGTTATGTCTCCTCATTTAGCGTAAAATATTGTGAATGATGCCTCAGTTTTTATACGCCCACTTTGAAATGTGGTCGTATATTGTCGTCGCCCCCGTCCGTCCGTTCGGCGTCCACAATTGCTTGTTTACGCTCTAGAGGCTAAAATTAATACCCGATTGACTTTAAATTTATACACAGTGATATGGTCATGAGACGAAGAAGTCTATTGATTTCCATCAATTTCCGATAATTACTGCCAGAGTTATGACCCCTGGTCACTTCAAACAATCTTGTGGACGCTCTAGAGGCCATCGAGACTTGATTATGGTCAGGATAGGTTAATTAATGTCTAATTAATAATTTCAGGCCTAAAGAAAGACCTACAATAGGCAGATAATTTTAGTGTATTATATAATGCTTCATTACCGAAAAAAGTAAAAATATGCGACAACTCTTGTTGACTGCCCGGACGATTTAGCTGCTGTGGGCGTATGTTTCTTGAACATATCTTTCTCAAATCTGGTGCGAAGCATTGCGTTTATAAGAGGACTATCTCTATTGATATTCAACGAAATCTGACACTCCGTTCCGAAGTTACCCCCCCCCCCTTTCCGAAAACCTAGTGTAAATGCTATAGAGACTACTAGTGTTCGGATATTCGAATAAGAATAATATTCGACGGCGACGGGTCTTGAAATTTGTATTCGAATCGAATATTTTCAATTTTTTAATATAGATATATTTAAAGTGGTTTATATTCAATTTATTATGATTTCTAATTAATTATGAAATACGTGAAATTTCTGTTGACATGTGACAATGCACAAGATTATATTTTGGCAATTGCCAGTGGATCTTTTACGTAAACTGCCAATTTGTACACAAGACCTCGGCCTTCCATGACATCGCAACAAGTAGACGCGGACCTCAACCATACTCCTGTCACCTGCCATCTCCGCCAGATGCTCTTTTAGCTTATCCAAGGTTTGTGAACCTGGACATGATTTCACTTCCAGAGTCTTAGCCACCATCTCCCAATCTGGTGATACAGAATGAGCGGTTAAATTAATGCAAGATTCATTTTTTCATCTGATGCCCATACATCTGTGGTCACAGCGGTTAACTTCGGACTTGGGTCATTCTTGATTTGACGATCGTCGGAATGAACGGCATCATATATTTCTTCCATTCTTTTTTTGAGTGTTTTACTTGACGGCAAATTGTGTGTTGTTTCAGGGCTTAATTCTACCAATTCCCGAAAATGGTCATTGTCAATAAGAGAGAGGGGCTGATAATGCTTGGCTACAAACTTGATCAATTTCTCAGTGATGTTTTTTTTTTTGCTGCGCTGAATCTTGTTATACTTCTTGATGTTGCATGGAGAACTTTGTGTAAAACTTTTTAATTGGCTGAATCTTGCCTGACCGCACGTCCCTTGCAGTATATGTTTCAACTTCGTGTGGTTCCAAAGATTAGCCTTGATGTGATATTAGTCAAGACCATGGAGTTGTATATATTGTCAATATATACACCTCTATGGTCAAGACAGCCAACTCCATCGTGGCACTAACTGGCTAACCAAAATAGGTAACAAACTACTTACCGAATAAATGTCTCTGAAGACGGTAGATCTATGTAGGGGTAGCACCCTTACAAGCTGCGGTTAGGTAATCTAAGTAAGCTTTGAATGTAAATGTGGCAAGGGAAGTCGCCATTAATGCTATTTGAGAGCAAATAGAATAAATAATAGATATTCGAAAATATTCGAATATCGTTATTGCTATTCGAATATTCGAATATTATATTCGACCAGCGAATATTCGAATATTCGTGCCGAACACTAGAGACTACAGCTTTAAACATATTTCTTTTTCTAATCCTTGTGAAACACTGAGAGAATGAGAGGGTGCGCCCTATTGATACAGTCGTTTGTTTATCAAATTTGTTAACCTAATCTACGCAACATAGGGCTCATGTGATACTGCTTTATTCTGGAATGTTACGTACGAGTACATCCTATTCGTTTCGTTGTGAAATGTCAGTTTTTATACGCCCACGTTTTCATGTGGACGCATATTGTCGTCGCCACTGTCTGTCCGCCCGTCCGTCCACAATTTGTGGACACGCTACAGGTCACAATTTTTATCCGATTTTGACGAAACTTAAAATATAGGTCTATCTATCAGTTCCTTTCGATATTAGTATGTATCGGACCATTGTTTTTAGTTTGTGGACACTCTTAGAGGTAACAATTTTCATCCGATTTTGATGAAACTTGAAATAAATTTTTATAACCCAAAGATCTTGGTTCATTTAGATATTCGCTCATATCGGATCGTAACTTCCTGAATTATGACCCCTTATTGTACGAAAAATTGCGTGTTTAGCTTGTGGTCCCTCTTATATAGAAGTCACCATTTATATCCGATTTAAAATACCGTTTGAATATTATCACCGTTACACCCTAATGATGGTTGAGTTCGAATTTCGTGAAAATCGGACCAAAACTGCCCGACAAAATGGCCGCCACTCGTACGCAAATAGTGTCAACATATCGTATATCAAGGTTGTGGACCCTCTAGAGGTCACAATTCTTGATTTTAGGTAAAAACGCGTTTTTAACTTGTGGTCACTCTAGAGGTCACAATTTGTATTGTGTGTATATATCACCGTTACACCCTAATGACGGGTGAGTATGAATTTTGTGAAAATTGGACCAAAATGGCTGCCCCTCGTAAGCAAAAAGTGTAAATATATGATATATATAAGTTTCGCCCCCCCCCCCCTCCGTGAAAAAAATGTCGACCATAAAACAATTGATATACATTGTCCGTCAATTTTACAGCACCCACTGAGAACACTTCCCGTCCCCCACCCCCGTTGCTCTGAGCTAGTTACGTCCTTGCTGGCAACCACTGTCTTGTTTTATTTTTAGAATAGAAAACCAAAAAGGCAGGAAGATGAGCGAACCCCAATCATCAATTCGCATTTTCAGTTTTCAACATTCGGCATTTCGGTGGATCAAAGACTCGAAAACAAAACGGCCAAAAATGTGATAAAAATTTACCTAAATATAAGTCAGTGGGTTCTCATTAAACATACATTATGCAAGAGCTAGATCTGACTATTGCAGTACATGTTATATACATTTATTAACATGACAAGACAATAATCAACTCTCGATGCGATCGGATGCCTCCGATTTTCAACAGATATGAATCATATCTGCTTTTCAACAGCCGTTGATGATTAACCGTATAAATAGATAATCGAGACATTGTTTATTATCGTAACAACGGTAACAATGACAATTGAGGCTAGAGTTATTAAAATATTGTTATTAAAAAGTGAAGTAATTTGACTGAAATTTTCGACATATTCCGTTTCCACTTACTTTCTAAGATGTATATAATTAATTCTTTTCCAGGGAGCGATGACAAGACATATGATAATCCTAAGCCCATTCCCAAACCCAGAGTGAAAACTATTAATTCAAACAAGGGTAGGTTAAACATCGCATAATGTACTACAATTAAATATGAATATATATTATGGATTATTGTACCAAAAATCGCGATTTTAGCTTGTTGGCCTTCTAGAGACCACAATTTTTATTTTATTTTAACAATCGTTCAAATATAATTAGTCCGCCATACTGAAGTAGTCACGATTGAGTTCGAATTTCCCGAAAATCGGACCATGCCGCATAACTCACCTCAAAATGTCCGTTCCCTTTACGCACACATGGCAAAGCATATAATACGTATACCAAGAATGTAGACTCTCTGGAGGCCACTCCTTTACCGATTTCGATGAAACTTTTAGTTGTATTTTACGTCCGCTTCCACCGAGGTGATATCGCAGACAATATCGCAGTAGTTTGGTTTCTTTTCATGAAAACATGCCAAGGTGTAATACTATAGGGGGTATTTTAGTTCTATGAAAGGTGCTCTGTTTAATATTGAAGTCGTTAGCTAGTGCAAGTGCAACTCCAAATTGTACTATCATGATGTTGTAGTTTCCTGTATTTGATATATAAACATAGTTATAAAAACACAGTGTCCCTGAGTTAATTAATCATATACACAACGTGGAAATCAGAGTTAATTCATCTATTTAACAACATGGTAGCGTCACAAAGGGCGCTGCATTGTAGATTTATATTGGTGAAATGCTTGATAATTTGATCCATTTGTATTTTGCTTGACTTTGTTTTATGGTTACAGAAAATGACTATGGAATTGCCAGAGAAGCCGGAGCGAAATCAAACGATGGTAAAACTCTAACATTATTTAAACTAAAAAATATTTGAATAGGACTATATGGCAATCACATTTTAGTTGTATTCTCATGTGGCATATCATTTAGATGTCTTCAATTCCACTCCTAATCTACGCAACATAGGGCTCATGTGATACTGCTTTATTCTGGAATATCTAACGGTATATTGTAGCTTTATATTGGTGAAATGTTTTATAATTAGATCCATTGTATATTGCATGACTTTGTTTTATAGTTACAGAAAATGACTATGGAATTGTCAGAGAAGCCGGAGCGAATTCAAACGGTGGTAAAACTCTTAACATTATTTAATCTAAAAAATATTTGAAATGAAATGAAATGAAATGGGGTTTAACGTCCTACTGTTCTGCTCCTAAACTGGGCTAATGAAGACGGAAAAAATAATTGAATAGGACTATATGAAAATCACATTTTAGGTATTTGTATTGTCACGTGGCATAGCATTTAGATGTTGACTTCAATTCCACTCTATTCAAATTCCATGAATCAGAATATAAATTAATATTGACGATTAACTTTTGACAATTTGTGCGCTCATTTCTTATTTTTTTATATTTTAGAGTACAAATGTTCAATCTTGAAATCATCAGCTTCTCTGTTTATGTAAGTTTTAAGAAATATTTTAATAATAATTAATGTTTCAGAACCCGACATATTTACACTCCCCCCTCGTCAGGAACTACAAGGTAGCTTTGCTGTCGTCACCAAAGAACAAATTAGAAGTACTTTACCAAGTAAGATTACTTAAAATGTCTTATTATTATCACTTGTAATCAAAGAGACACCGCATACAAATCGCACGTAAATATTCCTTGACTGAATTAATCAAAAAAGATTTCCCCCAGCTCCATTAAGCCACCTTCCCCACAATTAATTAATAGTTAATTCAGTTACCAAAGTAAAGTGAAACCGAGATGCCAAACGCCATCGTTTTGTTCAGTGGACGTAAAGAAGGGAGTAATATAGAAGCGAAGTAACGTTCCACATGACAATTAAAACGGGGTCTTTGATCCACGGAAATGTCGAAAAAAAAACCGACAATAGGAATTGATGATTGGGGTTCGCTCATTTCCTACCTTTTTTGTATTCCACTTGTATTCCAGTTCACAACGAAACTAATATGATGTACATTGCAAGGAAAAAAATCATGATGTCTGTTTTAAATATCACTTAAATATGTCGCATATTTTTTCATTTGTCAGTAATTAAAACATTTCATTAACACACTAAAATCTGATACCAAGTAGCACCGCATTAAGTAATTATCAGAAACCATTAGAATTTGTTTCGATTGTTTGTCTCATGACCTTAAACACTGTGTATAAATTTTTGTTAACTTGAGCCTCTAGCGCGTCAACAAGAATTCTCAAGTAATCAAGGGCCAAAAAATCTGGCAGTATAATTATCGGCAATCAATAGGATTCTTCATCTCATGGCCTTAAATACTGTTTATAAATTTAAAGTCAATCGAATATTAACTTTGGCCTCTTAGAGTGTCCACAATATTTTTCAAAGCGATCAAGGGCCATAACTCTGCAGTAATCCTTAGAAATCGTTGAAAATCAATAGGATTCTTTGTCGCATGACCTTAAACACTGTGTATAAATTCAAAGTCAATCGAATATTCACTCTAGAGCGCCCACAAGCAATTGTGGACGCCGGAACGACGGGCCGACCGGGGCGACGGCAGTATACAACCACTTTTCAATGTGGGCGTATAAAAATCGAATTCTTTAACATACTACTAGTTGTGGTAATCACAATATTTACAACTTTCCCCGTTTTTTCTTAACCTTGTTGATGTATTGCTTCAGAACCATAAATGCATTCATTTTTGTCATCTATTCACGCCTCAAAGTGCATTTATGTATGTATAATATTCTATTCTATAGACGGATACAAATACATTTATTTTTGTATATAATGTTGTAATCCGGGTATAGATAGACACTTTTAATTATAGGCGATTATTTATTTAATTAAATAAACAAGTAAATAGAAGATATGTCCAATGGTATGTAAAATAGACGTCTTCTCACATTAGCATTACATAATATCTCTTTGTAATTTTACTTACATTCAGTTTGTTTCGTTGCCAAGTGTTCGGTTGTTCTATAGACATGTTATGCAGGAATCCTGACCATTCAGTCACATTTTTCATCAAGTCACATTTTTCAGCATTCGCCGTTCGCACTCTTCGCGTACCAAAGACACATCAATTAAAGAACATTATTGTTATGTTTCACAGGAAGAGATGACCTTTTTAATATGATGAAAACTATGAATGCAAAAAGTAATAATGGTATGTAAAATATATTTTAAAAAAAAATAACAATATGTAAAAATGCTATGAAAAATAACGGTACTATCAGTACTGTATATATGTAAAAATGCTATACAAAATAACAGTACGGTATATAAATTATGGAACAATGCTATACAAAATAACAGTACGGTATATATGCAAAAGACACTATATACAAGACAACACAGTATATATTCAAAAGACAATATATACAAAATAACAGTACGGTAGATATTTAAAGGGCACTATATACAAAATAACAGTACGGTGTAAAAGTATCTATATACAAAGTGACGATATGTAAAAAAGGCTATGCCAATTAACAGTTCGGTACTATGTACAAAATAACGATATGTAAAAAGGCTTTTCAAAATAACATTGCACTATTATGAAAATAACGATATGTTAGTACGATATATTCGTTATACATTTTTAGGGCCAGAAAAGAATGTAAAAGAAGATGTACAAGAATATAACAAGGCGGTAGATTTCAATGTCTTTCTTCTGGAAACTCAAAACGATAAGGTGATTATTTAAAAAGTTGGAATGTGTGGGAATTAATATATAGGAGAGGGTAGTACCATGAAAAGTTACACCAGAGAAAGTAATACAACTTTAAATGAGAATCTGGGTGACCAAGTCGTCCAATGCTATAGTCATGGTTTCGATCTCATAAGGCTTCTCTGTGCACTCCCGAGATGACTAGTCAGAACCGAGTGGAGGTTAAACCCTATTTTCTCTCTATATCTCTTTTTCATAGGAAACTAAAACTCCGAATTTCTCCTGACATCGCCATAGTTGCATCATTGGACATATTTTATAATGCAGTGCTGTGATTTAAAAATTAAGCATAGAAAAAAATGTTGGCCTAAATCTGCCTATGACGGGTCTTTCTTTAGGCCTGAAATGTTATCTAAATTATTAATTAGTCATTAATTAACTTATCCAGACCATAATCAACTCTCGATGTCATCGCTAGCCTGCGATATTTATTGGATAACGATCCGATTTACTGCTCAACTTCCATTCATGATTTAATCATGAAACAGATAATCGAGACTATCGTTTTTTATTGGCTGAAATTTTCAGCAAATTTCCTTTACATTGTCTAGTTTTTAACTATTATAGTGAGAACTGCCAGCTCTTTATCTAATCTTCCATAATGTATCTTTAAAGATTTGATTTAAAGTAACTATGCGTGATTTGCATTTTTCGGAAAATGTAAGATTTCTAGCGGCCTAATCCATGACAATATGTAATCATATTGATCACTTAACATTTAATTAAGAAAACAAAATCAAAATACAAACGGATTCCATGGGATTTAAAACCGGTCCATCAATTTGGTTCACGGCAAATAAAGATGGCGGGGTTCTAGTTACATAGGGGGGGGGGGGTCATAGAACGATGAAAATTTCAATTCATCATATCTTGGTAAATACTTAACTGAACTGAACCATTTTTGGACTGATATTTCTATTAGACATTGAACTTTCACAATATTGTAGTTTGAGGCGGGTTTTATAGCCTTAACATCACGATCAGAATCTTTAATTAACAACTTCCTATCTTAAATTTATTTTGAATTGTTTTCACAGGTACGAGGAGTGCTTGAGTTGTCGACTCTGCATCATAATGTAGTTGACAAGGTTCGGACTCGTATCGTCTGTCTGTTTGACGTCAGTGGTAGCATGTTGCTCAAATGTGGAAAGAAGAAAATAGATTCAAAGTTAACATCATTAAAAAAAATGGTAGTGGATTTGATCGATGCATTGGAACACAATGAAGATTATTTGGGTTTGGTAACTTTTGCTGAAGAAGCCAAGACCATTATACCCCTATCACTGATAACTGAATCTAATAGGGTAAGTTGAAATGGCACTTGCTTTTTGCTTTGGGTCAAAATACAAATTTCCGAGGTGTTGGTATTTTCCTTCAAAATTAGTAAACAAATAATCTTTCTCTCAATCTTTCGCCATCACTAATCGAAATAACGCACCCAATTTAACACTTTGTTTTTACCACCAGCCAATGTGCAATAAGTTTTAAAAAATCTCTATTATCCTGCTCCACTGACCCGAATGATTTCATCCTTCTGAAACACTTGACAAGCACATGCGGTAACAGACATTAAAGAAAATTTATGTGAGAATGATTATCTAGAGTTGGGTTATGAAAGAAATATATGATATGTATTTACTTTTAGGCGTCAATAAAGAAGACTATTGAAACAATGGACCAAAAATATTCTAGTCGTACTGATTTATGTACAGGTCTGATAACAGCTATAGATATGTTAAAACAAGAAGACGAGGCAACAAAGTTAGTATGCAATTTAAAACTAAAAAACCTGGGCCAACTTTCAGAAAACATGGGAATCTAATTTGGTGATGCCCGGGGTCAACTCGTAAGCCCCCAAGATTCATGTGTAGGGCCTGGTACTAAGAAATGTTAGAAAGGAAGACATTTTAAATATGTAAATTATGTTGGGCAGGGCAGGGATAATTTCAAATTTCAAAAAACTTAATTTTAATTTCAATCTTTGACTGGATATGCACCCCCACCCCCCGCGCCCTACCTATGGTAATGAATGTCCACCTCGTATCTGCACACCACTATAGGAAACCAGTATAATTTCCATCATATAGTTATTAAAACAGACATGTCTGACACATCTAATCCATTAGAAACACCATAAATAGTATCTGTTATTTCAATCTCTTCTTTAATTCAATTTGGACAATGGCGTGAGCACAGTTGATATAATTCTCCAATGTCTTCCTCCCCTTCAATTTAGACGAGGCTTCCTAGTTACGACAGGGAAACTTTAAGCTAAACTAGGGCATTTACATAAAAATACCTGCTAAGACAGTGATTGTGATTAAACTGTTAAAGACCCATTATGTAAGAGCTAAATCTTTTTCTGGCTTCAAATGATTTGTAAATTATTATTTAAACATTTATTAACACGACAAGCCCATAATCAACTCTTTCCAACATAGGTGTCTCTGATTTTAAGTAGATTAGAACACATCGGGCATATAATTGTTTAATGATTAAATTGATAATTGGGACTTAGTCTCGATTTTCAAGTACCATTGCTACGATAATAAACAATCCACGCTGCATTTTGTCAAAACTTCAAAGACTTATAGCTTGGCACAAAAAAAAGTAATTTGACTGAAATTTTCATTATATTCATTTTTAGCGAGAACTATTATAGCGAGAACGACTAGCTCCATATCTAACTCTTAGATAATACATTTTTTAAAGGAAAGTTCAGCTATTGCAGATTCTTTATATTCTATACTTTAAAATATTTTCCACGATAACATATAAATCATCTCTCATCAGGGCCCATTTTTCAAAATACCCAGCTTTCAATTCGTACGTTGTAACTTTACCACTGTAGGCCTAATGAACCATTTCAGCAAATAGTAATAGAAAAGCCATCTTCAATAGAAGGCTTGATCTCGCTTAAGCTTCGTACATCTTATCAAGATGCTGTAAAACTCGCAGCCGTTGCTGCAGGACCATGGGGAAACAGTGGACTAAACGATGGACCGAATAAGGACACCTGGTTTAAATGTAAGATTATATTATTTCACTGAACCCAATATAAAATGTATTTGTTATTATTTCAGGTACATATACAGAAATGCTATTATCGTATTTTCTGACGGGGAGATTAACAGTGGTATTACAGACGTTGATGCCCTCTTACACGCAACAAGAGAACGAATACGACAATGTAAACCGCAATTAGCGCTCAAGTCAGACCAATGGTTAAGTATTTCTTGCGTTACTACTGGTGGTAATGTGTCGGAGGCCATGTATCTCTTGTCCAAATTCTGCGGTAATGATGCTTATTACTACATAGACAGCAATACCGTCAACCCTCAAACTGATATGATGATTCCGGTGCTACTCAGAAAGTCAGCCATTGCACAGTTCTTAACCATGACCGTGTTGACAGAAAATGGTGCTGAGCTCGATCCGAATAATTGTACATGGGAACATAGTATCCGAAGAAAACACAGACCTATCTCAAGAGCAACAGAAAGCGTAAAAATCAGCTATTATTTACATGATATGCCTGCTGGATCCCAGAAACATTTCGCCGTTGAGGTTGATTTAAAAAACTACAGGATACACGAATCTCCAGATTTGTTGAATGTTGAATTAGAATTTGTGGACAACAAGGGAAATATTCAAACCACCACGAAGCGTGTTAAATTTAATGACATTCTAACCCAGACATCGTCACCCACTGAATATGAAAAGGGCGTTATTCTTCTTGCAAAAAATGACATTCGTTTTTCTATGCAGGCATCATGTAGGAAAACAGCCAATATAATCAGCGAAAAGGATGGGTCGAGTCCAGAAGCAGTTCTTGAAGATGGAATTCTTGACATCAAGAAGCTGACCGAGAGTTATGCTGATAGAGCCAGACAACCAGAAACAAAACAAACCATTCATATTTACGGACGAGAGGTGGTTAAAAATATGAGTAAACTGTTAGAAACTATTACCAAATCTTCTCGAGGAGATGGACATAAATGGACAAAAATAAAAGCAGTATCTTCGTCCATCTCCCGAGAAACTCCTAATGTCTCAAATCTAGTCACCGGAGCAGGCAACCTGTGTCCGTTACCGGCAGTTTCAGACTGCGCTACGAACAGGATGCGAGCTCTGGCCTTAAAGATCTTCCAGGACCAAAGAGCAGACGCAGAGATGTATAAGAAATATGGTGACAAACTTAAGGGCGCAGCGTCGGATATTGTACAGAGTATGGGGCAGATAATTGATGTTCTTAACGCTTCGGGTACGCTACAACGTAATTCAACAAAAAACGCGACAACAGAACAAGCCAATACTGATGATGAAGAATATGACTTTATTAAACTTGCCAAGGGTATCGCGTCTTCATAAAATATTTAAATAGTTATAGTATTCTCAATAACCCAATATAATGCGCAGTGATATTGGAAATAGATAATTTGTTTCACAACATGGACTGCTTGGCTTCATTATCCTTTGACCGTAGCTTTTGTGTCTGTCGCGTTTAAATCAAACATCTTAACAGATGCATTTTCTTACCAAATTGTACATTTTTATCGATTAGATCGATCTATTTATATGTATATATTTATCCCTTTTCACTTTAGAGGACAATGAGTGGAATAACTTCTTTATTTAAAAGTGCCTCAGTTCTTTTTGATCTCATTTGCAAGCTTGCCAGGTTATTCGCTAAACAAAGTTACAAACACAATGCATATTGATGCATATTAGACAAAAGAATAAATTATTGTTGTGCGAATATCAAGTTTTTGTTTTGTTATAATTTCATTCAAGATGTATACTCATCTTACTAATATTGGTTTTGGTGCATGCCCGGCCCCAGGGGCAGAGCCACGCACATTTCTTGTATTTATTTGTTTGTCGTCTATAGGTCGCATTTCGTGGCATACTTATTCCTTATAATCTAAGGAACATGCCTAATGTTTGTGGTGCATGCTCAACTCCTAGGGGCAGAGCCACGCCCATTTTATTTGAGTGTGTCTGTTTTTCGCCTAGAGACCGAAATTCTTAATCGATCGTCTTGAAAACTATTTATACTTATTCCTTATACCCTAAGGATGACCTCTATTAGTTTTGGTGTATGTCCGACCCCCTGGGACAGAGCCACGCCCAATGTCTGTGTGTGTTTGTGTTTCGTCACAGGCCGCAATTCTTAACAGATGCTTTTGCATACACATTCCTTATACCCTAAGGATAATCTTTATTGTCTTTTGGTGAATGTCCGACATCAAATTCTTTATGGATCCTTTGGAACTTGGTATTTGCATTCCTTAGGCTGCTATTACATAGGGGTATACGGTATTCGTTTAGAGGTATACGCGAATACTTGTGTTCGAACAACAGGAATTTGCTTAGCGGTTTACATCGGACTATACTGTATCGTGAATGACCGCTTTTTTTTGGCGTATACTCGCTTCAGGGAGGAGTAAATTCCATGGGATGAGTAGAAAATGGGCATTTGTGTTGTAAAAAGTTCGAATCAAACGTTCTAAACATTGATGGACATATCTCTAGGCATGGTAGACTATTCTAGATTATCATGAACAGTGATTTCCAGTTACCCCCCCCCCCCCCTCAATATTGGAATGAGCCGACTCAAAGCCGGACCTTCACGCCACCATACTTTACGCCTCCGCAAGTAAAAACTAAGTCAGAGTTTCCTCTTCTTCTGAATCCATTCTGTTTGGATATGAATGAGCCTCGATGAGGGTACCAAAATCGGTGGGAAACATAACTGACCAGGCCGGTATACCTACGTATAGTATATGCCGTGTAAACCGCCGCGCCCATATACCCCTATGTAATAGCAGCCTTGTAGCCTAAGGTCGGCAACCATTGATTTTGGTGCATTTTAGCGCCGGAAAAATGTATCAAGAAACCAAACGCATTACAACTTGCTGTGTTCCTCCATTGGTCATTGAACTCTTATAGGGATCTGACAACGCCATAATATTCATATAGCCGGTTGAAAGACCGGTAACGAATCTAAAAGCTCCGAAGAGGGGGGATTGGTTGGGGGGAGGGGGTATTTTCAACCTGGGATAATTTTGAAAATTTGAGTCAATTTCCTGGCAATAGAGGTCATTCCTGGGAGCAAATTCTTCAGTACGACCGGAACAGAATCTCGAGTTCTGCCCGTTTTGTGAGAGTTGACAGAACCCGCGAAAGAGTGGTACTTACTGGGCGGTTCACTATAAACGTGATGATAGTGATGAGATAGTATAAGACCACGGCGGAGTGGAAGAATGATGATAAAATGGAATCGAGCGCAGTAACTAGGCGCGAAAAAAATTCTAATAGCGACGCATATTATGTAATATACTGAGGTCATTAGGGGTGGGGGAGGCCTCGCATGTTCTGCGCACCAGTGGTACGTACTACTAACTGGTCGGTTCACTATACCCGTGATGATAGTGTTGAGATAGTATAAGACTACAGAGTGGAAGAATGAGGACAAAATGGAACATAATTACTTATTTCCATGCAAACTGTGATGTGTTTATTTATTACACTGCAATGTTTCAACAAGACTTCACGTAAGGTTTTCAAGCAAAAACCTAGGTACATTAGGTTTTTTGAAAGTGACTTGTGAAGTCCTGTTGAAACATTGCAGTGTAATAAATAAACCAAGTGATTGTATCCATACTAAGTGTTTTAGTATTATATAATGAGTCAATTGCTAAATGCCTCTTAAAGTAGCCAATATCATCCATTGAAAACACGAATTATTTGTCAATTTAAATCAACATTGATGTTGTGATCTTACGGGGAAAAGATGGGCTTCTGATATCCAATAATTAAGACAAAATAAACATTTTACCGTTGGTACACACGAATCATGTACCATGGTGCATTTAAGCCAAATTTTTAACAAGGGACTCGTAGAAAGAGGCTAGATATATTCCACAAGTCATGCCAAACGGTGACGTCATAATCTTATCTGGAGAGCATGCGCAATAAATACTATGGTATAGAGTGGAATAACCAGACGCTAGGGATTGCCATTGGATTGAGACTTCTGGCGTATTTCCCTGAACATAACTGATTAGAAATTGCAGTAAAAACAGAAACGATTGAATGTAAATCAGTTTATATGCATTCATATTACATTATTATATAGGTTGGGACCCATTTGTGTCAATTTCTAGATCCAAAATATTTGCGATTTAGCTCCTTTAAAGATTATAATATATATATTTAGACTACTGATTTCAGTGGTAATTATAAATATCCATAAGCTTATTCATAATACAAGATACTACAAATCAAATTATCAAGAAATTGTTTTTGCTGATAGTCTGTTAATATCAAAGGGAATGGTGCTTATAGGCCCCATTTACTTAAGTTCACCACCACTTCCAGTAACCCAATTCTGATCTCTGATTGGTTAATTTCAGAATGGATTATGTGTCCTGCTTATTGTAACAACTGACTTTCTTCAAAGCTTATCTCAATAACAACAGACTTTCTTCAAAGCTTATCTCAATAACAACAGACTTTCTTCATGAGTTATCTCAATCACAACAGATTTTCTTCAAGGCTTAGCTCAATTATAATGGATTTTCTTTGTGGCTACGATGAATTTACAACAGACTTTAAGCATGGCTTAGCTCAACAACAACAGATATTATAGCTCGATCACAAACGACTTTCTTTGTGACTTATCTCAATAACAACAAATATTGTTCATGGCTCAGCTTAATCACAACAGACTTTCTTCCTGGTTTAGCTCAATCACCAAAGACTTTGTTGATGGCTTAGCAGTCATAACAATTTTTTCTTTCTGTTTATTTTTATGATGTACTTTAAGATGTGAATAAAGACTACTATTGAAAGTAAAAAGTTTTTCACAATATTGACACTTGTATTCTTTCACATCTTGATGCATTTTAGCATGCTGCTGAAGAACATACATAAGTTTAAAATCTTTTTGGCAGATGTCACATTTGAAAGGACGAGCATCACTGTGTATTTGTCTGTGTTTCTTCAAACTCCAGAGAGTTTTCAAGCGTTTTCCACAAATTTCGCATGTGTAATTCTGTGAAGTGCTATGTGTTTTTATATGATTTTTAAGATATACCTTGTTGACGAACCGAGAATCACAGAGAGTACATGCAAATGGTTTTTCATCAGAGTGTGTTGTGATATGTTTGGCTAGGCCACCTTTAGTACGGAATTTTTTACCACAAATGTCACACTGGAATTTGAGAATATCAGTGTGACATCTTGTGTGACATTTGACCTCAAATTTGCTAGCGAAGGTTTTTGGACAATATTCACACTGCCATGGTCGAACGCCACTGTGCTTAAGAACATGAAGTTTCAGCAAAAAACATCGTTTAAATGATAATCCACAAATATGGCAAACATAAGGCTTCTCCCCAGTATGGGATCGCATGTGAATCTTTAATGTAGATTTTAAAGTGAAAGATTTCCCACATATATCACAAGTAAAAGGTCGAATGCCCGAATGTATAAGCAGATGATTTTTCAAAACTGATTCTGATTTAACACTTAACGGACAAAAAGTGCACTTAAACAAATGTTCCGTCCCGTGAATAGACAGATGAGCTTTAAAGATGTCTAATTTGAGGAAAGTTTCCCCACAATACTCACAGGAGTATTTTTTTGGCTCTCTCAATTTCATTCCTGCAGGTTTTTTAGGAACGGCAACAATATTTTCTTCTTTGGATTTTTTTATTGATTGTGTATTTTCGTTCTTATTAACTACTTTGGTTGATTTGTCTGCAGAATTATTTTTCTTTCCAGACTTAATCCCTTTTTTTCGGGCACATTTTCTTTTCTTTTTAATGGGAACAACAAAGACTGGTGTTGTCAAGGTATCCGATATATTTTCATCAATGTCGGTTGTTTGATCCTTTGATTGCTCTTCCACACAGTTGAAATTACCATCATAATCAGAATTTTCGCCTGTATGATCCACATTTATATCATCGCCAGTTTGATTGTTTATCATTGTGCTAGACTTATCTATTTCTAATGCATCCATAATGAACGCATTTTGTATTTCTCTTTTGGAAATGCATGTATCAGTAACTGGGATTTTATCCAAATGTTCAAATCGTGTGTCTGAGAATTCTATAATATCAATCCAATCATTTCTTCCTGCTAAAATTTCAGATTTGAGATTGATTGGTATTTTTAATTTGGTTGAAACAGTTATAAAATAAAATGTTTGTTGACTATCAGTAGGGCTTCTATCTTCTCTTGTTTCAATAAAATATTTTAAACTTTCGAGAAAATTTGTCATAGCCCTTGGGGTGTTCTGTTGAATATCTTCCATCTTTTTAGGAACTCCTTGTATCTTCTGAAATACAAAATTGAGGACTGTGAAATATAAAGCAGTTCAGATTTTAAATCTCAATCCTGGTTCAGAGTCAGAGAGAAGTTGTATGTCTCTATATTCAAAGAAATATATAATGACCCTATTTCTAATCCTTGTTACCTATAGGCCTGCAATAAAGGTAATGTGATTTGTGGATAGATTTTGAAATATCTATTATATGTTAAAATCTTGACATTATTTAGGAAATTTGTTAGCTGAAATGTTTTGTAGGCTTGCTGTGTTAAAGAGCATATGGCTCTATTCAGGAACCTTAAAATAGATGAAAATGGGTCTAAAAGCACATGATTTATTCTCGATTTTAAAAAAATAATTGTCATTTCTAATCAGTTAGGTTCAGTGAAATATGTGATGACAGTCATTTACATCTGCTTAGTCCATTCTGCATATTTTTCTATTATTATTTTGTCTTTTGTAAATCAGCCATCACTAATTACTTCTGCATTGTCTTTTAGGAAACACTGTTTTTCTTTGTATTACAAATGGCACCCAGAATCATAAAATACACAACTCATATACTGTTTATGAAATGTTCATTGTGTCTTAAATATTGGATATTAGGATCCCATATTTTCACGGCAAGATAACATCAACATTGATTGAAATAGAAAGATAGCGGTATTGAATTCTAATTCGTGTCTTTAATTTCAAATATTATGAAAAATATTTATTTTGAGATTCAGTCCTTTAAAATATATTACACTAACCATTTTACCAAGGCTCTTAATCAAACTAGTATATATGGACAGATTATATTACCGGATTCTATACTGCGAGAGAGAGAGAGAAAGAAATGGGATTTAACGTCCACTCGACACAAACGTCATTTCGGGACTAACACATGGTTCAATTTTATTTCAATAATTCACTTGAGTGTAGGGGTCTTTAGCAGTAGGACCCGGAGAAAACCCACAAGGTTGGACAGGCAACCCAACTCCTTGTCACGTACAACTGGGGATTCGAAACCACACCAGTTGACTCAATGACAGACTTTACGATACAGCACGCACGTGCTAACCATTTGGCCATCCACCCCCCCCCCCCCCCCCCCGCCTATACTGCAGTAGGCCTACTGGAGAATAGATCTACTTATTTTCTTACAAAAAAATAGATTAGATCTTTTTGAAATTATTACAAAAAAAATATGAAAAAATGAGATATGTAGTCTACACATCTAAAAACACATTAATTAAGATCCCGGCCATTTTGTAAAGGATGGACATTCAGACATTTTTGACTGACTTAGTGGTTCATAATAATAGCTTTTCGCTCGATAACTATTTGGCAGAGGGTCATATAATCATTAGGTAGGTCTACTAAATAGGTAACTAAACTGTATGCTTAAATTACCGGTATTACTAATTCTACATGTGAACTTGCGATCACACCTAGATTGTCAAAATTATGAATTTTCAGTTAACGTGCCTTGCAAAATCATCATCCACTGTCACAACTGCGAGCTAAATTACGGATCAGCTGAGGAATGCGGATATACTATTAAATGTGCTAAACAGCATTGATTTAGGTCAAATTTAAGGAGCTAAATCGCTAATATTTGGGACCTAGAAATTGACACAAATGGGTTGCAACACATATAATAATGTAATATGAATGTATATAAATGTTATACGCAACACTAACAAAAGATTACGGAACAAGTGGTTTAAATGATGTAGACGTAGAGTAAGGATGAAATCTAACATTCACCTTCTCATGGATCATACAGTAAATATAATACTGAAGCTGTGAAGCACGATAACTAACCAGGCACCTCATTGAACTCAAGCTAGACAATCAATAAATATCTACCCAAGTTTGACCACCTGAAATAGAAGTGGAGTTATTGTCTCCTGAAAAGTGGGATGGACAGACATATACTAAAAATCCTCTGTTCGAAAAGTGGTCATTTGGGTATTTTCACAATAAATGTCACCCCATAACCAACTAATACAAAATACTGTTCGTAATAGACCTAAAAAGGTAACGAAATTCAGAAATCCATTAAACAATTAGTAAAAATAGATCAGTCTTGAATTCCTAAAAGAAGGGAAATATAATCAATACCCTAATAGCAAAATAATATCAGTTGTTCCAGAAATGTAAGCATGACATTCATATAACTACATATTGCAGATTGTGAAGTACCAGATAGCCACAGATAGAAATTATAAACTTATTGTATATTTCTTTCATGTCTCGGAGACGGATAAATTTATTTAGATCAGTCATCTCAAACCAAAATAGTGACAGGGTTTAATTATCATCTTGGTTTAACTTAAAAGAAGAAAACAAGCGGTTGCTATGCAAGATATACCCACATTTTGCAAGAGATAGACAACAAAATGCTAAAAAAGAAAAGTGATTTTTTCGTACAATCAGGGGACTTAATACTGGAAGTTATGGTCCGATATGTGCGAAAATCAAAAGGAATTGAAATCTCTGGGATATAAACAAAATCGAACAAAAACTGTGACCACAGCCTTAGTATTATATACTTTTACACTATTTGCATTTAAGGAGCGGCCATTTTGTTGAGCAGTTTTTTTTATACGAAATTCGAACTCATCATCATCAGGGTTTAACGGTGATATATTTAAACGATTTTTAAAATCAGACAAAAATTATGACCTATCGAGGGTCCACAAGCTAAAATCGCAATTTTTTTAGTACAATCAGGGGCCATTATCCAGGAACTGACGATCCAATATGCGCGAAATTCGAAAGGATCCAGGATCTTTCGGACGTAAACACATGTGTTAAGTTTCATCAAGGGTGACCACAAGCTAAATATGTGATTTTTCGTACAATCAGGGGCCATAATACAGGAAGTTGCGGTCCAATATGTGCGAATATCGCAAGGAACAGAGATCTTCGGGTTATAAACATACATTTCAAGTTTCACCTATATCAGATACAAATTGTGACCTGTTGAGTGTCCACAAGCTAAAAACATGATTTTTCATACAATCAGGGACCATGATCCATGAAGTTTTCATCCGATACACACCAATATCGAAAGGAATCTGATAAGAATTGTGACCTGTAGAGTATCCACAAACAAATTGTGGACAGACGTGCGAACGGACAAGGGCGACGATATATAAAAATCCAGGGACTACATCCTAGTGGATTAATTACATGTATGCAAGTTCCCCAAAAATCAATTCAGTTAAGACTCAAAATAAATTTGACTACTTTATTATAACACAGATATACTGATTGTTTAGATGACATTTTTTGTATTCACATGCTCCTTTAGGGATCACTGCAAAATTTAAACACTTGCATCCAAACGAATGGGGTTTAACATCCACTACCACAGATAGAAAATTATGATTAATATTTTGGTTATTTAATATTAAAGGGACATTATTTAAGATTTAGATAAAGAGCTGGCCATTCATGCTTTGATATTTCAAAAATAGATAATGCAAAATGCATATATTGAAAATTTCATTCAAATTACTTATTTTGAGTGAAGTGAATCAATGGTTGAAGTTTTGACAAGATGTGTGCATTTATCGTAACTACTGTACTGGTCGAGTCTTAGTCCCGCTTCTCCATTTTTATATCAAATCATTAAATGACCAACCCGTTCTAATCTACTTAAAATCAGAGCCATCCGATGGCATCAAGAGTTGATTATGGTCTTGTCATGTTAATAAATGTCTTATTAATAATTAAATAACTTTTAAGGCCCAAAGAAAGACCTGCAATAGGCAGATTTAGCTCTTACATAATATCTGTTTAACCTTGCATCAAAATCTATCTGTGTCAACATTTTAATGATGAGTTGGCACCGACTGGGAGTTGGATCAAAATTCCAAGATCTAGCCACAGGCTATTGTTTGGATGAAATTGTTGAAATTTTGAGAGGGTTCCTTACATGAGTAATCTTTAGAAATAAAATATCTCCATGGTTAAAGAGATTATTCTAATTGTTCATTTTTATGATGTACTTTAAGATGTGAATAAAGACTACTATTGAAACTGAAATGTTTTTCACAATATTGACACTTATATTCTTTCACATCTTGATGCATTTTAGCATGCTGCTGAAGAACATAAAAAAGTTTAAAATCTTTTTGACAGATGTTACATTTGAAAGGACGTGCATCACTGTGTGTAACCTGATGTTTTTTAAGGTTACTATTACATTTAAAAAGCTTCCCGCAAACATCACATTTGTAATTTCGTAAGTTTTTGTGTGTTTTGGTATGTTTTTTAAGATAGGCATCAGTTGCAAACCCATTGTTACAAAGTGAACACACGTGGGGTTTTTCACCTGAATGTATTTTAACATGTACATTCAGAGAACCCTGTGTACGAAACTTTTTCCCACAAAGTTCACATTGGAACTTCAGTGTCTCTGTGTGGATTCTAGTGTGTTGTGTGAGCTCTGCTTTACTAACAAAGGATTTGGGACAGAATTCACACTTCCATGGCCTAGCATCACCGTGTTTCAAAACATGAATCCTCAGCTTGCCTTTAGCTCTGAATTGTTTTCCACAAATATGGCAAATAAATGGCTTCTCTCCTGTATGACAACGCATGTGACCTTGAAGTGAAGCATTTAGATTAAAAGTTTTCCCACAAATGTCACAGGTAAATGGTCGAAGACCTGAATGAAAATAAAGATGTCTCCTCAATACTGGTTCTGATTTAAAACTTTTTGAACAAAATGTGCATTTAAACAATCGTTCTGTTATATGGATAGGAAGATGATACCGTAGATGGTTTAAACTGCGGAAACATTTTCCACAGTGTTCACATGGAATCTGCTCTTTTATCTTTTTCTTTGACTTTGAAGTAGCCTTGTTTTTTTCTGTTGAGTTGAAATTTCCAGTTTCCATTCTTAATTTCTCTTCAAGATTCTTACTCAGAACACATTTTCTTTTCTTCCTACATGTTCTAGGAATTTCAGGCAGTGCAATTGCTATGGTATCAGAAATATTTTCAATCATATTTTTCTGAGTTACTTTCAAAGCATCAATTCCATGCTCTCCCAAATTTTCAAAATTGTCATCATCATTATCAGAACTATCATTAAAGTTACCAACTACTCCATGATCTACTATATTGTCTACTTGAGACTTTTTGTTTTCGATAATGCTGGAGTTTTCTGCTTCTTGTTTTACAATAACACCTTGTGTCACACTTTGGATAACAGACGTATCATGCGCTGCAGCTCTGATTCTTGCATCATCTGTGAAATCTTTAAATTCTGTGTCTGAGAATTCAATATCATCAATCCAATCTATTCTTCCATTTATGATGTCAGATTTTAGACTGATTGGTATTTTTAATTTGGTTGAAACAGTTACTAAGTAAAATATTTGTTCACAATCACTATCAGCAAGTCTTTCTTCTCTTGTTTTAATAAAATATTTTAAACCTTCTAGAAATGATGCCATTGCCACTGAGCTTTTTTGCATAACGTCTTCAATCAGTCAATGTTCTTCTGAAATATAAAAAAAAATGTTCACAGTTTCAAATTTGTTTTACACCAGCCATATAGATTCTGTTAATTTAACATCAAATGTTCACAGCACGTACACCATTCCACATATATAAACAATGTATTTTAGTTAATAAATCTTATTTCAGTAAATTATCTGATAGCCTACTCTGATCATTTTTCCAAGAAATAAATGGTTAGCTATCAATTCTGATTGGCGAAAAGTTTCCAAAAGAATAGCTAGCGGCCATTTTGTTGGGCAGTTTAGTTTCGATTTTCCCGAAATTCAAATTTAACCTTCATTATTTTGGAATGGTGATATATTCAGGAATAGTGATATATTTAAACAGTTTTTAAAATTGGATTAAAATTGTGACCTCTAGAGAATCCACAAGCGGAGATTTTCGGGAGATAGACCTCTATTTCAAGTTTTGTCAAAATCGCATAAAATTGTGACCTGTAGAGTGTCCACAAACTAATTGTGGACTGACGAACATGGGTGACGGGATAATATGGTTCCTTTCGATATACATGTATTGGCATGTATCGGACCATAACTTCATGGATTATGTCCCCTGATTGTACGAAAAATGATGTTTTTAGCTTGTGGACACTATAGAGGTCACAATTTTCATCTGATTTTGATGAAACTTTAAATTTATCTTTATATCAAAAAGAACTTTTGTTTATTGTGCATATCCGAATGCTATTTCTGGATTATGGCGTGATTGTTTGATAAATCACATTTTTAGCTTGTGCACCTGCTAGAAGTCATAATTTGTATTCAATTTCAAAAAACGTTTAAATATATCACAGTTACACATCAATGAAGGTTGAGTTTGAAATTCGTAAAAATCTGACCCGAACTGCCGGACAAAATGTCAACCCTCGTATGCAAATAGTGTAAAGTATGTAACACCAAGGTTGTGGACCATCTTGTGGACCAGCTAGAAGTCATAATTTGAATTCAATTTCAAAAAACGTCTAAATATATCACAGTTACACATCAATGAAGGTTGAGTTTGAATTTTGTAAAAATCTGACCCGAACTGCCGAACAAAATGCCAACCCTCGTATGCAAATAGTGTAAAAGTATGTACACGTAACACCAAGGTTGTGGACCATCTAGAATCATAGTTTTTATCTGATTTTGATGAGACTTGAAATGTAAAATTATAATCAAAAGATCTTGGTTCCTTTTGACATTTGCGCATAATGGATCGTAACTTCCTGGATCATGGCACTCTGATTGTACGAAAATCACGTTTTTAGCTTGTGGGCCCTCTAGAGGTCACTTTTTATCTGATTTTAAAAAACGTTTAAATATATCACCATCATGTACGGTATCCTAATGACAGTTGGGTTCAAAACTGCCTTACAAAATGGCCACTCCTTTTACGCAAATGATGTAAAAGTATGTAATACAAAGGTTGTGGACCCTCTAAAAGTCACAATTTTTATCCGATTTTGATGGAACTTAAAATATATCTTTATATCCCAAACATCTCAGTCCCTTTCAATATTCGCACATTTCATGGATTATGGCACCAGATTGTCCGAAAAATTGCTTTCATCTTTAGCTTGTTCTCTATCCATCTCTTTCAAAATGTGGGCATCTCATGCAAAATCTGGGCGTATCTTGCCTGGCAACCGCTGGTAATGTATCAAATCAGGTTTTCTGATTAAGTCAACAAAAGTCTTATTTTTGACTTGAACGTTTGTCCATTACATTAAACATACCATATTTGATTTCAAAGCCACCTAGAATTGCTTTTCTAATATTTTGTAATATACTATTTATTATAACATCTGACAAGCTTTACCCTAATCAATACATCCAATTGCTACTCATATCTTTTACTAATTACCAATTTAATCTCTATATTTCAAAACTACTTACAGAATAAATCCTCATTCTACTGAAGAAAACACCGGGCATTGTTGTTCCGAAGTTCACGGATCAGTTGTGGAACGCAGACAGTAACATCGGCTTTTATCAGATGACATGTACGAGAGCCGCATATCCATACGAATTAAAATGGGGGGATGGCAACAAATTTTATAGTTGATTGAAATAATATGAGTAATCATCCCAAGACCTCTAATTATTTAAATTGGCACATCATTATGACAATATAAACATCAAAAGATTTTGATATTAAGATGTAGCAAGCTAAAATCATGATTTTTCGTACAATTAGGAGCAATAATCCAGGAAGTTACGTTCCATTATGCACCAATATCGAAAGGAACCAAGATCTTTTGGATATAAACATATTTTAAGTTTCATCAAGATCGGATAAAAATTGGACTTCTAGAGGAATATGCTGGATTGATTAGATTACACCTACCTTGATTAACATGGAGCCACAGGGGCTGAGTGAGTAAGATGTTGGCTCGCTAAACTGGAGGGTCCATGTTTGATCTCAGTGTTGGCCAAGAAGTTCATTGGGATTTTCCGACATGGTTCAGGACCGAGGGCTTGTCAAGGGACAACGTATAGTGGTTTGGATGGGATAGAAAAAAGGGTCCTGTGTAGGCCTACCCATTGGCGTGCATGTAAAAGATCCCTTGCCAGTTGGAATTCGATACAAGAGTAGGCTGTGGTGCCACTGTTCAGGCAAAATTTCCCTCATAGCACGCCTAACCATTTGATCAAGAAATAACCGCTTCCAGTGTCAAGCTAGCACACGATATGCTGACAGACAACAGTTGGGTTTCCAGTTCGTGATACCCTGACATTTTTGCCCAGTGCTTGCCCAATGGGTATTCTTCGGGTAATCCAGTATTTTTCTAGTAGAATTGGATGTCTATACTTTCCATATATACCAAATTTGCCATACTCTTATTGGAAATGAAATGAAATGGGGTTTAACGTCCTACTGTTCTGCTCTGACTGGGCTAATGAAGACGGGCATACGCCATACAGTGTGCTATGAGGGAAATTTTGCCCGGGCAGCGCCGCTACGGCCTACTCTTATATCGAATTCCACCTGCCATGGGATCTTTTATGTGCACACCAATGTGTACACGGGACCTCGGTTTTTCGTCTCATCCGAATGACTAGACAGCTGTCCTTGCAGGGCTGCCGACAACCAGTATCGCAGCGCAATTTGCGATACATATTTTGTCCGTTGCTAATCAAAAATTAAAATCTAACGTTTTTGATTCGCAGTAACTGCGAATCAATAATATGCCTGTCATTTTGGATATTGACACAAAGATTTATCCACATTTCTCAACACTTTCAACGCGTATAAAATATCAAATAAATTTTATAAACAAAACGGAATTCTCCGTGTGACATTTTCTTCTCGAACTACCCAGACTCAATTCATGATACTATATAATACAGGGACATAACTCTATGAATCGGGACTATTAAACCGGAAATAGGGAATCAAGTAGTACCACTCACGTTGCGAGACATGTCAATTTCGAGTAAATATATCAGTATTCAATTTGAAAAAAAATAAATTCAGTGTATCCCCCACGTATTGTAAATACGTGTAAACGTATTGTAAAGTGAGAAATCAAAGTAAGAATTCCCGTAAACTATTATTGTTTATATCGCGTGCGTCTAGTTAATCGAGATTATTCGTAAAATACCGCGTGCTTCCGATTGAACAAAAATAATAACACACGATAAAAAGCAGACGAAATTGTTTTCTAACGAAGAAATAAGAAGCCACTGCCAAGAATTGGCTTCAGACATAAGGCCTAACAAAAGTCTACATTCATTCAGAAATGTTCACAGCTAGCTGTAGAAGTGCTAACATTCTAAAAAAATCTTTAAGAATGAAATCTAATCGTTTGCTATCAATTAAAATTAAAATAATCTTGTTATTTAGGTGTTTTATGTTGATTTGAAACTGAAAAACTGCTAATCAATTTTTAAATTTGCTAATCAAATTTGGCAAAATTGGACTTTTTGATTAGCAGTGCTGCTAATCATCTGTGAAAAATTACCGACAGCCCTGTGTCCTTGTCAGGCCCTCCATCTTACATCACTGACAGGGGAAACCGCGCCGGCAAATCTGAATGAACTTTCTCGGCCAATGCAGGGATCGAACACCCGACCTCCAGGCTAGCGAGCCAGCGTCTTACCGACTTAGCCACGTGATCCCCACCACCCGATAAATACTTTCAACCTAACAATTTGATCAAGAAATAACAACCGCTCCCAGTGTCAAGCTAGCACACGATATGCTGGCAGACAACAGTTGGGTTTCCAGTTAGTGATACCCTGACATTTTTTCCCAGTGCTTGCCCCATGGGTGTTTTTCAGGTAATCTAGTATTTTTCTAGTAAGATTGGGTGTCTATACTTTCCATATATACCAAATTTGCCATAGTTTTATTGGAAATAACCACCCGATAAATACTTTCGGGACAATGTACATGTATCTTTAATTAATCTGCCTTGACTGACAGACTTAATTCGTTGTCAGACAATTCATTATTATTTCAATCCTGAAAAGAAGTCTTTGCTTCTCATTTGTCTGACTATCTATCAAGTCAATAAGAGTGATTAAAAACTTAAGCTACATGATTACCTCATGTTTTCTCCCTTGTCGGACATTTTAACCGCCTTGCTGTCAGCCAACATCATGTAAAAATTAATCATAGAAGTCACATATCTTATATAACACCCCAAATTAATAGACAGTCATTTTAACTTTAAAAATGCTTTGATTAAACACATGACATCCGGTCTAGAGAGCCGGTTTATTACCGCAGCTCCAAACAATTACGGCAATTCGCAAATTGAACATGTTCCCGCTTTCACTAGAATTGGGTATGTCAAAAACAAATTACTGCATTTACAGTTTCTAGTATCATTTTTCATTTTATTTAATGATGTATACCAAGTAACAAATAAATTTCATGCTTCATACATAATTAGATAAATTTAAATTTGATCATATACAACTTAAATAAATTTACTGCAATGGTTGTAGCTCATGAATAACAATCTCTTCAATGCCTGGATCAGTTTTCAAGTTAACCAATGATTTTACTACTTGTTGTTCATCTTTATGATGTACTTTCAGGTGGGAATGAAGACTACTATTGAAAGTAAAAAGTTTTGCACAATATTGACACTTGTATTCTTTCACATCTTGATGCATTTTAGCATGCTGCTGAAGAACGTACATAAGTTTAAAATCTTTTTGACAAATGTCACATTTGAAAGGACGAGCATCGCTGTGTGTAACTTGATGCTTATTAAGGGTGCATTTAGTCTTAAAAAGTTTTCCACATTCATCACATTTGTAATCCTGTGATTTTTTATGGGTTTTTACATGTTTTTTAAGATAATTACTTGTAGCAAAGCCAACATTACAAATTGAACATAAAAATGGTTTTTCGCCCGAGTGTAAAATAATATGATTGGCCACTGCACTTTGTGAACGGAACTTTTTACCGCAAACTTCGCATTGGTATTGAAGTGCATCTGTATGAATTCGTGTGTGTTGTCGCACCTCTGATTTACTAACAAATGTTTTAGGACAATATTCACACTCCCATGGTCGGGCATCACTGTGTTTAAGTACATGAGCCTTCATGTCTACACTTCGTTTAAATGAAGCTCCACAAATATGGCAGATATAAGGCTTCTCCCCAGTATGAGATCTTACATGACCTTTTAAAGTATTTTTTAAAGAAAATGATTTTCCACAAATATCACAAGAAAAAGGTCGAACGCCTGAATGGAAATAAAGATGCTGCTTCAAGACAGGTTCTGATTTAAAACTCAACGGACAAAGAGTACACTTGAATGGCCTGTCGGTCATATGAATGGGAAGGTGATACTGAAGATTTGTTACGCTACGGAATGATTTTCCACAATGTTCACATGGATAATTTTTTCGTTCCCTTAATTTTTTCCTTCCAGTTCCAGGAGTTTCTTGGGTAGTGTTAACCTTTTCATCTGCTGATATCTCTGTTGAGTTTAAATTATTTTTAGACTTTTCATCAGAACTGTCACCGATATTAGCACTTCTGTAGTTTTTTCTTTTCTTCTTCAAAATAGAGTCTTTGATAACCGGTGATGACAATGATTTTTGATCAGTTTTGGACTGAAGTTCAAGTACTTCAGTATTTTCTGATGATTCAATTTCAGGTTCTTCTAAAGTATCAACATCGACATCACCATCTTCATTATCAGAACTGTCTTGGATCCTGTCTGCTTGATCAGTTTTATCGTCTGCAGTGGTTTCTGCTTTTACAATAGCATCAGGTATTGCAATAGGCGCCATATTTTCCATGATGTCTTTAAATTGTGTGTCTGTGAATTCTATGGCATTTATCCAATCATTTCTTCCTGCTAAAATTTCAGATTTGAGATTGATTGGTATTTTTAATTTGGTTGAAACAGTTATAAAATAAAATGTTTGTTGTCTATCAGTAGGGTTTCTATCTTCTCTTGTTTCAATAAAATATTTTAAACTTTCTAGAAAATGTGTCATTTCAGATATTGTGTTTTGTGGTATTTCTTCCATGTTTAACTTGTACTTTTAAGTGTACCTTTGTCTTTAGTTCCTGAAATGTAAACCAAAACATGTAAATAGAAATGAAATGAAAATGTGTTTTAACGTCCTACTCTGACTGGGCTAATGAAGACGGGCATGCGCCATACAGTGTTGTATGAGGAAAATTTTGGCCGGACAGTGGCACTATGGCCTACTCTTATATTGAATTCCAACTGCCACCGGATCATTTACGTGCATGACAATGTGTACACAGGACCTCCGAACAACTAGACAGCTGTCCTTGCCAGGCCCTCCGTCCTGCACCACTGATGAAGGGAAATTATGCCGGAAAGTCCTGAAGATCTTTCTCAGCCCACACCTGGATTGAACCCGCGACCTCCAGACTAGCGAGCCACCGTCCTACCCACTGAGCCATAACATGTAAATAAATACTATGTTCAATAGTGAATGGGGGCCATTTATACCATACTGGAACATCTTTGGGAGCCACAGTGGCTTAGAGAGTAGGATGTTGGCCCGTTAACCAGGAGTCCTGTGTTCGATCCATGCAATTAACTCAAAATTGTTCACCTTATACAAGTTATAGGCTTATTTTAACTAAAATATAGCCTTTTGTTGTTTTATTGTATCAAATACATTAATAAGAAATTAAACATACATTATGCCTATTGCTGGTCTTTCTTTAGGCTTGAAATGTTATCTAAATTATTAATTAGACATTAATCAACTTATCCAGACCATAATCAACTCTTGATGTCATCGCTAACCTGCAATGTTTATTGGATTAGGTTCTGATTTGCTGTTTGACTTCCATTCAAAATTTAATCATGAATTGGATAATCAAGACTATGTTTTTTTTATCCTACAGACTTTAGTAAAGATATAATCGATGCTAGGCCCAAAATTCAATCGCTAAAATGTGTTTTAAAAATTTAAAATGTATTTTATGCGGTGCAGCAGTCACACATTATTCAAAACATATTCTGTCAGTCGATTTAGCATAGAGTATACCCTGTCGATGCTCGAAATAGAGACACTCCTGTACTAGTTATAGTCTGATCTAGTTTTGGCTCCTTTGCTATCCCATAAAATAAAGCCCACATCGTCATTAAAATTAGCGACTTAATTATGAACCGTGAACGTTATTCGTGCGTGTCCTAGTTCTAACAGAATAACTTACTTACTAAGCTAAATTATGCTTGAATGAAAATGTTATATTTTAAGAGTTCATGGAACAACTTCATGGCTTCTACACTTTTTGCTGGTGAGGAAATATGGCCACCATAGCTTTGTTTACATAATAACGGATCGGTTTTGGAACGTGAATGTCCATATAAAGCAAAATTGTCAATGGCAAAGGTGTATGAATTAGCTGACAAAGTACATTTGTCCATCGATTTCTAAACTTAAGGATCGATTGTCAGATATAAATAAAACTAGTGAATATTCTATTCCTGGTGTTTTAAAATCTGGAATACAATGTGTAGGCATAATACGCCAGGCAGGATACGCCCACATTTTCGAGAGATGGATAGAGAACAAGCTAAAAAGAAAGTGATTTTTCCTACAATCAAGGGCCTTAATTCAGGAAATTACAATTTGATATGTGCAAATATCGAAAGGAATGAGGGTGTAATGGTGATATAATAATACGTTTTTTTAAATCGGATAAAAATTATGACCTCTATAGGGTCCACAAGCTAAAAACGCAATTTTTCATACAATCAGGGGCAATAATTCAGTAAGTTATGGTCCGATATGTGCGAATATCGAAAGAAACCACCATCTTTGGGTTATAAACTTACATTTCAGGTTTCAACAAAATCGGATAAAAATTGTGACCTCTATAGGGTCCACAACCTTGATATACCATATTTTTACGCTATTTGAGAACGAATGGTGGCCATTTTGTCGGTCAGTTTTGGGCCGATTTTCATGAAATTCAAACTCAGCCGTCCTTAGGGTTTAATGGTGATATAATAATACGTTTTTTTAAATCGGATAAAAATTATGACCTCTATAGGGTCCACAAGCTAAAAACGCGATTTTTCGTACAATCAGGGGCCATAATTCAGGAAGTTACGTTCCAATATGCGCGAATATCGAAAGGAACCAAGATCTTTGGGTTATAAGCATACATTTCAAGTTTAAACCAAAAATTGTGACCTGTAGACTGTTCACAAACAATTGTGGACGAACGGACGGACAGGGGCAACGACAATATACACGTGGGCTTATAAAAATTTCTTCCTCTCCCTTCTTACTTGTCATCCTGCATGTCCAAGTGCAGATCCCTGATATTTCGGACAAAAGAGCACACTTCCTTAGCTGAGCGGAGTAGCCTACTTGGTACAAATGTTTTATTTTTGACCTAGCTCCTCCAATCTGGAAAGTGCCATTAATTTGCTTATGTTTTGTTTACTTTTAATACATGTGGATATAATTAAAGGAGGTATTTGAATCTTTGAAATCTCTTTTGACAAGAAGATTGATTAACAACACTGTAAATAGTAACTAAATCATATTCCCAGTACAGAATTTTCATGAATTCTTTTACATGCACATCAATGATACAGGATTTTATTTTATTAACATCTGAACTAAACGCTGTTCCTTGCTATAGCACCATCCTGCACCACCGGTAAAGGAAAACCAGAGTGCAAAACCCTGAGGTACTTTCCTGCTACCACCAGGATCAAACACTTGATGTCCTGGTTAGTGAGCCAGCGCCTTACTCACTAAGAGTTAACCATGTAATTCAATTACACTTTTGTAAGACGACACTCTTCAACTATGTACATATGATAAAGAATGACAACTGCATCTATCTAAAGGTACATTCTACCAGCTGATAGGACTCTGTACTGAAAAAGATACGGCCTACTCTTATATCGAATTTCAACTGCCAAGGAATCTTTTACGTGCACGCCAATTTGTACACAGGACCTCGGTTTTTCGTCCCATTCGAACGACTAGACAGATGTCCTTGTCAGGCCCTTCGTCCTTCATCACTGACAAGGGGAAACCGTGCCGGAAAATCTGGATGAACTTTCTCGGCCAATGCAGGGATCGAACACCCGAACTCCAGGCTAGCGAGCCAGCGTCTTACCAACTTAGCCACGTGATACTCTTTGAGTCCTGTCTGATGTCAAGTTTTATGGATCAATGAAGAAGACGTAACAGTTTATCAACTCAATTCTTTGTCATTTTGCGGCTAAAACAGTACTAGTCGTAATGCAAGGGAGAGGACTATGCCTGACCAACGTCAAGGGAATCTGGACGTTATGCACATTACCAATTTGTACATGACGGTTGAATGTTACACATCATGGACAGGTGGCATTTTCACCAATCTCAATAAAAGTTGACAGATCATCTACTCAATATTGTGGTACAGGGTTATTCTCAAAGGGAAAACTATTAAATGGGCCAGGAAAAAAATAATATACCCTTGCCTTGTTCTTCAATATGGTGACTTTTAAGATGTGAATGAAGACTACTGTTAAAAGATAAAACGTTTTCCCAGAATTTGCATGTAAATATTTTTCAATTTTTATGAATTTTAGAATCCTGAATAAGACTTTTAATTTTGAAACTTTTAGGACATTACCGTACTCACATGTAGCTAACTTCGAAATGAACAGTAGTACATGTAAGGTTATTGGAAGACTTATAATTATTATACATGTGATTTAACAGGTTTACTTGTATCAAACAAGAAGAACTAACACATTTTTTATTATAAAATTTTCCCCTGAAGATAACACAAACAAAGGGCCCCTCTCATGAATGAAGTCAATGATAGTGATTTAGCCCTGATTCAGTTTTATACCTCTCAAACATAATTTACATCGATGTAGTCGTTCTTTTACAGGTACTTTAAGGTGGTTTTCAAGACACCTTAATTAGGAAACATTTTGCCACAGCATTCACAATATACGAAGGGTTCTTTTATTTTATGCAACTTCTTAAGCACTTTCTTTTCAACAAAAGCTTTTTATCTATTGAAATTGATTGATCACATTTTATATCTTCACGCTCTTCATTGGCCTGATTATCTGTTAGCTTTCTCTTCTGTCTCTTTGACTGGTTTTTCAATCCTGGTTTTCCTGTTTGCTTTGATTTTGTTGACTTAATTGCTTTGGAACTAAGTTTGACATCTGTTGAAGTCTCTGTTATTGATGCATCTGCTGATGATGATGACAATGTATTTTCTGCCAACGACTTTGATATTGATGCATCGTCTAACAATTTTTTTATCGACCCCCCTTTTGATTTTATGAACCCATTCTCTGAACACTTTTTATGGAAGGTTTCATCCCATATGCTTTCAGTTGTCTGTTGAACAGATGTATCTGCAAGTTTAACATGGATTGAGGCATCTTCTGAAATACCAGAATTTATAGTAACAGTGTTTCCTGCTTCGATAAGTTCAATTTCTTTTTTTATATTTTGTGTTTTGAATGTCGGCTTAAGATTAGCATCCAAATTATGATCACACTTATCCTTTCCATAATAACCCACAAGTGAATTGCCTAAAAATTCTAATTTACACACATCATCATTGTCTATATACACAGAATCCTCAACCTTTGGCTTCAAATCAGCAATTGGTTCTCCTTCTGAAGAATCTTTTACACGGCTCTCTGAAATAATGTCTAGACAAGACTTGGTATCTATGAATTCTACAGTAGGTGATCCACAAAGACTCTTCCCCAGATGATAATTGACTATTTCTGTTTGAGATACTGCTTCAGAATCATAACTTTGAATGTGTTTTGAAATAATGTCTAAACAAGGCTTTCTATCTTTAACTTTCTCGGCAGGTGATTTATTCTGACTTGTCAATTGATGAGAGACTACTGTCGGCCGAGTTGAATCGACAGCTTGAGAAATGAAGCGAGTTTTTGAGATTTCCGAATTATCAGGTTTTGGAATGATTTTAGCAGTTGGAACAGGAGTTGTCACAGGTGATTGATAAATTCCAGTAGATTTAGATTTGGTGAGAATTAGGGTAACTTGTTTTTTTGGAAAAGGATTACATTTTTGTGTTGGAGGAGATAAGCTATTGGTTACACGATTGCAGGGAGTAAAATTATGATTTTCATTGACCTTTGAGCAAAACTTGTTAAGACTTTCAGCAGAAGAATACTTAGTCACATTTTTGCTGAGGACTTCAGTTTTTTCCTGAACACTGGTGGTACCTGTATTCTCTTGAAATTGGATTGCTAAGAATTCTACGGCTGTGATCCAATCATTCCTTCCAGCTAAAATTTCTGCTTTAAGAGTAGTTGGTATCTTTAATTTTGCTGAAACAGTTATTTCATAAAATGTTGCTTTAGGTCGAGAATACTCTGCTTTTGTTTTGATGAAAAATTTCAAGCCTTCCAGGAATGGCGACAAGCTGTTAATACCAGGAATCTTCTCTTTCATCTTATAATTAATGGTTGTCACGGCAGGCTGCACAGACTCTGAAGAAGAAAAATTATCATTTTTTAAACTTGTTATAAATTTATCTTGCTAAAATATATATAATTAACTGAATATTGTAGTTTAATTAGCCTACATGTTGAACTTTTGTACATGAAACTGCAAAGTATGTGCTATTTTATATTTGTGGAATAATATTCTTCAATTCAATGAAACTGTTGCCCCATTTATCGTCGTTTGTAGGCCTACCAAAATTGACGGATCGGTATTGGAATAGAGACAGTCAAAATTTTGAGACGATTGATGCATCTTTTTGATTGGAATGCCAACCCATCTGTGGTGCCCTAACACATACATGTAGGGATGGATGTAATTTAGCATTGACAATATACTTGAAAGTAAACAGGAATATGCAAACAGAAAATAAATTAATTTTTACATAAACAATAATACCATTTGTTTGAGAGACTTTCAATGTATTATTTGGAAATATGACATAATAGTAGGCTTATTCTGAAATACTCATTAAAATAAGAAAGCATGCAGCATGCAAAAAATGTTTCTGTCCATAGATTTGCCTCTACAAAGCTCCCTCACTATTTTGAAGATCTTGGCCATAAGCCAATCAATCCTGTTTGCTAGATATTAAAATATTCCTTTGTACCTTCTGGCTCTAGCCTATTTTTCTTTTTTAAATAAAGATGGTATGTTTATATGGACACATCAAAAGAGGCAAATATGTCTTGCACTTAAAACCTTTATCTGCCAGAATTGAATCATGTGGATCACAATGTGCCATTAAAAAACTTATATCAATGGTCACAGTTGATCAGATTCCACAAAAGCCACTGACACATAGGAAATTACTTGTGTCGTACCAACTAACATTTTAACTGGGTTCCCATTTCTGTAGTAGAAAAGGTTGTTTGTTGGCAGTTGGAAGCTTTGCACTAGCCTTTTCAATGGACAATAAGTTCCATCAATTATTACCTTACTCTTTGGAAATTTCTTTAGAAAATTTGTTGGTTGAAAAGAATAGACTAAATCTCTTGATAGCCAAATATTCTCTCCTTCCATTGGTGGTATATAAAATTAAATTCAATCCATGTGCGTAATGTTTGATATTGTTGTTTCACTTGTTTTAAACAAGTCAGCCAAAACAAAATTTGTCCAATGACGATGCAGTTTGACAAACTGTTAAAAATAGCAGATTTTCCATCGATACATTCTTTATTTCATGGTGGTAAGTGCACCTTTACCAAGGACTTTAATATTATCCCGTAACTGAAATTTCTTATAAGAGTCAATCCTGTGTAATTCAGGATTTTATTGGTGTGCATGTATAGCTTTCACAAAGTTTTATGGTTAAAGGAATTTCTGGTAATACAGTGAGTGTTTGACCCCTGTTCAGTATTATTATCACAGCATTCTAACTCAGATGCTATGTCATATAAGAAATTACCATTCACTCTGTTTAGGGTCAGTGGTGAATCTAATGAGATACTTTTTCTTACAGCTTGTTCCAATGCCCTTTCTCTTTGTCGACGAGCTGCCTCACTGTCGCTGAAAGATCCACTCCAAGCAAAGATACTAGGAACACTGGTTGATTTCAGCCTCTGTACTAACGGCTTGGTACCTTAAAAAATCAAAAAGAAAAAATATGGCAACTGATGGGGAAAAAAAAAAAAAAATTAACATAGGGCTACACTGTAGCCTATACGTTTGTGTACTTACGACTCAATGTATTGAAAGAAACTATAGATCTGGTAATCGGATGATTCGAACCATGGCTGATAAGGCTCATTGGGATTCGATTGGCAAGAACACTTAAAATATGTTTGCATATTTAATAATATGACAACCAACAACTGCCAGGACCATAATTACAATCAGATATGCGAATATTGAACAGAACCAAGATCTTTGGGTTATAAACATGCATTTCAAGTTTCATCAAAATCAGACAAAAATTGTGACTTCTAGAGTGTCCACAAGCTAAAAACGTGATTTTTCGTACAATCAGGGGCCATAATCCATGAAGTCATGGTCCGATATGCCAATATCGAAAGGAACTGAGATCTTTGGGAGATAGACCTACATGTATATTTCAAGTTTCGTCAAAATCGGATAAAAATTGTGACCTGTAGAATGTCCACAAACAAATTGTGGACAGATGTTCGGATGGACAGGGGCGACGACAATATACGTCCACATAAAAATGTGGGCGTATAGAAATGACTATAAATAGTATAATTAGTGGGGCACGTAGGTCGTTGGCTTCGTATTGCGTCCAATGGAAAGGGCAGGCAGCTGTCCCCTTGCCCCACCCCAGCTACAGACCTGGCGATCCATTTTTCATTGTGAACTTTGCACTCATACAGTTTCCTACACTTTTTTTTCCTAATGTGTCTATTGTTTAGAAAATGTTCTATACATGCAAACTTTGATTTTCGCTTAGTAAAGTTTTTGTAACACAATATTATATCATTTTTTTTTTTTGCCGATATTTATATTCTGATGAATGTAATCTAACCGAGTAGCCGAGACGGGCGAGACCTGTCTGATATTGTACATTTTCCATGATGCTTCCGGGTTACCGCTATTTGTGTCAAGATTGGGAAATCCCATAGATAGGGAAATCCCATAAATCTACTCTATATGTTTATTTTTGGAACAAGGTAAGCGAAATACTTTGATTGCTTTTCTATATATACATCATTTATTCGCAATAAATTTTCCATTATGCTACTTACTACTGGGACATTGGCGGAAATAAAAGCACAGAGTCTAGATAAAAATACCTTTAAACTTATTTAGATGTCTAAATCTTGGTTCCTAGTACTTATTATCATATGGTCCGAGTGAGTCTGATGGTGGTCCAAATCAGACAAGTGGTGGTAGTCTTGAATGAGGTCAGACTAAGCTTTGACTTTTGGTCAGAATGAGCATGGTCTGAATCGGCTTGGTATATCTCCCTTACTCAATGTATTGGAAGAAACAGATTCCTTAAAAGTTCTTTTAATACATCTATGTATACTTATATCGACTTTGTTTTGTTTTATTTTTTTTTTTGGTGTTGGGGGGGGGGGGGGTGTATAGCAAAAAAATAAAAATGAAATGGGGTTCAACGTCCTACTCTGACTGGGCTAATTGTGGACAGATGTTCGGATGGACAGGGGTGACGACAATATACATTTGTTTTGTTTTATTTTTTTTTTGGGGGGGGGGGGGGGGTGAGTAGCAAAAAAATAAAAATGAAATGAAAAGGGGTTTAATGTCCTACTGTTCTGCTCAGACTGGGCTAATGAAGATGGGCATATGCCATACAGTGTAAGGGAAATTTTGCAAGGACAGCGGCACTATGGGCTACTCTTATATCGAATTCCACCTGCCAATTAGGCATCTTTTACGTGCATGCCAATGTACACACAGGACCTCGTTTTTTTGTCCCATCCAAACAACTAGACAGCTGTCCTTAATCAGGCCCTCCGTCCTGCACCACTCTGACAAGGTGAAACCACGTTGGAAAATCCTGATGAACCTTCTTGGCCAATGCAAGAATCGAACACGTGACCACGAGGCTCGCGAGCCACCGTTTAGCAAAAAAGAGACAGACTAATGCACAGACTGAGACAGGCCCTATATAATATGAGTGACACAGCCCCTCGAAACGAGATCACCAATACAAATATTGCTGGTAATTAAAGTACGGTAGGCCAACAAAATATTCTCTAGACCAAATCTGGGACTTGGCCGGATTTTTTGTCGGAGCAGAAACACTAGAACGTTAAACCCCATTTCATTTCATTTTTCTGGGCCGGATCACGTAACGTCGAGTCATCTTTATTTTACATTGTTTATAGTTTCAATTTCATGCCATTTTTACTTTATATCATTATTGATACAGATTGTTTATGAACTTAATATGAACAAGCGGAACTTACTGAGCATAGTCTCCGCTATATAATCATCTGGACGAAAATGCGAGGAGCAGACAACACTGTATTTTGACGGCGTCCAACAATCTCTTCGAATAGCGACAGTCCACTTTCTTGCTAAGACCTGGTTCTTGGGAAACATATGACCACCCCTGTTCGAACATTTCGGAACACAACACCCAGTCGATGGCATAATCGAATCCCGGTAGCAAAATATTGTCAGCAGACGCTCGAGTGATGAATAATATAAATATTGCCTCCGACGATCAAGGGAGATAATTTGCTTGGTCCCACTTCCGTGGCGACCCCGTACGGGCTGTTTTTCAGATAGGCACTCGGCAAACCTCGGCAGGTTCCGGTACCCTACTTCTGCCTATTCCAAAGCCCCCCCCCCCCCCCACCAACACACCTTTTCAGAAAAGTTTGTTTAGATCGAGGATAGGTTGCATTCTTACCCTCAGTTGTGTAGTCCAGGAATTTTAATTCAATTCCGCATCATCCCGGTTGACAGTTTGAATTGACTCCCGGTGTGTGTTTGCTCCTGGGCATTTGAACATGTCCGAAACTGTTGTTTGCATTAACAACGAAGCTATATTCGGGCGGTGTGAAATGGTTCCTGATCAGTCCAGGAAGAAGTATTCAGTAGCCTATTCGGTTGAAGTTTTGTCGGTCATTAATAAACATACTTAATTATCGTGATTTTTTTTTTTTTTTTTTTAGTAATAGGCTAGTCGTTACAAATTAATTATTGGCCTGAAACTGTCAATTAATTCACCTCCAAAAACAGATTAATAAAAGGCCTTCTAATAATCTTTTGGCTTTATTTATGACAAGTATAAAAGAATGGATAAATTCTGCCCTTAGGGAAAGGGGAGGGGTTGGGATAGCCTAGCCTAGTGGTCTAGAGTGCCACGCTTCGGCCTCTATATAGCTGGTTTCGATCCCTGGTGTGCGCGTATGTGGCTTGGAGATAGGGATGCCTTCTTAACCTCGTGGGTTTACTCCGGGTACTCCCACAGGAAAGACCCCTGCCGCGTGCGCTAAGATTATAAAAATAGAAAATAAGACCTTTGGTGGAAGCGGACGTTAAACACTAAAAACAACAACAACAATTCTGCCCTTATGGTCTTTTGAAAAGCTAACCAATTGCTATGTGTCACTAGGTTCCCTACGGGTCACTGTCACAGGATATGAGCGTCTGCTGCGCCCGTTGTGCTGGGTGTGGTCAATGGTCAAGAGGGGCAAAAGAATTGGATCCAAAAACTAAGCTAGACTAGCTCATTTATTAACCACGTCAAACTTGTTGCAAATTGTTAAAGCGAGAATTTCATATTTTCTAAGAAAGTCAAAACATAATTATTTCTATGTCTTTTGCTCAATAGGTTATCAACTCACTATTATACGATCATAGGTACCTCTCTCACACTTAAAAACCATTCACCCCGGAAATAATAACACAATTACCTCCTTTGTTTTTCTATTCCCCCAATGGAATAGCTATCTTCAAACATCTGAATTTGAAGTTGAAAATGATATTTTTGCCAATTTCTAAACTGGCAATAGTGAATTATAGGATTTATAGGATTATTCTTTAACAAGGTAGCACTGTTTATAGATACCATCTATTTTAAGGCTTTATTTTAATACATTTTAAAAATATAATTTAAAAATATGAAATTATCGCTTTAAGTATATCAAAATGTATTGAGAATGCCCACTGCCAGACATTTTAGGCATGTCCGCCAGACTAAAAAAACAGGTAGCCAAAAACTAAGCTGGACTAGCTCATTTACTAACCACATGAAACTTGTTGCAAAATGTACAGCATATCCACATGTATCGAGAATCACAGATGCCAGACATTTTCAGTTCTGGGGTACCCACGCCAGGCGTCCCTAATTAACCCACCCCAAAAGCTAAGCTAGACTAGCATGTTTACTAACCGCAAAAAAAAAATGTTGCAAACTGTTCAGCATATCCACATGTATCACGAATCACCAATGCCAAACATTTTCAGTGGTGGGGTACCCCGGCCAGGCGTCCCTAATTGCCCCACCCCAAAAGCTAAGTTAGACTAGCTCATTTACTATCCGCATGAAATTTGTTGCAAATGTTCAGCATATTCACATGTATCAAGAATGACAACTGTCAGACATTTTCCATTTTCCGTGATGGAATACCCCCGCCAGACATCCCTAATTGCCCCACCCCAATATTTAAGCTAGACTAGCTCATTTACTAACCGCATAAAATTTGTTGCATAATGTTCAGCATATTCACATGTATTATGAATGACCACCGCCAGACTATTTCGGTGGTGGGTAACCCTGCCAGACGTCCCTAATTCCCCCCCCCCCCCGCCAAATAACCTACGCTAAATTAGTCCATTTACTGACCACACGAAACTTGTTGCAAAATGCTCAGCACATGCTCATGTATCAGGTACGACCACTACCAGACATGGTTGTGTACACCCGCAAGATGTCCCTATTTGCCTTCGACCCCCCCCCCTCCCCGAATGAACAACAATGACAACATCATTTGATATCAAACTTGATCATATTATAATTAGGTCAAAATTGGAATTAATAAGCCAAAAGCGGCAGCCATTTTGGATTATGGTCTCGATCGATCATAGTCAAAACCTGTGGTCGGCATTTCTATTGCAGCAACTGCCCGCACTTATATTATCTTGCCTGGACTTGCTTCAACTTCATCAGATACATTTTCCAGTGATCTAGACAGTCCATAAGAGACATTATTAAGAGCTACATCTGCCTATTATAGGTCTAGCTGTCTTAAGGCTTTAGGGGGGTTGGATGGCCGAATGGTTAGCATGTATTATAAGGCCTGTCATTGAGTCAACTGGTGTGGTTTCGAATCCCTGGTTGTACGTGACAAGGAGTATAGGGTCGCCTGTCCAACCTCGTGGGTTTTCTCCGAGTCCTCCAGTTTCCTCCCACTGCTAAAGACCCCTACACGCAAGCGAATTATTGAAATAAAATTAAACCATGTTAGTCCCAAAATGACCTAGTTTATGTCGAGTGATGTTAAACTCTCTCTCTCTCTCTCTTTAGGCTTTAAGTTATATAAATTAATAATTAGACATTTATAATTAACATGACAAGACCATAATAAGGTCCATGCCATAATCAACTCTCGATGCTCAGTATAAAGTAATTTGAATGAAATTATGCATTATCTATTTTTGAACTATTATAGCAAGAATGGCCATTTCTTTATGTAAATCTTAGATAATGTATCTTTATCTATTAGAACCAGCGTCTGCCATGCAGGATACGCCCACATTTTCGAGAGATGGATAGAGAACAAGCTAAAACGAAAGTGATTTTTTCTACAATCAAAGGCCATAATTCAGGAAATTACAATTCGATATGTGCAAATATCGAAAGGAACCGAGATCCATGGGTTATAAACTTACATTTCAAGTTTCAACAAAATTGGATAAAAATTGTGACCTCTATAGGGTCCACAACCTTGATATACCATATTTTTACGCTATAATTTGAACGAGGGGCGCCATTTTTTCTGTCAGTTTTGGGCCGATTTTTACGAAATTCAAACTCAGCGCCCCTAGGGTGTAACGGTGATATAATAATACGTTTTTTTAAATCGGATAAAAATTGTGACCTCTATAGGGTCCACAAGCTAAAAATGCGATTTTTCGTCCTTAGGGTGTAACGGTGATATAATAATACGTTTTTTTTTAAATCGGATAAAAATTGTGACCTCTATAGGGTCCACAAGCTAAAAATTTAACGCGATTTTTCGAACAATCAGGGGCCATAATTCAGGAAGTTACGGTCTGATATGCGAGAATATCGACAGGAACAAAGATCTTTGGGTTATAAACTTACATTTCAAGTTTCAACAAAATCGGATAAAAATTGTGACCTCTATAGGGTCCACAACCTTGATATACCATATTTTTACGCTATTTGAGAACAAGGGCAGCCATTTTATCTGTCAGTTTTGGGCCGATTTTCATGAAATTCGAACTCAGCTGTCCTGAGGGGGCAATGGTGATGTAATAATAAGATTTTTTAAATCGGATAAAAATTATGACCTCTATAGGGTCCACAAGCTAAAAACATGATTTTTCGTACAATCAGGGGCCATAATTCAGGAAGTTACGGTCCGATATGCGCGAATAACGAAATGAAACAAGATCTTTGGGTTATAAACTTACATTTCAAGTTTCAACAAAATCGGATAAAAATTGTGACCTCTATAGGGTCCACAACCTTGATATACCATATCTTTTACGCTATTTGAGAACGAACGGCGGCCATTTTGTCTGTCAGTTTTGGGCCGATTTTCACGCAATTCGAACTCAGCCATCCTTAGGGTTTAACGGTGATATAATAATAAGTTTTTTTTAAATCGGATAAAAATTATGACCTCTATAGGGTCCACAAGTTAAAAACGCGATTTTTCGTACAATCAGGGGCCATAATTCATGAAGTTACGGTCTGATATGCGCGAATATTTTTAAAGAACCGAGATCTTTGGGTTAAAAACTTACATTTCGAGTTTCAACAAAATCGGATAAAAATTGTGACCTCTATAGGGTCCACAACCTTGATATACCATATTTTTACGCTATTTGAGAACGAAGGGCGGCCATTTTGTCTGTCAGTTTTGGGCAGATTTTCACGAAATTCACACTCAGTCGTCCTTAGGGTGTAACGGTGATATAATAATACGTTTTTTTTAAATCGGATAAAAATTATGACCTCTATAGGGTCCACTATCTAAAAACAAGATTTTTCGTACAATCAGGGGCCATAATTCAGGAAGTTACGTTCTGATATGCACGAATATGAAAAGGAACCGAGATCTTTGGGTTATAAGCATACATTTCAAGTTTAAACCAAATCAGATAAAAATTGTGACCTCTACAGTGTTCACAAGCTAAAAACGTGATTTTTCGTACAATCAGGGGCCATTATCCATAAAGTTACAGTCCGATACATGCCAATATCAAAAGGAACCGAGATCTTAGGGTGATAAACCTATATTTCAAGTTTCATTGAAATCGGATAAAAATTGTGACCTGTAGACTGTTCACAAACAATTGTGGACGGACGGACGGACAGGGGCGACGACCAATTCGTCCAAAAATCCCTCCTCTGAACATTATATCGGGGGGGGGGGGGGGGGGGGGGGTATTGGACCGGTCATGGAGCAATGATGATCATGTTGTATGTGGCCGGTGGCTTTCACGGGCCGCCACGCCATCACTTGAATCTGGATTGGGCTGGTATAATAGACTTTCTGGGCCGGGTGTGCTGGGTGTGGGCCAGAATTCGGAATCCTCCAATGGGGATTCTGAATTTCATCCGAAAATTTCATCAGATTCACCCAACACTGTCGCCAGAAACGTCTGCCGATGGTAACTCCCCAAAAAAATTCAATTTTAAGAACTCAGCAAAATTTGATGATAGCTGGTCTTGACGATACAATGATAATTTGGATGAAACTTTAAATATATGTTTTTATCATTAAGATCTTGGTTCCTTTTGATAATTATTAACATTAGTGTTACTTTGCTCTTATTTTTTGAAAAATTTTTCACAAGTTGATTTCCTTTATTTTGTTAATGTAGAATGGTAACGAACTGCTCTTTTCATTTTCTTTGTTTTATTTGTTTCGTTTGAATTTGATTTATCTGTTTAGTTTTTGATTGTTTAATTTTTGTTAATGAAGTTGATTCTTTTAAACTTCGTTTTTATTTTTGAACTCTACTTGGTGTAGGTGTTCATCAGGTAATACCTCGACTGAGTTCAATATTGAGATTAGCCGGTTGATTTGTTGGATATAAACCTTTGAATAATAGCGCCTAACAGGCAGCTGTGTTTAATTATGTTCTCCTGATTTTGATTGTTTCTGTGTGTTTGAAGTATATGTTTGTGATATGCGCTTAGAAACACTTCACGTGTAATGAAGCGCTATATAAATCGAACAATAATAATAATAATAATAATACGTTAATTAATAATATGACGATATGATAATTTCACAGGTTGATGGTTGTAAATTACTTGCAGGTCGGGGTTTTGGCCTTAATTAATCAATTTATGAGATATATTATTTGACAGAGATTATAATCAGATATGCCACCAAATCGCATATTTGGGGTTCATTTTTCAAAATTTTCAAGGGGGAGAGCCCCCGGAACAACCATCCGGGCTCCGCGGTCAGTAAAAGGGGCCGCTCCGACACGGGAGCCCGGGCCGGTTCCCGGCCCCAATCCGCCCCTGGCGACGACAATATACGTCCACATGAAAATGTGGGCGTATAAAAAGCTCTAGCTGTGATTCCGGACTCCATGATTTGAGATTAAACTATTGTTTTTGTTCAGATTAATATGGTTTCAATTACTCTGTAGCTGGTGGTAGTATGAAACACCATCTTTGTTTGGATGTTCTGACACGGTGTAGTTATTTATTGTTTTTTTCTTTCCTAGCAGTTACGGATACCCTTTACCAGTCTTTGGCATTCCTAGGCAAAAGTGACTAGAGGATAAACCTATTTCAAAAATAGGTTGCCAAGCAATGAAACGTGCACTTGCAGCAGCTAAGTGATCATAATTGGGGAAGTCAACAAGGGTTGTTGCATATTTTTTCTTTTGTCAGTAATGAAAACATTTACAACACAATAAAATCTGATTACGAGTAATAACCCATTAGGTAATTATCAGAAATCATTAGAATTTGTTTCGATTGCTTGTCTCATGACCTTAAACACGGTGTATATATTTATATTAACTTTAGCCTCTAGTGGGTCGACAAGATTTCTGAAGTGATCAAAGGCCATAACTATCAGAAATTATCGGAAATAATATACTCAATAGGTTTCTTCATCTCATGATCGTAAACACTGTGTATAAATCTATAGTCTATCGGATAGTAACTTTACCCAGTAGAGTGTCCACAAGATTTTTCAAAGTGATCAAGGGCCATAACTCTTACAGCAATTATCGGAAATTGTTAAAATCATGACAGAAAACACTGTGTATCATTCGGGTAGTAACTTTAGCTTCTAGAGCATCTACAAGACTTTTCAAAGTGATCATGGGCCATAACTCTGGCAGTAATTATCGGAAATCGTTAAAAATATATAGGTGTCTTCGTCTTATTACCGTAAACGCTGTATATAAATTTAAAGTTAATTGGATATTAAGCAATTGTGGACGCCGGACGGACAAACGAAGGCGACGGCAATATACAACCACATTTCAATGTGGGCGTATAAAAATGTTCCGACGATTTGAAATCGCTTAATTGTGTTTTAAATATTGATGGGTAATTAAAGTTGTTTTTCTAAATCTCTTAATTCTTTCAGGGCAACAAATGTATTAATTTTTAGTGATATTTCCAGAGTTTGGGGGACAATAAGTTCCATTGGAACCGTAAAACACATCATTAAAGGACACTGTTGCAGGTCTACATGTAGTTCCTTTTCATATCCTTTAGAGGATTTTAATAACTTGATGACAGCAATAAACTATAACACATTATTATTGAAGAACAATTACTAATTTATTTAAATGATGTGTTGAAGAGTATTCTTTCAACGTTTCAAATTAATTAGAGACAAATTCAAAAGTAATTGTTTTTCTTTTTCTAATTACAATATCTATTAACAGCGTTAGTTTAAAACAAATCATTTTGAAAAAAAATCAAAGTATCACACTGGTTTTGATATGGTAAATGGTTCAACTTATGATGAAACCTAAAAAAAAAAAAATTTATATGGTCATCTATCAATGATGACCAGTATCAGTGTTTTAAAATGTACATTGTTGATCTTTAAAGGGCATATATCTTTAATTCAATATTATCCATAATACTTGACATTAAAAACCATAAATTAGAATTTAATATTGGTCCATTTCAATTAATATATTGATGTTTTCTTAAATATGCATTATGTAAGATTTAAGCGGAGGACAGCAGAATGATTCGGCTGAATCAATTGGCACCGAATTGCAGTCAAATGAGATTTGGCCGAATGAGTGGACACACTAGGTGAATCCTTCGCACGATTCACCAGTCGATTGCATCACCTTTTTACGTCAAATGATTAAACATTGCACCGACCATATATTTAAACAATCACGTGAGTGGTGTTTGGTTTATGGATTCTACAGTCGGGTGAATGCTTCAGTGAAGTGGACACACAAGGCGAATATAATTCGGCTGAATGAAAACTCGTTGAATATATCAAACATGTTTGATTCAGCCGAATCAATTGACCGAATGACAGTGGACATAGGCCTTCTAGGCGAATATTGGCAACGATCGATTCAGCCGAATCATTTGACTAGTGTGTCCACCGCTTAGATAAAGAGCTGGCCGTTCTTGCTATAATAGTTCAAAAATAGATAATGAAAAAGGAATATAATGAAATTTTCATTCAAATTACTTATTCTGAGAAAGTTATACTGTTTTGAAGTTTTGACAAGATGTAGTATATACTGTTTATTATCGTAGCAACAGTACTTGGCAACAAAGACTTTATCGTTGAATTCTAAAATCCCACAGGAGTTACAATCCAGTTAAATCTCGACCATCTGATAGTCTAGAGAGTTGATGATAACTTGTCATGTGAATAAATGTCTAAATAATAACTTATATAATATTTGAAGCCAAAATAAAGACCTGCAATGGGCAGATTTACTTTGTGCAAAATGCATTTTTAAAGTGAAAATATAGGCCTCTGGTATCTATGAACATTTAAAAATCAATTCCCAGCGTTGTGCTCTCTGTGGTCTAGTGTACCATTTGTAATGAACAAAACAAAACATATCCCACAAATCAAAGTGTAATTAAAAATGGCTGATCCACAAAAGACACAAGAAAGATAAGGATAACTATGTACACAGAACAACCAGCCACCAACGACTGCCATTCAACAACAGTTTCTGGTCATGTATATGAAATAGAATTTTAAAATTGAACCTTAATCAGTCAATATACATTCATATTATCTATTTTCATCTATTTTATTGGTTCCAAAGAATAGAGCTATTCACGTTTTGGTACCCGATACCTCATTAGGCAAATACCTTTACACATGTGTAGGATAGATAATTCACCCAATTTCTGACAAATTCCAACTACTTTTGATGGTTGTGTACACATATTTATAATAAGTCTCACCTAACCAAACTGTTCCTTTAACATAACCAGAATATATTAGGTACTGTGATTCTGTATTAGCTAAAACAAAGCTAGAGATCTGAACAATTTTTTTCAGACAATTGTCGATAAAAAAAAATATGGGTAAACAAACTATTATTGAAGTGATATACCCAACATGTATTCAATAGATTTTTCATGCAATTACACCAGAATACCAAACTCTTAATTGATTTGAATGAATTGTTGAAAGGATTATTGAAAGGAAAAGGCAGTGAGGTAGTCTAAAGTGCATTGTAAAAACAGGTTTTATCCAGTTATGTTTTCCAATATATACATGTATATTACCAATTGTATACTTTTAAAATCAAAATAACTAGAACAAATAATACACTGATGGCTGAGATTTATCCTTTATATAAAATACACATATATACAGGTATAATACATTCCTTTTGACCTGTCGCACAAAGCACAAGTAAGACTTACGTACATGTAAATTGAACATTTCATAAAATATACAACCTACTTGTACATAAATTAACCTAGGCTTGGTAAAATGTGCCACAGGACACTACAAACAGCAGAGATAAACAAAATATACATATGGTAAACAAAGTTAATATACATTTAATACAAAGAAAAATATATATTGATATACATGGCACTGAAAAAGCGGTCTTGATAATGAAAGGTTGTGTAATTTGTAGTAGTTTACCCAAATCATATTTTTTAAAATAGCACTTATAAACTGAAAAATAAACAACATTAATCTTCACTTTCCAATATTACATAAATACTTTGAGCTATGGCAAATGTTATCATTCTGATTTCCTTACTGGTAATTTTTTGGTTTACAATGTCATTTCAATGATCTATTGTTGCCTTCCCCAGCGGGGCCCTTATTCAAGAAAACTTAAACTAAGAAGATACAATCGAAATTTTAACAAATACTGCAATTCGATTGGCTGACCAGTAAAATCAATTTGCATATATCCAATGAAGTTGCAGTATTTCTTAAAATTTCGGTTGTAACTTAGTTTAAGTTTTCGTGAATAAGGGCCCGGGGCAATATCTCGGAAGGCTAATTTGTTTACATAAGGTTGTCACAGTGACATTGACTAATAAAACTATTTTAAGGGAATTTATCTAGGAAAACAAAATGTCATAAGATTAAAAATTATATAATAACACATGCAATATATATTTTGATAAATATTTACTAAAACCTATAAAATAATATAAACAAGGGACAATTTTCCCAAAATCATAGAAATAAATGTTTACATTAATAATTCTAGCATAAATAAAATAAAATTCATTAAGCCACAGCAAAAGCCTAAAATAATAAACAAATCGTCCTGTACATATTATATAAGGTGGCTAAGTGAGTAAGACGTTGGATCGCTAATCTGGAGGTCCAGTGTTCGATCCCTTCATTTTCCGGCTTTTTCCCCCTTGTCAGTAGGGTGGGACAGAGGGCCTGGTAAGGGACGTATAGTCATTTGGATGGGACGAAAAAAACGAGGTCCTGTGTACACATAGGCGTGCACGTCAATCATCCCTTGGCAGTTTGAATTTGATATAAGAGTAGGCTGTAGTGTTGCTGTATGGGCAAAATTTCCCTTATAGCACACTGGTGTATGCCCATCTTCATTAGCCAATGCATAGAATATAACATAGATTGATAGGAATTAACACATATTATAACAGCAGCTAAGTTGTCTGTGCTGTCCATAAAGGCTGTCACATTGTCATTCTTTTACAAGAAACAACCAGCGGCTGCCAGGCAGGATACGCCCACATTTTCGAGAGATGGATAGAGAACAAGCTAACAAGAAAGTGATTTTTCCTACAATCAAGGGCCACAATTCAGGAAATTACAATTCGATATGCGCGAATATCGAAAGGAACTGAGATCTTTGTGTTATAAACTTACATTTCAAGTTTCAACAAAATCGGATAAAAATTGTGACCTCTATAGGGCCCACAACCTTGATATACCATATTTTTACGCTATTTGAGAACGAACGGCGGCCATTTTGTCTGTCATTTTTGGGGTGATTTTCAAGAAATTCGAACTCAGCCGTCCTTAGGGTTAAACGGTGATATAATATGTTTTTTTAAATTGGATGAAAATTATTACCTCTATAGGGTCCACAAGATAAAACGCGATTTTTCGTACAATCAGGGGCCATAATTCAGGAAGTTAGGTTCCGATATGCGCGAATATCGAAAGGAACCAAGATCTTTGGGTTATAATCATTCATTTCAAGTTTAAACTAAATCGGATAAAAATTGTGACCTCTACAGTGTTCACAAGCTAAAAACGTGATTTTTCGTACAACCATGAAGTTACAGTCTGATACATGCCAATATCAAAAGGAACCGAGATCTAAGGGTGATAAACCTATAATTCAAGTTCCATTGAAATCGGATAAAAATTTTGACCTGTAGACTGTTCACAAAGAATTATGGACGTCCGGACAGACGGATGGACGGACAGGGGCGACGACAATATACGTCCACATGTGGGCGTATAAAAAACTTGTCAAGAACAACATCCAGTGAAGCAATTATCAGAAATAATGAAGATTGTGTACGCTAACATAATCATAACATGTACCAAAAATCAATGAAAATTAATATGTGTTTTGGGGTCTTGAATAGAATTGCCATGTATACATTTCAAGTCAATATGATAACATTGGCCTTAGCATACACAAGCTTTTTCTGAGAAATCATGAACTATCACCTCTGAAAGCACAGACAAAGGTGATGTATCAAAAAAAATCTATATATTTGAGTGAATTAAAGAATCACATGATTCAACCATAAATTGTTCAAAATATGAATAATGAATTTTGAAACGTCCTCAGTCCTCATGGTTGATTATGTGTTTGGAAAATTGTGTGCGTTGATGTTTAATCACAAAGATAGAATGCCAGACATCAAACCATTTGCCCAAAGCAGCTAAGTTGTCATAAGGCTGTCACATTTTTATCCTTTGTAGGTAATAGGATACTTACACTAAAACCTAAACAAGGACAGCAACCCATGAAGTAATTATCACAAATAGTTGAAGTTTGATAGACTTCTAGTTCTTCATAGATTTAACATAAACAAAACATGTACCGATAATCAGATAACTAATCAGATAACTTTAGCGGAGTGTTCCAGTTATCGGAAATTTTTGAAAATAAATTGGATTCTTCATCTTGTGAACACAACACCTTTTTTGAATTTCCAATTAAGATGTTTCTAAGTGATCATATTATAAATAGGCCTCTTCATCGCGTAGGGGTCTTCAGTAGTGGGAGGAAACCGGAGGACCCGGAAAAACCCCACGAGGTTGGACAGGTAACCTTTCTCCTTGTCACGTACAACCGGGGAATTGAAACTCCGCCAGTTGACTCAATGACAGACCTTACGATATAGCCCGCACATGCTAACCATTTGGCCATCCAACTCCCTCAAATCAATCAGGTGGTAACTCTAGGCTATAGAGCTTGTGGATAACTGACCAACAGACTGGGGTAATGACAACATATGACCACATTTCAATGGGGGTGCATAAAAATCATTTATAAATTGAGCATTTTGAACAGTGAGACAAGGACAGAAAGTGTTATCACAATTATATTAAATGTCATGAAGCATAAAATTGTAGAAAAAAATAGATCCATCATAATGCTGCCTTTATTTTATGATACACAACACCTAACACTCTCTTAACTAATACTACTGCATTTATCCAAATATGGCCAGTTGGCACACGCCCAATAATATAAATTCAAATCAAATCTGAAGTCAGTAACTTGCAAAAAAAACAACAACAAAAAAAAAAACGGATATGAGTGTTACTAATGAAAACCAATGTTTCCATAAGAATTTCATATTTTTTAGATTATAATAATTAATAATAGCTAACAGACATACTATGGATATAATTTTTGGCATTATTTGAATTATTTTATATCAATTTGAATGAGGAGTGAAAAGAAACATAAGTGGGCAGAAGAGAATACCAGTAATTAACTAAATTTGATGCTGAAAAAAGTAAGATTCAAACCTTTTCCAGTAAGCAAAGATATAAAAAATTTGAACAAAGTTTCACATTCCTTAGGAGATAGAACACAATGAAATTTTAACACAATATAATGGTAGATTTAGAATAATCCAAAAAGAACTTGACACCTATGCTAACTTAAAATAACAAATTGATATAACCAAATTTATCTCAGTTTTGAACAAAACACATTAATTAAGGCAATCATAACTGAGAACAACACCTTGTCACAAATATGATCTAACCTAATACATTAACAAATTTAACACACTTTCAGACAAACCCTTATAATTTAGTACAAAAGTCTGAGTTTCAAAACAATTTTGCTCTTATTAACAACGAATGTGTTTACATTTTATTATATACAATGGCTAACATACAACTTAACAAAATCTTATCACAATTTTAATATACTGTACATATCCATGCCTGAGAAATAAAACAGTTCTTAATAATAAGTTTCTGCATTAAGACCAAGAAAAAATATATTTGTCACTAAAAGCATTTCTTTCAAGCTAATTTTTAAGCTTTTTTGTGGACAATTTACCGGTATACATTTTACTGTAAAGGTGTTACTGGGCTAAGGGTGGGTAATCTACTCAGTGGTACATGCCCTAGAGTACTAATCATACTTACAAATATCATACTTCAGATGAAAATAAGTTTAAAAGATTCATGAAATGACCTAACTAAGTTTGAGAAAACATATATGTTTAGAAGACTTATTAGCATATATACAAACACTTCACCACTCAACATACAAAGTATTCAATTGTTCATTATCTAATAATAGAAAAGATTGTTTTAAAAGCTAATTAATTATTTCATACATAAGAGTTTTGGACTTAGTCAAGTTTAATTTATATTTGAGTTTGAATAAATTTTGATAAATAAAATATTTAAATAAAACAAAAAAAATGAAGCCCAAACCCTTAAGGCCAAGTTCAAACCACACACTAGGCAACCAAACATTTTTTAAACAAACAATTAATTTACATGCCTCAATCTTTTATTGGAATATTTCATACATATTCATAATAAAATCTGTTAACTTTTATATGAAAATAAAGTATTTTTTAGCGATTATGAATAAACGCAAAATAAACAATAAATGAATATAAAAATAGACAGATTGAACTATGACATTTATTATATATATACAATGTACAAGCACTGGTATAGCTATAGCCTATAATGATGAGAGTTAAAGCTATAAATAAGAAATATAAGGATACTTTACGAGGGCGTCAGCCAGAGTGTTCATTTAATACATTACACAACGTCTTGCTCAACACCATTAAACAACTTAAAGGGACCATCCCGATTTTAACAGTCTCTTGTAAAGGTTTTTAAGTGCTTTGCACTCAAAATTAAGCAGTTTTATTCTCCAAAATATAATCGAGATTGGCCCTTTAATAAACAGATACTCTTTCCTGCACAAGCATTTCAATAAAAAATGTACAATTAGAATAATGGTACACCAACAGCAAAGGAAGACAGCTGTATGTTAATAACAGTTAAAGCTGTTGTCTATCATATGCACAAGCACTGGTATATTTTCATTTAGCTACAATAATAATAATAGTTGAAGAATCCTATAATTTTGTTTTCAGTATTGAATGGACAACAATATATTCAATTTAATTATGGCTTGAAAATTTTCTGTTTCTAAGGTTTAAGCTGCAAGTGAAAGGCAGACAATAAAAAGAAGTGGAGAACACATCAATGGACATGTGGAACAAATATCTTTGGTTTCTGTAGAAATCTACTATAATAAAAACAAGTCTGATTCAAAATCTAATGCAAGACATACAGCTGTTTGTTCATCAAATCAAACATTGGTTCTAAAAGTTTACCATATGTAAGGTTTTGTTCTATTTATTGTCATTAGGATATCATTGCTATTTCTAATGATCCGTAAACTAGAACATAACAATATCATGACAGATTTTACCAGACGGACAATTTAAATATTACTTTCAAAACAAACCTTTTAACTCCTGAAGACATAGACAACAATCCCTGAAGATAATCGTTCATTATTGATGGCAAATTTATTATGCTGATGATGGAATTGTTCAGTTCTGCATTTAATTATATTAACATTTTGTTGTTGGTGGTGGCATTATTCCATTAAATTCTGTTTCGTTATTAGTTGCCATTGTTAATGGAATTTGAGACTGGAAGGTATCTGTTGGATTACCACCAACACCAACTGCCTCCCGAGCCATCTTATCACTCTTCAGTGCTGGTCCCCAATTCTCGGATGGACGTAATGACACTTTGATGGCCTGTAAGATCACATTAATAAAATATTAAATAAATAAATATATCACACAATCCAAACAAAAATCAATCAGAATAATATCTGACATATTTTCTTTGAAGCTGGAATTTAGATCACATGAACTCGATTACCTATCAAATTGGTAGTCTGGGTATACTGGGCTGCACTTTGTGGATGATTATCGGAATTTTGAAACAAGACACAGATACAGTGGAATCTGCATTAAGCAGCCACCCAAGGGAATTTTCACAACTGACCGCTTAACGGGAGTGGCCTCTTAATAAAATCTCGTTGCTTTTTGTGCCGACATAAATTAAATATTACGCTTGGATGCATTGGAAGCGGTAAATTTGGCCGTCGCTGAATCTTGCGCCGAACGAAAATTCTTTACTCAAATCTCGGACATAACTTAACGGGAGTGGCCTCTTAATAAAATCTCGTTGCTTTTTGTGCCGACATAAATTAAATATTACGCTTGGATGCATTGGAAGCGGTAAATTTGGCCGTCGCTGAATCTTGCGCCGGACGAAAATTCTTTACTCAAATCTCGGACATAACTTCTGTAAACTTGTCATTTTGTACCAACCTTCGATACTACTGTCTGCCATTGTGATGCATTCGATAATATTTATCCATTTTTGTGAAGAAAATCGATGAATTCATTTTACTTTATCAAAAAAGCACATGAACAAAAAACATCGCTAATTTTATCACCTATTTACAGGGTGTGTAACTCTGTATGTAATATTATAGGAGGCGCTAAGAGAGATACTAGATGATCGTGAAAAAACTCGGTACTTTTATTTCATTCAATCAGTATCAAATAATGTGTCGTTACGCGTGAAAACAATGATCAGGTTAGTCGTTTAATAAAACAAAAGATTAATTAACAGATAATCCCGGGTTGATTGTTATGTTTACATTTCTTTTTACCTGATAAGTGGGGGTCCAGTTAATTAACTACTACTCACGGGATTAACGGGGGGGTTACAAAGAACGACAAGCTGGTATCATTCAACAATGGCCGTTGAATGGGCGATGTTTTGTTGAATTTATTAGTAAAATAGTGACCGCTGGCCGCGTTAGAGGAGTGACCGTTGAATAAAGAGATAAAAAAACAGAATTTCTACGGGGGGAATTTATCGTGACCGCTTACAAGGAGATGTCGCTGAATAGGAGTGGCTGCTCATACAGATTCTACTGTATAAACAAAATGGCATGGAGCATATATAATAATGACTTTGGATTGTTTTACGGATAATAAGCATTTGGCAAATGGTTGGATAATATAACCAGCTCTCTTACATGGAACTCAGTTGTGACAGGTTTGTTCAAGCAACAAATGGGTCACGCATTGGCTACTGGTTTCCCTGACCACTCACTTAAATGCCTTACACTAATTGTATTTGATAATAATAATAATATCAATAATAAAATCAAAAGTCTTTGTCAATGGCAGATACGTAATACTGCTTTTTATATTGTCTATTTTCGATGATGGATTACATAACAAAAGAGAAAAAATTGGGTTAAACATCTGCTCAGAACAAACTAGGTAATTTCAAAACTGAAATATATTTGTTATTTCAATAATTCGCATGCACAGTGTGGAAAAACAGAAATCCCAGAGTAAACCCACAAGGATGCACAGTTAAATATAAGCTGACTCCTTGTTATAACAGTCCTCCTCAGACCTTAGACCACCCTATCCCCACTCCTTGGTAACATAATATTTACCTGAATGATAGTAGTGTTAGAGTTACGATACTGTTTGAATACTGTAATAAAAGCAAAGATTGGTATACATAATACAGAAGCAAGTGTTATTAGACAACCAACACCATCAGCCCAAGCTGGAAATATCAGGTCACCATATTTAGTTGGTTTAAAGTCAATCCAAGTGAAGATAAGAATAACCTGAAAATAAAAAATAGACTAAAATACTCTCAATCAACAAAATAATAAGGTGATAGTTAAAAAACCCCACCCAAATCCATTTGAATTTGTTTAACTAGTTGGAGAGTGTCACACTGAAATTTGATATACTCCAAATCATTTGGATAGGATGCTTTATTCTTGAAGTTTGAGAAAACTGTAGAAATTTCCTGTATAACTAATTGAGCCAAGCTTATAAATTAGTAGAAGTACAAACTACTGTAATATATTAATGTGTGCAGAGTATTCTGTAGTGATGTCTTTACAGATTCTGTGTGAAATTGTAAGGAAAAGTAATTGAATACCAAAACCTAAGTAAGATTTGATTCCAATGAAGTACACTATTTATTCTACCATAAGCTTCCTTACAAGCAGAAGGCACAAGTAGTAAAATAGACTAATCCCTGGTTCGCACACAGTGTGTCCTTAATGATAACTTTCTGTGACACTGAGGAGAGAGAGAGTGAGAGTGAGAGAGAGAGAGAGAGAGATGTGGTTCAACACCCACTTGACACATTTCGTGACTAACATTTATGGTTCATTTATATTTTAATAATTCGCTTGCATGTAGGAGTCTTTAGCAGTGGAAGGAAACCTGAGGACCCGGAGAAAATCCTTGTCACATACAACTGGGAAATCAAAACCACGCTAGTTGACTCTATGACAGACCTTATGATGCATGCACTAACTCGGCCATCCACCCCGCCTCGACACGGAGAGCTAAATGATGAAGGGTTTCTCTATGTGACCTGTATTAATAGCAGTAAATAAATTATCAATAAAGAATATACCAGTAAAGCAATTGGAGCAATGAATTTCCAGCTAATGACCCAGATTTTTGGTGGTCGTTTACCCAACATCGTTTCTATATCAGATAAAAATCTCTCAGCACCTGTAAAGAGTAACAGTCAATATTTAGGTTAAGAATACATTAAAGGAACAACTATACAAACTTACCTTGTCAGCCATGCAGGTGCCACCCCTGTTAAATCCCTATGGTTTTATTAGACCCAGACCACGATTATAACAGATGGCCTTTCTAGTCTAGTGCCCTAAAGCGACCCAAGGAATGTATAGGTGAAAGAAATTGAAGTGCCGCAAGAGATTCAATGATCTGTTGCACATCCTGCATGTAGAATCTTTGCATACTTTAGATGGTAGACAAGAGATTGGCTTAGCTTAAGCAGTGCAGCTTCTAACTGAAGAAACAGTGAATCTTGTAAATGCAATTAGTTTCTTTAGAAATATATACAAACTCCATATATACACACATGCATCTCATACACCAGAAAATACAGGATTTTAGAACTTACCATAAACCCAAGCTATAGCAACACATTCTGTAAAACAAACTATCAACAAAGAATAACTGGCTGCAAAATTATCAAACAGCTGAAGAATGTACATACCACCCTGTAAAAACAAACATGTTACCAGTATAAATTACGTTTATGATATCCATTAAATGGGTATTTTATCTTGGGGGTTTAGGAACAATGGATTGAAAACTGAATTGAGAAAAAATGTTTTATGGTCATACAATCAAATTGTGAAATATTGGAGAACTGTACTTTTCCTAACTAGAAATAATCTGGTACTCAATATAAAACATTGTTCACTTATGCACAATCAGCAAATGAACTTTACCAGCAATGCTCAGTTTGTAAATAGACAATAGAAGGAGACGTTTTTGCCCTGAACTATGCCATAGAGGAGAATATTGCTTTAAATTGTTTTGCTTTCTAGATAGAAGGAATCACCATCTATCTGTCCGATACTCTTTTATAGTGAAAATTCAAGCCCTATACTTAGTTCAGAACATCTTTGTCTGTGAGGTAGTACTTCCTAGGAAATTTGCAAGAAGAGCCAGTCATAAATGAGAGGCTAGTCTAGCATCTGTAGGTTGGAGATAGAAGAGTGATTAAGGAAGTCTTACCGCCTCCATTTCCTCAATTAATATCATACTTTTTGAGAAACAAGTTTACAAAGGCATTGGTCCTGGGTACAAGTAGGTTAAATAAAAAAGCCTTATCAGGGCCGTGAGGTGATGGCATACAGGTGCAGTCTGGCCCACATTGCCACCTAGTTCTGATCGAGATAGGGTTAATTCATATGCCAGCAGACAATAGCGTGCCAATGTCCCCTGTTTGCCAAGCTAGATTCATGTATCAATTTCACCTCTAGCTTCATAGTACAGAGCCAAGTGAGATCAGTACATTCACGTATTTCATCAAGCAGACGACACATTGCGACCATCATGATACAAACTCTCAACAAATCGTGTTTCAGGAATCCTGAACAAATTAACTCCTGGATCCTGGAATAGGAATTTTCGAGATATTTAAAACCCTCGTCTATTACCATTTTTATGATTATATTTGGTAAACAACATTCAATTACCCATGAAAAGTTAGGTTGGCTAGCAACGAAACAAACATCCATTAAGTAATTATTATTAGGATTTGTTTGGCTTCTAGTTCTGCCACATGCTAACATAATGTCTCTAGAGTGTCCACAAGATTTTTCAAAGTGATCACGGGTTATAACTTTGGCAGAAACTATCTGAAATCAATGAAAATCAATATACTTCTTTGTCTCATGACCTTGACGGACGGACCAATGATAATTTACAACTACATTTCAATGTGGGGTTATAAATATCAATTTCTTTTCTATTGGCATTGGTTTTTGAGAGTTACTTACCCTGGTACAGAAAGACAGACCAATCAGATAACAGATAAAAGCTATCCCAATTAATAAACAGACAGATCGCTTTCCTTGACTGAATACTGTAGGGAACCGATCCATTAGTGTTGTATGAACAGTTGTTACTGTAGCAATCTATGAAAAAAAAAAAATAATAATTAAGGTAGGTTGCTAGACAATAAAGCATATGCCAACAGCAGCAAATCATCTAAGGAGATATTTGATGATAACTTTTTGCTTTTGCTCCGAAATCTTCCGTCTTACGAAAACAAACGCTGTGAATTATTTCAAATCAATCAGTTAACTTCAGAAATTTGAGGGTCCACAAAGACAATAAGGTAACTTCAAAAGTATGTATAGCATATAAACACTGTGTATAAATCTAAATGCAATCGTAACTAACTTCAAGAGCACCCAAAATCTTTTCCAAATTGATCAAGTGCCCTGACAATAATTATCGGAAATTGATGAAATTCAAAAGGATTTTTCATCTATGTCGAACTTGGTGGAAATTCATATTTAGTTAGTACAAACCTGTGTTCCTAGTCCTAAGGTTACTAACATCATAAAGAATAGAACAGCCCACAGTTGAGATATAGGTAATCTTGTTACAACTTCAGGATATATAATGAATGCCAAACCAGCCCCTACAACCACAATAAATATAGGTTATATAGACATATACTATAACTTCACCACGTAGAGATATCTTTTAAATATAATACACACAAATTGCCTTTTGATGAACTAAACTTAACATTAAATTATTATCAGATGCAAGACAAACATTTCAAAACAAAAAACAAACGGTTGCCATGCCATGCAAGATACGCTCAAATTTTTCAAAAGATGGACAGAGAACAAGCTAAAAACAAAACGATTTTCCGTAGAATCATGGTCCATAATACAGGAAGTAACAGTCTGATACATACAAGTATAGAAATGAACCGAGATATTTGCGATATAAACGTATATTTTACGTTTCATCCAAATCAATTAAAAATTGTGACCTCTAGAGGGTCCACAACCTTAGTATTAAATACTTTTACACTTTATTTGTGTACGTGGAGCAGCCAGTTTCGGTCTGATTTTCACAAAATTTGAACTCAACCGTCATTAGGGTGTAATGATGATATATTTGAATGGTTTTTAAAATCAGATAAAATTTTTGACATCTATAGGGTCCACAAGCTAAAAATGCGAATTTTCGTACAATCAAGGGTCATAAACCAAGATCTTAGGGATATAAACATGTATGGCATGTTTCATCAAAAACTGGATACAAATTGTGACCTCTAGAGGATCCATAACCTTGAAATTACATACTTTTACACTATTTGCCTACAAAGGAGAATCCATTTTGTCGGGCAGTTCCAGTCCGATTTTCTCGAAATTCGGTATCAACTATCATTAGGATCCAACGGTTATATATTTGAACAGTTTTTAAAATTGGATCAATATTGTGACCTCTAGATTGTCTACAAGCTATAAACGTGATTTTTCGTACAATCACTCAACATAATCCAGGAATTTACGGTCCAATACATGCCAATATCGAAAGGAAGCGAGAATACTGGGATATAAACCTATATTTCAAGTTTTGTCAAAATGGGATGAAAATGTGGCATATAAAAACGAATAACAACCTTAACTGGGAAAGACCTAAGTTGGAATTTATTATTACGCAAAACAAAGTCCAAATTACAAGGATTTTCAGTCTTTATTTTTATTTACAGTTTAGTAACACTGACCTTCACTAGCTACTTCATCAATATTTTGGTTCATCTCATTAGCCATATAACCAATAATAGAAAATATCACCATACCAGCAAACACACTAGTAGCACAATCTAATATAGATACAAGTACAGCATCTCTACAAAAAAGAAAACAAGATTTTTAAGGACTTAAGTCAGATATTAAAACTGTATGTAATGTGGCATGAAGACAAAACTGATAAACTGATGTTAAGAGCTGTAAATGCCACAGCAATAGCATGTCCAATCACTTCAATCTTTATCCTTTGCCAGAAGTCAATTGTCCTGCAATGATTTTTCAATGAGATCATTTTGTTAAAGATAGGTTGCCAGGCAACTAAATATACACCCACAGCAGCTAAGTCATCTGGGCAGTCAACGAGGGTTGTTGCATATTTTTTCTTTTGTAATTAATTAAAAAAAAAATTAACAACACACTAAAATCTGATTACGAGTAACAGCTCATTAAAGAGGCATTATATTAGATTAGATAAAGAGAGAGAGAGAGAAATGGAGTTTAACGTCCATTCGACACAAACTAGGTCATTTCGGGACTAACATGGTTTAATTTTATTTCAATAATTCGCTTGCGCGTAGGGGTCTTTAGCAGTGGGAGGAAACCGGATGACCCGGAGAAAACCCACGAGGTTGGACAGGCGACCCTACTCCTTGTCACGTACAACCGGGGATTCGAAACCACGCCAGTTGACTCAATGACAGGCTGTATGATACAGCAGACCTTCACGTAAAAGGAGCGCGATCGCTCTCGCTCTCCTGGACGCGCCTGGATGTCAGTCGAGGTGCGCTTTTTATAGCTCTCCTCAATGTCTAATTTGACTCCCCCTCAAAGAAAAATTATCAGGAAAAATATACTGGTAACGAAAAATACTGTCAATATCATATCGACAATCAACTTGCTTGTCGGCTACAATAACAGGCATACCTTAGTGAGAATCCGCCATCCGGTTCATAATCCGAGTAATTAGCACATTTAACGGCAATTTTGATAATTCGGCAAAAAAAAAAAAAACCAACATTGCAAGCCTGCTGGTTATTCATAACAGGTCCACTAAGTTTCCTTTGTAATAATAAACCACTGGGTGAAGGAAGACATCTCGCTCCGCATGGATTGTGAATCTCGTGCTTCGCGCCCCGTCTTCGACTCTCGATCCGTACGAATTCTAGGTAGATATGAAAATAATAATTGGATAATGCATTTTATGGTTTCACTAACCATAGAACACCAGATATCCCGAGAAACAAATATACATGTAACTAATATATTTTTCCGTCAAGATCTTCAATGCTTTCAGATTCCCGATAACACGTGACATGCATTGGTTGGAATTAGGTCAATAACCCAGCATTGCAAGATTTATTTTTAAATAGTGTTTTAGTTTTATTCAATTTTATTTTTTACACATGCTGACAGGGATTTATTCTTAAAAATATTGCCCTTTTTATTTAAGGCCATGGCATAGTCGTACGGAATTTTATTTTGTATAAAGCAATTTCAATCATGGGAGTCACGTGATCATTGTGTGGCTTGTCTTTCATCCACAAATGAAAAAAAAAATTGTAAGTTACGTGATAGACAAAAACATTAATTTGTGTTTTAAATATGAAGAAATGTCATGCTGTCGCATCAGCTTATTTTCGCCGTAGTAGATAAATCCTAATTTCGATCGACTGATGATAAATGAAGACAGTAGTCTATTCAGGAATATTACTGACTTGAACTTGTTGAAGTCAGATATTAAAGTTAACGGGAGCTTCGAATTACCCTGTTTCTTACCGGGACCTCATTTGACCCAATTCTGGCCGGTTGGTTTCGAAATGGATTAAAATCTCTGGACTTTATCGCAAATGCTAACAAAGCTCTCCTCAAGAGATTCAGGAGAGCTTTCTCAGGAGAGCGATTTCCTCTTTTTCCAATTTCAGGAGAGCTTTTTTTGACTCCCCAGGAATTTATTCACGTGAAGGCCTGATACAGCGCGCGCGTGCTAACCATTCGGCCACCCAACCCCCCCAGATTAGATAAAGAGTTGACTATTCTCGCTATAATAGTTAAAAAATAGCTAACGTAAATAGAATATGCCGTATGTTGAAAATTTCAGTCTAATTGCTCCACTATGAACCAAGATATTAGCTGTTGAATTTTAAGCCTAGCCTCGATCATCATTATTAAAGTCGGTATGATAAAAAACATTATCCATTTTGGGATTTAATCATCAAAGAGCATTGAGCAACAGATCGGATTCAAATCCAGTGAAAATCCGACACACAAGAGGACATCAATAGTTGATTATTGTTTGGATAAGTTAATGAATGTCTAATTAATAGTTTATCTAACATTTCAGGTGAAAAGAAAGACCTGCAATAGACAGATTTAGCTCTTGCATAATGTATGTTTAAGTAATTATCAGAAATCTTTAAAAGTTGTTTCGACTGTTTGTCTCATGACCTTAAACACTGTGCATAAAATTTATGCCATGTGATAGATCTATATTAACTTTAGTCTCTAGTGCACCTACAAGATTTCTCAAGTGATCAAGGGCCATAGTAATTATCAGAAATCGTTGAAAAGCAACAGGAATCTTCGTTTCACAGTCTTAAGCCTGGCCCATACCGCTACGACTACACACAAGCCGACAGGACTCATCGTCTTGGGTAGTTGTAAAAAAAAATCGGGTCGCGCCTTTACTTCACTTGCCTACGACGGTACCAGTCCACACAGGCCCGAATCTCACAGATTATTTCTGTTCGAGTAGGACTTCAATGCTGGGTTGTAGAGCCATCTTGAATTTTCCCTCAGTTAAACAAGGAGCACATGACCCCTCAGTCACAGGACTAAATGCTACTCTCTGATTGGCTAAACATCAGTAAGACAATTGATCGCGTCGTGTGAGTGTCCATACAAACATGATAATTACGACTGCAACCAACTGCATCCGACTACGATTGAACATGTTCAATCGGGCCGACGGACCACAACGCGACGGAAATCGATTGAATCTTGGTCGTGGGACTGTCCACACTGCACTGATTATCTGAGACAAGACGTTGGGTTGGGTAGAGTCTGGGTAAGTCGTGGCGGTATGGGCCGGGCTTTAAACAATGTGCATAAATTTATAGTCAATCGGATACTTTAGCCCCTAGAGTGTCCACAAGATTTTTTAAAGTGATCAATTGCCATAACTCGGGCAGTAATTATCAGAAATTGTTGAAAATCAATAGGCAAGTAATTCCTTGACATAAAGTTACTATTACTTAGTATTAGTGCAACAAATATGGGTCAGCTTATTCGAGACTTAGACATTCCACGCAAGAGCGAGAATTGCGGCTTCTAGCAGATGATAAATCCCCGCATAAATCACTCTGCATTTGTATTAAAATGTACACTTACGTAATACAGCCCAAATTTATTACAACTATGCCAAAAATAACATCTTTCTTCATAAAACTGGACGATGAAAAATGTACATGTAGGACTCCAATTAGATCTTCAACTACCGATAACTTATTGCAATTGATAATTTTTTCACATTAGAGAGAAATTACAATGAGGCTGAGTGTCATGGTTGCCTTGTTTCTTCAAAGAAAAATGACATTTCTTCTACCCGTAATTCTAATAAAAAGTTGCACTTTGAAAACAGCAATTGCAAATGGGTACAGGAAGACCTTGCAAAGTATGACCCCGACGTAAGGTTATCCTTTAAAGAACAGGATGGGAGGTTTTGTAACTTTTTTAAAATGCAAAGTTTGTGTCAAATGTAATACTGCAAAATAAATACAATGTGTGACATCTCAATGGCGTGGATCAACGGTTACCCACATTTTTAGTTTTAAAATGCACACATAACAACACACCATGTAATATAACATATCAAAACAACAACTTGATTCATCCATTCAGTACAGTTTTATTTAGTATTTTGTGTCTCCTGAAAAACTGATAAAATTGAGATACTGCATATTTGAAATGCAAAATAGAAATGCAGCAATGATGTGTTTGTTAGGCACAACCTGTGTCATGTCAGGCACAAAGTTTCTGATGACCTTAAACACTCTGTATAAATTGAAAGTCAATTGATTTTAACTTTAGCCTCTACAGCATCCACCTGATTTTTCAAAGTGCCGTAGTGCTATAACTCTGGCAGTATTTATTGAAAATTGTCGAAAATAAATAGACTTCTTCGTTTGATGACTGTAACCTCTGTGTATACATCTAGCTAAAGTCTATCAGATATCAATTTTCGCCTCTAGGGTGGCCACAAAATTTTTCAAAGTGATAAAGGCCCACAATTCTTGCAGTAACTATTGGAATTTGTCAAAAATTAATAGGCTTCTTCGTTTCAATCTCCTAAACACTGTGTATAAAGTTAAAGTCAAATGGATACTAACTGTAGTAAGCTCTAGAGTGTCCCAATTTTTTTTAAAAGTGATCAAGGGCCATAACTCTGGCAGTATTTATGTGTTACCATGGAATTAGCTTAAAATTTGGAAATCCAATTATTTTTTACGAGGCCATATTTATGTTATATTGTATTAGTTTTTTTTCTAGGATGAATAACTATAGCCTCGATTAACGGGGCCATATTTATGTTTAACCATAGAATTAGCTTAAAATTTGGAAACCCAATTTATCAGGTAACAAATATTTAATACTTATTATTTTCTTTTGCACCGGTAGTGAAATAACCTCAGTAAACCAGACACAACCTTTCAACAATAACCTACACTGAACTACAGGAATGACTTACTTGTAACAATTATTGTTGAATTTATTAAAACTTGCTAATGTAATCAACCCTCCCCATCCAGGTGATAGTGAGAAAAAAATCTGTACAGCAGCATCTCCCCATACCTAAAACATATAGAAAGGCAGGGTACAATTAAAACCTATGTTTGAACAAACCAACTAATATGTCCAACAAAATAAGATATATTACACAAGGCTCTTCTTGAGTTGATCTTTTAAAAGCACTGAAACTTCTGATTTGTGTAATGAGGTGAACAGTATCAATTTCAATACAATTATTATTCAAGGCCGTGGAGAGAAATTAAAATTTTGCCCCCCCCCCCACACACACACTTGTGCAAGAAGACCATATGCAAAACATTAAGTTTCTAATTATCCCAGAGTAGGACACCTGGATTGGATCAGTGTGTCTGCGGGAGAAATATTGGCCATGCTGACGTAAAAACTCTTTCCATTTCTAAAAATTCACAAGATCAGCAGAATTCAATTTACCTTAGCGCTAGCCAACTTTTCCCATTTTGGGGTAAAGAAGTATCGTATACCATCAAGAGAACCTTCCAATGTTAAACCACGTACTAACAAGATAGTTAATACAATGTAAGGAAAGAAAGCAGTGAAATATACAGCCTGAAATATAAACAAAAACAGCTAAATTAAAATAATTTGAAAATGAGGATTTTACAGATTTATCATAATCAAGATCACCGGCTGCCAGGCAGGATACGCTCACATTTTGCAAGAGATGGATAGAGAACAAGCTAAACAAAAAGCGATTTTTCGTACAATCAAAGGCCATAATTCAGGAAGTTACGATCCAATATGCGCGAACATCGACAGGAACCAAGATCTTTGGGTTATAAAGATATATTTCAAGTTTCATCAATATCGGATCAACATTATGACCTATGAGTGTCCACAAGCTAAAAACATGATTTATCGTACAATCAGGGGCCATAATCCATGAAGTTATGGTCCGATATAAGCCAATCTCAAAATGAACCGAGATCTTAGGGAGATGCACCTATATTTTAAGTTTCGTCAAAATCAAATAAAAATTGTGGATGGATGGACAGGGGCGACGACAATATACGTCCACATGAAAATGTGGGCGTATAAAAACTATTAAATATAAATCATAGTTTTTTGAGTAATTTTAAAATATATAGTGATATAAACTCACCTTTCCTGAAGTTTTAATTCCATTAGCCAGACATATACAGACTAAAACCCAGGCTAATAATAAACATAAAGCTAATTCCCATTTAACACCTCCCATATGTTCAACACCTTCAGTTATATCTAATACATATTCACTGGAAAATACACAAATACTAATTAAAAATCAACTTTACCCAATGTAACAGTCAGCAAGCAGTTGGCATGCAAGATACGCTTAAATTTTGCAAGTGATGACAAGCTAAAAAAAAACACCAGTAATTTTTCGTACAATCAGGGGCCATAATCCAGGAAGTTACGGTCAAATATGCGCGAATATCAAAAAGAACCGAGATCTTTGGGATATAAACATATATTTCCAGGGTCCACAACCTTGGTATTACATACTTTTACGCTATTTGTGTACAAGGAGCTGCCATTTTGTTGGACAGTTTCTGTCAAATTTTCAAGAAACCATCCTTATGGTGTAACAGTGATATATTTGAACGGTTTTTAAAATCGGATAAAAATTGTGGCCGCTAGAGGGTCTACAAGCTAAGTTTACAGTCCATTATACACAAATATTGAAAGGAACCGAGGTCTTTGGGTAATAAACATACATTTTAAGTTTCAACAAAATCAGATAAAAATTGTGACCTCTAGAGTGCCCAAAAGCTAAAAACATGATTTTTCAAACAATCAGGGGCCATAATCCATGAAGTTATGGTCCGATATATTTGGGATATAAAATTGGATAAAAATTGTGACCTCTCGAGTGTCGACAAGCAAATTGTGGACTAATGTCCGGGCGGACAGGGGTGTTGACAATTTATGTCCACATGAAAATGTAGGCGTATAAAAAAGTGACCTTTTCTATGTGGCATCATATTGGAAACTTGTGATGAAACAAGCAAAAAGCGTTGTTATCCCTCATATAAACATAATTTCATTATGTAAGATTTAGATAAACAGCATGGTGTTCTTGCCATAATAGTTCAAAAATAGATAATGAAATATATTGAAATTTTAGTCAAATTACTTTATTCTGAGCGAAGTTATGAATGTTTGAAGTTTTAACAAGAAATTGCATTAATAATACAGTCTTGATGGTCAAGAATCAATGCTTCGATACTAAACAAACTCTTGATTATCAATTTTTACATTAAATTATTAGATGGTGATTGTGTTTTTATCGCTAATTCATTCAAGAGTTGGTTATGGGCTTGTCATGTGAATAAATGTCTAAGTAATAATTTGTAGCCAGAAAAAACAAATCACTGCAATAAGCAAGGCAGATTTAGTTCATAATACATTCTTTAAGATACATTTATCTCCTATTACAATACTAATATAGCTGATAATTTTAATTGTACTTTGCTGATCTCTTACTTAGTAGTAAAGTTCTCACATTGCCTTGAAAGATACTAAACTAAACACATGCAAACTTACTGGAAGTATTCATCACTCGGAGACTTCGATTTAGCTAAAGAACTATTAGTGGAATTCTGCATGTAATTAAAAGTAGCTTGTCCAACCATATCAACAGTATAACATGTATTATTATAAAATGTTCCATTATATAGAGTACAGTTCTGTATGTGTTCTCGATTCTCAAGGCAAGCTGTAAATAAAACAACGTTGTAACAGATTTATCAAGGCTCTCAATAGATCCAATGCATGATTATGACACCATATATTGCCAGAGAGACTGAAGATACACATGTAATGGATAATATTAAGTTAGAGATTTAGCTACTTTAAATAAGTAAGACCTGTATTTAAAATTCCTCTTGAAAATGATTAAAAAAATAAAATAAATTGAGTAACCCTATTACACCAGAGAAAAAAATGAGAATTAACTACTGATCCTTTGAGCTTGCTTATCCATCAATATGACACATATATTTACTGTATAATATACTCAAAGCCATTAAAAACCCAATGCTCAACGGTAAACGTTTTCTTGGGCTTTTCTATCTTATGGCACATAGGTGAAACTTGTGGAGTTCTGGGTTTGAACCCAATATCAGTTCTCGGTAATGAACTTTGTTCCTGTAAGCGCAACAATTGTCTTTTTTCTCGATTTTAAGCAGTCCCATGTCACACGTTTTGCGCATGCATTCCCTGCACTCTGGCCCTTTAAATACAGATCAAAATTTCAACATTCATCACTTTGGAAAACTGCCACGCCTTACACAAGAAAACAGGAACAGAGATATTGGCATGCTGGATCAGGGGGCTTCATAGGTAGCCGTTGCCAGACACTTTAATGTCCACCCATCGACCACTGCTCGCCTCAGACAACGCTTCAATGCCACTGGAAGAGTTGCCGATCGACTCTGACCTAGAGCGCTACTGCTACTGCCAGGGGAACTGTTCGAACACGGCAACGTCAGATCAGCCCTCAAACAGTCCAAAGGCGCCTGGCTGCTCTTGGGTTACGCTGCCGTTGACCTCATCAATGTCAAATCCTTTTGCATTGTCATCGACAGCAATGGGCCGCAAATCAGGGGTATCTCCACAACACACCATGGCGAAATGTCATCTTCTCGGATGAATCCCGATTCAACCTCAGTTTTCCTGATGGACGTCACTGTATTTACCGACGTCGACATGAACGCTTTGCTCGTAACTGCGTGCTGGAAAGGGATCATTTCGGGGGTGGGGTGGTCCTGTGTTGCTTCCATGTGTAAGAGCTTAGGGTGGACATACCCGATATTGACTTCAGCTGACCCCTGCTTTGTTTCATGGTTCTCTGATGTTTTGATTTTGTGCATTTGTAGTAAATTCTTTCATGAAATTATTCACAGTATGCTTGTTATCTCGATTTTGTCAATTGTTATGTACATTCGTTAAAAGTTGTTGCAGTAAATAAATTTTGAATTTGGCATTGTGTTTTTAATGGCTTTGAGTGTATTTATTATATACATCAATTTCCAAATAGGATATCAATCAACTCTAATAAAACAGATTAACATACCTTCAGTACTCCACGCACCACAGAAACTCCATGGAAGAACTTTGGCAAAAGAAGCGAAGAGGTAGTAAAGTGTCCAAGCTATGATCATATTATAATATATTGCTATAAGTACAGATACTACAAACATTGCCCAACCAACACCTGCAAAATAAAATATAAATTTTAGTTTAATGTGACATGTCTATAATTATAGTATAATACTGAATATTCAATTTATTCTCAGTAAAAAGCTACCAGTAATTGAAAATAATTTTGTTCTTTTTTTAATGTTAAAAGTTGGATTTAAATAACATTATTGGGCCTGTATGTATTTCTATCTGCTTTCACATAAGCTTGAATAGGTTAGGGATATTAGGCCACACAAAATAAATGTCTTGTTTCTCGGGCAACTGACAGCTGAAACTGTAGGGAGGGAGGGCGGTTTCTTTTTTTTTTTTTACTCATTGATGGTGCAAAATAAAATTTGGCTATTGCTGAAAATTGTTGGGGCGGGAGGGCGGTCTTTCTTTTTTTTTTTTTTTAAATGAGAAAGTCATTACTTGTTTACGTTTTTGCTTTCCGTTATATTCAACTTTATTGTACATACTTAAAACATAAACCCAAAATCAAGTCTACTAAAACACTGAGACTGAACACTGACTGAAAGGAAAATAATTTTCCATATTTAATTCACATAATTGAAATTGGTTTAAAATAAAATTCCATACGACTATGTAATAGCCCTCCATAAAGACAACAATATTTTTAAAAACTAAGCCTCTTTCACCAGGTGTATCAAAAATAATAATCATGGTAAACAGTATTTAAAACTAAATCTAGTATCGCCGGTTTATTTATAATTATTTACCGAATTCCAACCAATGCATGTCACACCGTGTCATCGGTATTGGAGATTGCCGGAAATACTGTTTCTTGGGATATTCGGTGTGTTTCTCAGGATATTCGGTGTTCTATCCGGTGTTTATATTGAATGACTATTTAAATCTAACTAACAACTGGTCAGTAAAACCATCAAATCGGTAATCCAATTATTATTTTCCGGATTATCGAAACTACCGTAAATGTGCTAATATAGTAATAATGACCCAGATTCTAAGGTATGCATTATGACGACTATCGTCATCGTATCGTATTCTTAGCTATAATTAATTAACCTGTTCTACGGTTCATTATTTTATCAATAGGATTTTCCAAACAAGGACCGACTGAAGCCGGCAATAATGAGCCGATTACGATCGAATGATTGAAATATTGTCGCCAATGACTTTTAACACGAATCAAATTCTAGTTTATCAGGGGAGGTAATTAATATCACGTGATACAAAATGGAGGTTCTTTCGATATCAATAAAAAAGGCAAATCTGCCAAACTTCGCCATTGTTCGGATAAAAAAGACAGCATGTTCATCTGAATCAGTTTTAATACATTTGAATAGATATACATGTATGGCGGATGTAGGTACATGCGGGATATTTTTTTTACGACTTGCTTGTCGATGTGCGGGCGGGCGTTACATATTTATTTTTTTTCATCAAGACTAATAAATAGACTGCACGCGCAACCAATTTTGCGTGCGGGCGGTGCCCGAGAAACAAGTTATTTTATTTGTGTTGCCTTATGACTGTGAGTTAATAAGGTGACAAAATTAAGCACGATGGTAAACTAATCCTTTTAGCAATTTAACAAGTTTTTTCTCTATGCCTAAATATTCTGAAAGCCTGGAACTGAAACTAACAGTACATTTCTTTACAATTGATTTTTTGGCATTTATTTTCAGGATTGGTGAGTTAAATCTAGGAGGTTCTGCATCCCAGTTTTATTTTACATAGATGAGTTTCACAAAATGATTTTAAGCATTTTAGATAAAATCCGCTAAAATATTTTAGGGACAATTTGAACTAAAATCAATTCTAACTTAGGGCAACCGTCTCCCTCTTCTAACTTAAAATCATGACATTAACAAACGCTGATTTGGGTTAAGTTGTTATATTTGAAATAATGATGATATTGCCAATGGCCTGGGTCACATAATTTTAACATATTGTTACACTAGTTTTACTAAGTTATAGTACATATTTTAGTGTACAGTACATGTAATTACTTATTTAAACTAACTAATGGCTTTAAAGTTGATAAGTTAATCTTTCCTCCGAATTTTGAGTGTTCTAATCTGAACGAACTGTCTTAACTATATTTACCTTTTCTGAATGCTTATCTTAAAATAGTTTAATATGCATCTTAGTCATTGATTCAGTAGGTATCTGTATTTGAGTTAAAGTCTCAATAATGTAAATATGTTAATTTATATCACATTTTGTATTATAATTCTTATCATGTATATGTTCAAATATTTCTAGTTAGTTATTATTAAGATAGCAAGTTGGTGATAGTGACTGGGTATAAATATAAGAGACGAAATATGGACCATTACGTTGATTCGTTAATAAACCCAGTTTGACATCAAACAATATTATCATTACTGTTTCCTATGGGTGATTTAGTTTATGTTTGTGTTGCCTAATAATTTATTAAGTATATGTTTATTTTAATTTTATGCATAATATTATGATGTGACATATAGTTTACTACACTTATTAACATAGTATAATACTTTATATTCAATTATTAATTAATGCATGTTTCTTATGCATAATATTATAATGTGAAATAGCTTATAATTTCACTTGTTCACATAACATGCTAATATTATTTATTCTATTATTCATTAATAGATAATTTGTAATTGATGTTTTTATTGTGACTTCAATATCTTTATTTGTATTGTCATGTCCATTCGTCAATAAACGTCAATAGTGAGAGCGCTATGCTGCGATGTATTAGAGCTCTGCACATCGAGAATAAGAAGTCATAATACAGTAAACTTCGTATAAGTCGGATCTTCGCTCAACTAAGATAAAATCGCTCGGACCCTTTGATCCTGCATGTTTTTCTCATTAAATTTCTGCATGTAAGTCGGATTTCCTAACTGGGATCTTTGCTCAACTCAGATCAAAACGTTTGGTCCATTTGATCTAATTCCGGCTTTTTTTCTTCACCTAAGTCGGATCGGCAGTATGTTCAGAATTTAAGTATTCCATGCACAGAGTCCCAAAATACTTTCCCCTATCATTTTGACTCCAATCAGCCTATTTGACTCGACGCAATAATAGAATTTTTCCGGAAAATTCGAAACTCACTGTCTGCTGTATGAGACACTTTGTGGGAAAATTTAGGACATTTTTCAAAGATGATGACAAAATGGAAGTTATCTACTCGCACCAAAACGGAAGTTATCTACATGTACTCGCACATACGAACAGAAGCTTGAAATGTGTCTTTGAATCAATTATTATCCAGCTCATGCAGTATTTCTAATCAAGCTAAGATTGAATTTCGGTTTTTGGCTAACTCGGGTCATCGCTTAACTGGGATAAAATTAAACACTCCACTGAGATCCGACTTATGCGAAGTTTACTGTATACATCAGGGTAATAACAAAACAGTGCACGCACTTAATACCATCATTCCGAAAAACAATTCTCATTCAATTTCTTTTCATGGCCTGGGAAATACAGCTACGGTCCATTGTGTATTTTATTGTAAGGCAATTTGTGCAATTAGATGACGCCCCAAATTAGAACCCCAAGAAAAAGATCTAATCAGGATTGCCAGTCAACGAAACATACGACCACAGCAGCTAAAATGTTCGAGCGGTCGACAAGGGTTGTCGCATATTTGTTCTTTTGTAGTTAATTAGGGGCATTTACAAAACAATTTCATACAGATCAGATTATAATTTTCGTCGTTTGAGGGTTCACAAGGCTCTACAGACTGAAACAAGGGCCTTAACTTTGGAAGTAATTTACAGAAATTTGTTGAAATTTGAATGGCTTTTTTGTTTTACTAATTTAAATAATGCATATAAATTTCATACAGATCGGATAACTTTTGTCATTTGAACGTCACAAGGTTCACAAAGTAAAACAAGGGCCACAACACTAGAAGAAATTGACAGAAATTGCTGAAATTCAATAGACCTCCGTTTCACAAATTTCAATTGATTGATGCATATAAATTTCATACATATCGGATGATAACTTTCATCAATCCAGCATTAACAAGGTTCAACAGAGTGAAACAAGGGCTACAATTCTGGAAGTAATTATTGTAAATTGCTGAAATTCAAAACACTTCGTCATTTGACTAATCTAAATAATGCATATAAATTTCATACAGAACCGATGATAACATTTTGAAGCAAAATAACACGCAATTAACTCATTTACTTCATGTCTCTAATGTCTGACCCTGTGCAAACATTGGTACAACATATGAAACTCTCCCCATTGATATTGTAACCATTAGTTCAACCTGTCAACTGTTTTCAGTTCCGAAGCGTATTTGTTTAAATCCGTAAGCCAGCAAACGAAAAATGGAACGGCTCAAGTGCAATCAATTTTAACTAATATCTATTAAAAATACACTATGGGAGATTAATAAAGAGTTGCCAGTTCTCACTATAATAGTTAAAAACTAGATAATGTAAAGGGAATTTGCTGAAATTTCATTCAAATTGATCCACTCTGAACCAAGAATTTAGCGATTGAATTTTGGGCCCAGCCTTGATCATCATTCCTAAAGTTGGTACGATAAAATGCATACATATAGTCTTGATTATCCATTTCTTGATTTAATCATGAATATCCTAATTCAGTAAATATTGCAGGCTAGATAACATATCAGGCTTAAAGAAACACCTGCAATATAATAGGCAGATTTAGCTCTTGCATGTTTAAAATTCAATTTTTAAAGTTACAATCGATCTTCGTGATGTAAAGGGAATTTGCTGAAATTTCAGTCAAATTGATCCTTTCTGAACCGAGAATTTAGCGATTGAATTTTGAGCCTAGCCTTGATCATCATTCCTAAAGTCGGTACAATAAAAAACATAGTCTCGATTATCCGGTTTTGGATTTAATCATCAATGTAGGGTGCCCCATGCACCCCAAATTTTCCCTACTGGAAGTTGAACTCGACACGGCAAATGTGCACACTTCAGTGGCTTGTATGAAAATTTGGGCGTATAAAAACATCTATTTTACATACAATTCATATTGTTTATTAATGAAATGCATACTTAAATACATTGCTATTGAAATGCATACTTAAATACATTGCTATTGAAATGATAATTGTGTACATTGCTATTGAAATGATAATTGTGTACAGTGTATGGACAATTAGCTATAGGAAAGAATAATTGACTAAAGAAGGGGTGTTCCAGTATTTGTCCACTGAAATTTTATAGGGTTATCATGACATATAATTGGTTTGTAATTCTTTTCCCCATAGTTACTCTTGAACAAGTTCTGATCAATTAAAACAAACCATTAGGGAGACAAATGTCTCCTGTCCTAATCCCAAAATAAATAGATAACACTCATAAATTACTTGCATCTCTATCATTCTATCAAGCAAATTACTTAACACTATGCATGGCCATGGCAGGATATACTCCTCATAAAACTTATTCAAGGCATTAAACATACATTATGAAAGAGCTAAATCTGATTATTGCAAGTCTTAATTTTGGCTTCAGATGTTATAGAAATTATAAATTAGATCTTTATTTAAACAACAAGACCAAAATCAACTCTGTAGACCCACGGATGGCTCGGCTACAGCTCGTATGCCATTGAAAACTTTACTTGATAATCGAGATATGTAGGTGGAGTTAACGCCTGTCAATCAAACGATCGGCGAAGGTGAAGACACATTTCGCTACCATTTCTAGGCAAATATTACAACGATGATAACTATGTTCAGAATAAAGTAATTTGACTGAATTTTTCAATATATTCTTCTTTCATCGTCTACTTTTGAACTGTTATAGCAAGAATGGCCAACTCTCTATAAAAATCTCCCATAATGTATCTTTAATGAAGCAAAACTATACATCATTCACACTCAATTAGACTCATATAGCTGTCATGTCAGAAAGCATTGACAAATCAAATTGTTGAGCTCTGCTTAGCCTTTGCAAAACATCATCGGACTCGGTCAAGGCATTCACCTGATAGACCGCTACACCAAGTTTGAACATTGTACCTCACTTAAAAGATCAAACTGAAGACAGAAATGAACAGCCCTATTTCAATAGACCCCTGTTTTCTACGAAAAGGTGGGGGGGGCCAATAACTCCACAATAACTAGTTGACGATTTCTCCACCATGATAAGATGTTTAATGTAGAACACCCCAGTGGGCTATTGAGGGAAAATTTAAACAAGGCCTTTTAATCCGCTCTGAACAACGAGATGCTGTTCCTTAACGTCAGGCCCTCTGTCCTACACCATAGTCAGCGTGAAACCCACTAGAACACTCCGGATTGAACGCGACAGGACCTCCAAGTTAGCAAGCCAGCACCTTCGGACTAGCGACATGGAGATAAAATCTTACCATACAACGCTGGGTAACATAGTAATATATTTACCTTGAAAGATTGGACTAATAGACCAAATAGAGACTACACCTTGACTTGCAAACTGTCCAAAAGAAAGTTCTAAAAATACTAATGGTATACCAGTTATAAACAACATCACCAGGAATGGTATCAAAAAAGCACCTGTTTAAAAAAGAGACAAAAAAAAAACCCCAAGTTAGTGTCACTGAAGTGAAATATGGTATTGGATAGTTTAATAAAATTCACTTGATAGTCTTTGCATTGCAATATCACATGAGTTTGTGTACTTATAAATGCCACTCAAGGTTTATACTTATAATAAAGTTATTTTTACAAAAAAGCAATACACAAGACATTTTGCCTGTAGTCTTTTTCTCAGTCAGGTCAGTTCACCAGAGAGGCTTGATAAAGTTGATTTAAAAATAAAATAGCTCTAATCGAATAAAATAGTATACAAACCTCCACCATTTCTATAACACAAATATGGAAACCTCCAAACATTTCCAAGTCCTACGGCATAACTAAGACAAGAGAGTAAAAAATCTAATTTATTGGACCAATTTCCTCGTTCGGTGCTGGTTTCCGATTCCTTCTCCAACACTTGTCCTTCTACTTTATCTACTAGAGATGGATACACAGCTCCATTATTTTTATCATCTGCCATTTTTCATTCACTTCTTACACCCTAATATCAAGAAGAATCCAATAATTCGTCTGCAAAAACAAAATATGATCAAGTAATTAATTTTTCTCTCAAATTATATTATTATAATGGTCAAGGCAATGTTTATGTGGCTTGGAATATGATTCTTATAAGATCTCCCCCCACCCCCTGCCAATAAATGTTTCTGACTCATTAATTTTTTAAGATAAAATCACTGACCCTAACTGTCCCTAGCCCTTTTTCTTCATTTAATTTGGAAAGATTTATTATAAACTTTATGAATCATCTACATATTTATTTTTTGTGCTCTTTAATTATTGTAGACTACTCTTTCACAGCTGTATCCTTTGTATGTTTGCTCTAAATACTATGTATAGAACATACACATGTAACCAGTCCATGCGAAAGCCGTCGGACCGTCGGTCATTACCGATAAAATAGCTCTCGGTCCGGTATTTTCATCATAAATACCGGCCCAGTTGTCCGGAAAGATTCTGGACCCCGTTTACTGACTGCTGGTTGTATTAAATCATCGCCGTATTGGCACTGACTGACGGCACTTCGTGCACGGACTGTTGAATTCTCGTTTAATTTATTGTGTTAATTTCACTATTGTTTAAAATGTAAACAAAATCTTATCTCGAGTACGTACAGTGTAGCAGTCGCTATTGTGTGCAACGATAGTCGCGGGACACGATAGGCCTCGTTGTAATTTTACATGCAAAATTAACAATTATATTTGTCATAAACAATCGATGTCAAAACGATATACTGCCACGATGTTATGAATGTTGAATATTTTCGTTAATAATACGGACGCGTTAGGTAAAGTTGTATAGTAAGAAAACGCGTGTTCACATATTCTGCACGATATATGCGGTTACATTTCCAACCAGTCATGTAAAGCTGCATGTCTACTACATTTTGAAGGACACGTATGCATAAGACTATACATGTTTAGAGTGCATAGTTTAGAATTACTCTCGAATCACGGCAAAGATAGACTTTAAAATTGCAAACTATAACTGTATTTAGGTTACCGGTCTTCCAAATAGAAATAAGACAAATAGAACTTGCAACGGGAGTCGAAAGCGCTTTCAAATCAGACATAAGAAGCTCATACTTACCGCAAAAATGAAATGAACGCGACACAAGTCTCCGATGTCAGAGAATATTAGTAAAGTATAACCGCTATCATTTTATTTTAGAAAAGAATAACTGTAGGCTCGATAGAAGAGCCTATTCTACATGAATCCCAAATCAATGGTAACTGTCAACTTGTATGTTGTCATTCTCATGCAGATTAACAGAAATGTCCCGTGAATCAAAGATCAAAGAATAAAATCGCACGTAGCCACTCTTTGTTGTTTTTATGCGAATTCAATTTATCTAAAAGGGGCTCCGGCGCTATTTAAGGAATTATTTTCGACCCAATATTAACCATCGCCAATTTTTTAAATCATGGGATAAAGTCAATTAACTAACAATACAGGTCTACTTTATTACAAAAACATTGGTGAACTTACCATTTTGTCCATACAAAAACATCGGTGAACTATATTGTTTTTGTACATATTGTATTTATTTATTTATTTGTACTGTATATGTTATACCTGATGAGTCTTTGGCTGAAAGGAATAAAGAATTTGAACTCGAACTAATCGCTGTCGGGATGGCGAACCAAGCTAGTTGATTATTAGGTAAATGAAACAATATAAACAACCAATGAGTAAAACTGATCTATTCTAATCAATTAAATAATATATAAGTCAAGTACCGGTATTACCTTAACTGTGGACGGGTTAACGGACACTCAACTTACAAATATTAAATCATCGCCGTATTGGCACTGACTGAAGGCACTTCGTGCACGGACTGTTGAATTCTCGTTTAATTTATTGTGTTAATTTCACTATTGTTTAAAATGTAAACAAAATCTTATCTCGAGTACATAGTACCGTATATCGAGCTAGTCTGGTAAGTAGTAGGCTAGGTTAATCCAGACTAAAACGAAAGTCCTTTTATTGTATTAATAACATTGGCTTCTGGTAGACTCGATTGTCATCTAAGGGATTATATTTTCTTTGCGCGGTCTATTTATTGTTATCATTAACACAAAATGACAATTAAGGAAGTGTGCGAAAAAGTCTTTATACAATAGATAATCTTTGTAATAAAGTAAAGTATTTTCCCCCTTATATATACTGTTTGTTGTTTTTCGAGTTTTAGGCCATTATTACTTATTTTATGCATATTTTTGGTATGAACTTTTTTGGACCAGTAAAATCTCATTCCGTCCAGTAATAGTTGGAATAATACCTGCCCAAATGTCCAGTAAAAAAAATATCATTTCGCATAGACTGCATGTAACAGATTGATTCAGTGTTCATATATCTTCAGAAATAATCTAATGGAAAATTATATTTGTGTTTATCACATTTTATTAATTAATGATGTATGTCCTTTTTTTAAAGTTTGTTAGATATGTATATAGATTGTTTCTATCACAGATAATTTTATGTATTCTTCAAGCACAAAATTAATATGCTATGACTTTTAACAAAAAAATGACACAATGACACAAGGAATATTCAAGTACAAAAACATGGTAATAATAAAAATGACATGAATTTAAATATGAGTGGATTTGGGTAACCTGACCTACTCTTTTAAACACACAATATCCAAATTTTCCCATTATTGCACACCATTCATTCAAAAAGTTGTGAACAATACTTTGTGCTATACATGTAAATAAAGTGTAATTCATAGAAATGTCTATGCTTTTTAATTAATAAAGATGCATTTTGTAAGATTTAGATAAAGAGCTGGCAGTTCTTGCTGTAATAGTTCCAAAATAGATAATTCAACAATAATATTGAAAATTTGATTAAAATTACTTTATTCTGAGCAACGTTATCACTGTTTGAAGTTTTGAAATAGATTGTTTATTATCGTAGCAAAGTTACTTTTTAATCTAGACTCAGCCTTGTTTCTCCATTCTTTAAATTAAATTAAATCATTAAAAGGCGATCATATTTTAATCTGTTTACATCTATGCCATTCGATAGTCTAGAGAGTTGATTATAGGCTTGTCATTTGAATAAATGTCTAAATAATAATTTATGTAACATTTGAAGACAAAATAAAACAGGCAATAGGCAGATTTAGTTCATACAATTCATCTTTAACCCACACACGAAAATAACAATCAAATAATATGTTGTTATTTAGATCAATATGACAGGTGTTTTTTTTTGTCCAGAAATCTTATCAAATGAAATAAACATGTATACATTGTAGTATAGGCTTTTTGATATTCTCTGAAGTGTAAATATAACATAGGGTTTACACTTTATAATGACACACACATTCAAAGAACTATCCACTACTGCTAGTAAATTCAAAATTATTTTACTGTCTGATGTAAATTTTGAATGATTTCTTTTTAAAACCACACTAATAACTAAGTTTTAAAAAACCCTCTGTTAAAATATATGTCTGCCATATTGTTTTGTATCCGAAGTCACAGCCGTCAAAACTAGAAGTAGAACCTATGGAAAGTAAACTTTTATAAATGGTTGATGTTGACAAACTCACCTCAGACACAGACCCCAAATAAATACACAAGAGATGAATAAATATAAGCATTTGGCTTGTTTTTGAATCCTTACATTTTTGGAATAACCAGATGCCAAAGACTGACATTTAATTTAAACTCTTAGCATATTTAGTCAAACGTATTTGATTAGAAATTATAGTAAAAACCAGAAACATTTGAATGTAAATCAGTTTATCATATTACATTATAATATGCGTTGCGACCCATTTGTGTCCATTTGTATGTGCCAAAGAATAGATTTAGCTCCTTTAAATCAACTTAGAAATGTGTGATGAATTGGTTACCAGTAGTTTAATTTATATTACTTAACTATGCATTCAATACAAGCTTATGTTAATTCCAGGTTCAATTACATTTTAAGAACTTATGAATGTACCATATTTCAGTCAATGTAACATGTCAGCTGGGTTGCATGGCATATGTCCATAAACATATTCATGTATGAAAATGTCTAAAATCTGACTAAAGTAACTTTGAAAATGTTGTAACAATTCTGAAAGGTTTAGATTACAAACACCTCTAAGTCTGTCAAATTTCAGATAGGGAATTTACAATGCTGCTCACTACTGTCTGTGGTATCTGCAAGCTTGTTCATTGGTTTAGTGGTATTTGTCCTAAACAAATAACACTTCTTTACCAGTAGTTGTCTCTATCATGAATCAAGCAGTCAATAACTAACTGTGGTTGAAACTTGATCTCACCTAAATCTAAAAGGAGGTTGTGGCCATAGTGCCCAGTACAAGTACGGCTAGTCCAGTTCCTAGTTTTAAACATTAACATATAAATAGGTTAGTGGGGTCAGAATTAACAACCAATCTCTGGCATTAATAATAATACAGGAACTTACAACAGCACTAATACTAGGTTAACCCATGTAAGGTTAAACTTGACCAAAATATAACTTTTCATTACCGAATTGCTAACAAATTTCCTTTAAAAGATGTCTTTCCATGTACAAAGTATGTTAATTGATTATTACCATAGTCCTCGCAGTATTTCATTTGATTAGACCTAATCCCACTGAAACACTGCCATATTCAATGTAAATTTCTGTCCCAAATTATAACTGGTTACAGTTCGATGAACAACCATTACATAACAACGTAACAAAATCAATCAGGATTAACCAGAGCTCTAAATATATTACCGTAAAGTGTCTGGTGACAAACGTGGCTACATTATGTCAGAACGAGCGAAATGTATTACGCTCAATTAACTAGTACCGGTACATAACAGAATATTGCAGAGAAACTAATTGTGTGATAAACGAGGCTATCCCGAATAGCTACATTATGTCAGAACGAGCGAAATGTATTACGCTCAATTAACTAGTACCGGTACATAACAGAATATTGCAGAGAAACTAATTGTGTGATAAACGAGGCTATCCCGAATAGCTACAGTGTAAACATTTGGTCATCGCCTGTG